CTAGGCGCATGGTGGGACGCGATGCGGCCCGTCGTGGCACGGGAGCAAAGCCCACTACGTGCCGGCCCGCCCCCGAAATCAGTCCCTGGGCCAAGCCCCCGTTACGGAGGGCCCTCCCAACTCACGACAGAAGCTTTCCCGCCTCTGCCATCTAAACCCGCACCGCAGCGCCTTCCAGGTCCCTGCGTCGACCCCTATCTTAAAGAGAGGCCCACATCAAAGCGAGCCCTCCTACCAAAGCCCTCAGCCCTCCCGTGAAGGCATCTGAGGAACCAGGCAACGTCCGCGACGCCTTTAATCTCGCGATTAGCGTAATAGACGCTATAGACTTGGACGACTCGTCGCATTCGCGGAAGCCTTTAAATCCGCTAAAACTGCGTCCACCAAGGTGGAGGTAATAACCGAGCACGCCCTGCTCCTTAAATCCGTGCGGCAATTCGTAAACTCTAACGCACCGCAAAGCTACGACCACGTCTAGGGTCAAGGCTCGATCACTGTCCGTAGTGACTTTCAACGCGAACGGCTTCAAGCCACAGTCAGATTTAATTCGGGATTTCCTCGTCGACCCAATTGATATTTTCCTAGTACAGGAAACGTTCCTAAAGCCCAGCGTTCGCGCACCTAGATTCGCGAACTACGTCGCGGTGCGAAACGACCGACCTACGGCGAAAGGCGGTACGCTCATTTATTATAGACGTGCGCTTCACTGCTCACCGTTAGACCCGCCCTCCCTAATCAACATAGAGTGCTCTGTGTTAGCGTGGCTATGACCGGTCATCAGCCGATTATCATCGCATCGGTGTACCTCCCTCCCACTAAGGACATATAGAGAGCGATCTTAGGACCCTGTTTGCACTGGGCCCCTCGGTCTTACTGGCCGGGGACCTGAATAGCAAGCACGGGGACTGGAATAGCTCAAAACAAAACCCTAATGGGCGAGCCCTCAGTAGGCTTATTGACGTACTCGATTTTAATGTCATTGCCCCCATTCATCCGACTCGTCGCGGTATAAATTGTAACGGTCTTCTCTCAACGGACGTCCTAGACGTGGCGATTCTACGCAACGTGGCACTACAGCCGCGAAGCATAGAGGTGCTACACGAATTGCTCTGACCACTTCCCGGTTCATTTTGAATTCGGCCCTCCTAACACCCAAGAGAAGAGGTACAAGTCCATGTCGACTGGCAGAAACTAGACGAGGCCCTCAAGCCCGTCGAAGTCTCTGACCTTAATAACATCCCCGACAATTTAGTCTCGTCGCTCACGCGTTAGACGCGCTCTCCTCGGTCACATATCACATTCAGACCAAGGTCGCCGAATCGTCCCGGAAGGTCCCAGATGAGTTCGCTCAACGTTGGGAGCTTCCCCGGACGCAAGGCGCTTACTGACCGAGAAGAACGTGGCGACTCGCGCCTTCGCTAGGGCACCGACCGATGATAACCGTAGAGCACTCCGCGCCGCGCAGCGCCGAGTTAAAGAGCGCATACGGGAAATTAGGAAACGAACGCTGGGACCGTCTTACCAGCGAATTGTCACCTTCGCACACGGCCTATTGGTCTCTCGCGCGTTCCCTAAAAACCGACGGTGGCCTCCATGCCCCCGCTTAAACGTCCAAATCAACCTGACGCATTCGATGACGACGAAAAAGCCGAGTGTAGCCGTAAACCTAGTGAGAGTGACGCCTTATCTCGACCATAGTGACCCGGCGCACGTTAGACGGAACCGCGAAGTCCAACGCAAGTCGCACTGCCCTCCCTCCCGAGGCTCCCTCCTACGTCGATCGCCGAGGTCAAAACTCTAATCAAGGGTTCATGCCTCGTAAATCACCAGGTCTCGACGCCATCTCAAACAAGGTCTTACGATGCCTCCGCCCCATCGATATGCTACTAGTGGCCATATTCAATTGCTCTTCTCGAAAACTGCACTTCCCGGCGCAGTGGAAAGAGGCTATTGTAATTGGTATTCACAAACCAGGCAAGCCCCGTAACAATCCCACCAGTTACCGCCCTATCAGCCTTCTCAACACGCTAAGCAAGCTATTCGAGAAGGTAGTTAAAAAGCGCCTCCTAGACTTTGCCCTAGAAAAGGGGCTCATTCCCGATGAGCAGTTTGGCTTTAGACCAGGCCACTCGTGCGTCCACCAAGTCCATCGAATCACGGAGCACATCCTTTCCGGGCTGAATAACAGCACCACGAGACCAAGAGCCACGGGTGCGCTCTTCTTAGACATAGCGAAGGCTTTCGACAAGGTCTGGGCACAACGGCTTGGTTTACAAGCTCTACCACTTCAAGTGCCATTAAGATCGTGCGTATAATACAGACTTCTTGTCCGACCGCTCTATGCGCTATCGTGTTGAAGGGACGTTATCGTCCCCTAGACCCATCATGGCCGGAGTCCCCAAGGCTCGGTCCTCTCGCCCCTTCTTTTCACGGTTTACAGGCGACATTCCTAGGGCTCCTAACGTGGAACTAGCTCCTCTATGCCGAGACACCGCTCTCTATACCACTCACAAGGACAGAGGTGTCATCGTGGATAGACTCCAGACCGCTATCACGTCGCTAGGCGAATGGTTTCGGAAATGGGGCCTCCAAATAAATCCCGAGAAAGCGTCGCAGTTCTCTTTGCCAGGGGTAACCCCGGTGCGAGCGCTCGTCTCGGGAAAAATTCCGCCTCAAAAAAGAGGTAACCCTATACGGGCAAGCCATCCCGTGGCAAAAATCCGTCAAATATCTAGGAGTAACGCTCGATAGCGACATGTCTTTCCGTAAGCATGTAGCCGCCGTTCGCAAGAAGGCCTCTTTCGTCCTCTCTCGCCTCTATTTCCTCCTAAACAAAAGGAGTAACATGTCCCTTAGACATAAGGTGACTTTGTACAAGGCCTGCATCCGACCGTGCATGACATACGCTAGCGTAGTATTGCGCACTGTGCCCCCTCCTACATCCACCGGCTACAGGCGCTTCAGATGCGATTCATGAGAGTTGCGACCGGGGCGCCCCTCTATGTGAGAAACGTCGATCTCCACCACGACCTGAGCTCCCTACCATAGCCCAATGGATGAAGTTGGGTCCGCACGCCACTTCGACAAGGCTAAACACCATCCCAACCCTTTGGTGCGTAAAAGCATCAACTATTATCCTTTCCGCCGGCTAAAAAAATGTCAAGGAGGCCCCGACACACACTAACGGATCCGGATGATCCAATTACTGTAGCAAACAATAAATTAAAAGCCGCCCGCGCGGCAAATAATAACAATCAAAGTATTCAGACACAGATTAGGGTTAAAAACCGCCTTCACCGGGGAAGGCGAGGACCTTTATTTCGCACTTCGCTCACTCCAGTGAGTTTCCGTCCTGCCCTTCAGGCGATTGACCACCCCGTGACGGCCCAAGCCGAGGTTCGAGTCTCACAGGAGACGCCCTTGCGCTAGTGCGGGAAAAACGCTCATTCTGGTCGAGCTACGCTCGCCAAACAGCCCGAGCTGAGCTGTCAAGGCCCTAAAGGCCAACAGCGAGATTCCTTTCAAAAAAAAAAAAAAAAAAAAAAAAATAAATATCATTCATTATTCCATCTTCACCTCTTCTCTACAAGTAATTAGGGAGTTTTATTTTAAATCGACCATAATTCTGAAGCAATCAACCTCAAGCAACATCCCTAAGTAATATTTTAAATAATCTAATAACTAGACACAGTTAAATACATAATTAGTTACTTTAAATATAAAAATAATAACAGTATTACGTACGATTTAATTAACTTATTAAGATATATGTTTTTTTTGTTTTTTCCTGGTACTGTCTAATGCCTATACAGTGAAAAATGACAATCTATTATCCAATTTAAATGTTTATGCTTATGAATACAGCTGTCAACATTAATAGACACTTTTTAGTTTGAGATTCCCACAGTCGTAATATACTCTAATTTTTTTCGTTTTATCATATTAATTTATCCAAGTTTTCAGTTTTCACGAGTTATTAATGGTGCGTTCCACTAAGCGCTCACGACGATCACGCTCACGACCGCTGATTTCCCCATTCCACTTGATTGTGAATGTTACTACTAAGTACTTACTGTCGTTTACTCAAGTGGAATGGATTATGGAGCGTTTCGGGCGTTCATGTAAATATTACAAATGTCAAGTTTGAAAATAGTAGAATTTTAAGGAGGTTAGGTAATCATAAACAATAAGTTTTGATATTTGTGACTTAAATTTATTTATGTTAAAAGTGAAGAATAATTGAATATTTTATAAATAATTTTGGTGAAGTTATCAAACAACTTAAGTTTAAATATAATCGAAATGGCTTTACAATTTCTCTTTCTGAATCGAATAATGTGAATTTTCTTGTCGCCATCTTTAAGCTTTGAATATAATAATATTATTATTTGTCATATTTCAAAAATTGCGCCAAATTATTCTCAACGTTCTAAAGAGGTGGGTCGTTGTGAGCGTTGCGTGAGCATTTGTCATGACGTCATGAGTGACGTTTTCGCCGTGACCACAACGACCGCGGTCGGTATGTGGAATGGCTAAAGGAGCATTTTGATCGTCGTGAGCGCTTAGTGGAACGCACCATAAGTGTGGTTATATACAAAATAGTTTTTATAATTAGCTTTTGAATTTTTTTTTTCTAAAAATTCGTTTTGCGTTTCGAGGCACTTTTCGTGTGTGCCTCGTCTCAAGCCCCATAACTATTTTTCACCAGGAGACAACTGTCTAAATAATAATATAGCTTTTGTGGATATTTAATTGTAATTCTAGAGTTACAAATATTAGTCTGTATCAGAGGAAGACTTACCTGTGGTTGCCACGTATGATTGTCAACTTTAAGTTCTGTATGTGACAGCTAGTTTGCAGCTTGACATTTGGCAACAGCCAACAGGCAAGTGCCAGGCAGTCAGTGAATAGAAATTAGGATAGTGTTTCTGTTAATTTGTAATGATAATTTTAAAATCTTCAGAGGAAGTTAATTTTTGTTTCTCAAGCTAGCTTTCATCATGGGCTCTTCACAGAGTCTTGAAGTACCGGGTGGAGGTTCAGAAGGATATCATGTTTTGCGGGTATGTTTCGTAGGACCTAATGTATAATGATAATGTTTTTTGTTATTGACTCGTAAATTTAATTTTTCAGGTTCAAGATGGGTCTCCGGGTCAAAAAGCGAGACTAGAACCGTTTTTTGATTTTATCGTGTCAATAGAAAATACTAGACTAGATCAAGATAATGACACATTGAAGGAGTTATTAAAACAAAATGTTGATAAAAACATTAAAATGCATGTTTATAGTAGTAAAACTCAATCAGTGAGAGAAGTATCAATTACACCTTGTGCGAACTGGGGTGGTGAGGGTCTTCTTGGTGTCAGCATACGATTTTGCTCATTTGAGGGAGCAACTGAAAATGTTTGGCATATATTGGTAATACATATACTTTGATATATGGTAAATGCAGTTTAAATTTTTTACATGGTTGAGTGTATGAGAGGTTAATTTCATACATTTATACCGATTGATATTTAATATATCATGAGAAAGGTTCTATCATATTCATAAATCAAGATTAAACATACTTAAACTTTATGAACATTATGTAGAGTAGCAAAGCACTTAGGTGATGGGAGAAATAATATGATATATTTGGATGATTTTAGATAAAAAGCAAACATCAAATTCATCACAAAAACTTAATAAATTGAATATGACAAGTGAATAATAAATTTGATGTGGTATATTTTGTATTTGTGTCAATTTCATCTAGTATTAGGTGATTGGCCTGGATATAACTCTTAAAGGAAATAGGACTAGAAAATCCATGTAACCTAACTTAGGGGTCATTATATTATAATTAAACTGATTTACAGGAAGTTCACCCATCATCTCCGGCAGAACTAGCAGGATTAAGACCATTTTCTGACTACATAATTGGTGCAGATTCAATTATGCATGAAAGTGAAGATCTATTTACTCTGATTGAAGCTCATGAAGCGAGACCTCTTAAGCTGTATGTTTATAATGTTTCGGAGGATGTATGTCGTGAAGTTGTTATAACACCAAACCATAACTGGGGAGGAGAAGGTAGCCTGGGCTGTGGAATTGGATATGGATACCTTCACAGGATTCCCATTCAATATGAAGCAAACAAGGCATCAAAGATGGCTAAGCCTTTTGAGGAGGTATGTGAAAATAATTATAGACCATCGGACATTTTGTCTTGCATGCAAGTAGTCAATCAATACAAACTCATTCTTATTGTTCCAATTGTAGTAACAGAATATGTTTTACTCAAATAGTATTATGTTATATTTGTTTCAGATACCACAAAACCAAGCTAGTGGTTTACCAAATGTCAATGTAACTACAAATATTCAAGCACAAAATGTTCAGGTTCCCCCACCATTTTTGTCTGGAGTACCTATGGTGAATCCAGGAATAAGTAATCCTGTGACTGCAAATGCACCAATAAATGTTGAACCACAATCATCAATTCAGACAACAATGTCACAACCTTCATCTGTAGTATCTAATATGCCACCCTATTCTACAAGTTAGTATATACACAAATGGCTAAATCAAACACATATTTTCTGTTTATCAATTTGGTTTTACAAAATAAACCCATAACAATTAATGTAATTATTGAATAAGAGAATAATAATGTTTTTTTTGTGTACAAAATTCATGCAAAAATTTTATTCAGTCATAATATTCTTTTGCTAATCCTTGTACCAAGTAAAAAAGGTATGTTTGTATGTTGGTCAATACTAAAACTTATTTCAATAGGCATACTGTATCACTTTATTTTAATTACAGATTTTGCTGATACAACACTAATGAACTTAGGCAGCAACCCATCTGTATCCAACATGCAGCCACCAGCTCCATTGCCAAGCTTGCCAGGCATTCCTATGAACCAGCCACAGCCATATATTCCAATCATGCCTAGCTTCACCCAAAACCAGGATACATCGTACCCCCAGAGTTCTGCAAATCTGGTACCAACATTTGATATGAGTAGTTTTAATGCTCCAATACAGCCCCCACCATTAGTGGGTTCCACGGGACTGCCTGTTGTGACACCTGTTTCTCTCCCTGGCATGCCCTCTATAACTGTTAGTGCCACTTTGCCGGTAACCACAATGCAAGAAATACACCAACAACAAGCCTATCAACAACAAGACTTACTATCATAAAAATTGACATGTTATTAAAGATATAATTCAGATTGTATAAAAATATTTATAGCTTTGTATATAATTGATACTGTTGACCCAAATAGTTGAATCAAATTTAATTTCTTTTTATTGGTTTGAGTCATTCCATGTATGAGGAATATTATGGGCCATACTGTGTGGTAAAAATTAAAAGATTATTTAGCATTTTTATTATTTTACATCAGACATGTCTAGATGTTTCATATACTTATATTATATTTGTTTTCCGTTTATTTGTATTAATAAGTTTAATTTAGGTTGAAATAAATAATAAAATATACATAAGTTCTATTTATGGATTTGCCCCCCAACATTATCACAGAAATGATAAAAAACCAAAAGTGTGCTGTTATAAGCACAAAAGTCTAAAATATTAGACAATTGCACTGTTTTGTGTGAAAATAGATAGTTCCAACACTCAATCAGCCCAATTTTTTCTTATCTTTAAATTATGGATCAGTTGTAGTTAGTATTAGATTAGACAATGGAATCCCTAAAACCTATTTGGAATCTTAAGCATTTTTTAGGAAATAATCATTATGATTATATGTATTAGAAAACAAGTGGCACAGCAGGGCACACAGAAATTAGAAACCTATAAATACATAGTATTATTATGAATTTAAATGCACAAAATTTTAAGTAGCAATCTCGCTTCGAGGTCGTATGCTATATGGCCATTTGGGTGCCTACTTATACGTCTATGTAGGTTTATTATGCTTGACGTATGAGCTGCGTGAACAAATTGATTATTTATTATGATTCTCAACGTTGCGATAACAAAACAGTAACTCAAATTCAACGATGCAAAACAATCAAATAATATTTCACACATTTTCAAAATATTAGGTGATTAATAAACTGGTTTGCACTTGTTAGACATTTAATCAATAATGAAACGGTAAAATTAGTCTTAAATAGTTTACACTTTACCGGAATAAGTTAAGTACATAAGTACATACGTTTATGGAATAGAAATAATTGACAGTAGGTACAGTAATTTGGTTATTTTCATTAAGTACAACTAAGTATGTATACTTATATAATTTAATTTGTATCTTATGGTAACTTGAAAATAGGTACCCAGGAAGAATATGCCTTCATTATTTGTTGAATACCTGTACGTTGTATTACTCTAGTACTCTTATACGCTAATATTCTAAACTTAACATGTAGATGTTCTAGAAAGTTGTGGACTTGATTGTTTATCCAATTTAAAGCTAGTGCGATGGTAATGGTCATGGCTTTTCTCTGTGTCCAAGGCAAGGTTGTCATGTCCTTGCGTAAGGATCTGTGCGTCGCTATAAAAAACACCACCAGCTAATTCCGAGAGGCGCCTGCGCCGTCTCGTGTCCTTGTCATCTGCAATACTTGGCGGCCGCACGCTCGAACTTCGCCGCCTTTCCAACCCCATACGCGTTGGTATCCGTAACGCTTTCTGAATCATAAGCAGTTAACCAATTCTTACAATGTAAACAAGTTCACTGAGTGGTGAAACCTCTACCCAAATTCTTTTAGCAAAGCAAAGGCAAAGTCAGAAATATTTGTCTGTCTGATGAAAGGCATACGGACAAAAATACTATATACTGCTATGGAAAAAAAAAGAATATATAAAAATGAATATTGAGGCTGATTTAAAAAAATCTTGCTTAAAATAGGCATTTATATTCGCAAATGCCAAAATTTTGTTATGTTTCATTGGGATCGATAATTTTTTTTTAAACGTAATGTTTGCTTTATATATATATAAATGTGTGTTAAAGTAAACGGATGCCTACCTTTAATTTCTTCGGCAAGGCGCTTAATAGGGATATAACTGGTGGCGAAATTAAATCAATTGGCACATGGGCGGGATCCGTTACACCAGTTATCACTGATACAACCATTCCAGCTAAGACGGTAGCTACACAACCTAGGCTTGAATACCATAGGTATGAGACTCTGAATAACCAAAAAACTGCTTCGTCTTGGTTTTCGCTGCAAAAATATATTTTTTTTTCAGCAATTATAAGTTATACAAATAGACCGTACGAAAAATTAGAACCGATTAATTGTTATTATGTGTGGATCACAAATTATGGCAAGATTGCAAAATAAGAAACATTCTATAAACTAGTATTACCTTGGGGAAATAATCAAGGAAGTCAGATTATAGTAAGCAGGACAGGAATCCGTTGATGTAGGAAGCCGCGGGAGGGGAACCTGCGCTAGTTGTGCACCACCGCCCGCCACAACCACTACGAGTAGCCCAAAAATACCGCCTGCCACTGCACCCTGTGAAGAAAATAATATGTATTCAAAAGTTTAAGGCTTTTGATGAACCCCTGGTACGGGTTTATAATTAATGTGTAATTTTCTTTTAAGTTAGCATCTCACGGAGTCGCATTGAATTCTCTAAGTGGGCGCTGTGTGGTCTAAGTAACATGTGCACTAATACAGAGTAACATAATTATAAGCACAAAAAAATCAAAATTATAAAAAGGGTGCATATAGTTTTAACATATTTACCGTAGAATTGGCCCACGGGAATAACATTCCTAAACTAAAGAGACCCAAGGAAACACCTCCAGCCATGCCGTTGAATGAGAGTGCCAATTGTAGAACTGGCCCAAGTCGTTCCACAATGAAGACCAGAGCAAATGAGATAGCACCACAGGCCAAGCAGACCCACTTTGCTATCTAAATAAATAAAAAAATCACTTAGGAATTTAAAGTGTCTCATCAAAACTTAGAGTTCGATGTGTATTCTAAGTTTAATAAGATAATGTAAAAATAATGATTAAAAGACAAAGGTATTAAAATAAAACTTAGGTTTATAGCATATATTTAGCTAAAGTACAGTTAGTTACTTTTGTCTTAGAAGTATAAACGTTTTTACCATTGCCCCTTTCTCTTCTGGAAGTGTTATTCCTAATAAGCCGTTCGCTAAGTCTTGGCACGCGACTGCAGCCAGAGAGTTTAGGGCTGATGCAACAGTACTGTGGAAATAATTGATATATCTTAAACCTTAAAATATAGCACTAAATTTTAAACGAAACTATAAATAAAATATGCTCAAGTTTCGCTATCTAATTCCTCAAAAAATAAAATCGTCTCGGAAGTTTAGCATATTTTTATTGTAGCAAGTTTAATTTGCAATCAATTAGTTTATTCCTCTGTGATTGGCTCATTATTATACTTAACATATTAAGAAGTAAGTTATTTATCTTAGGAAATTTACTAATCCGTTTAAGAGCAAGAATTTTAAAAGTTTAGGTCGGTATTATACAATTAAACCTAAATCTAATTGAGAGCTGTCAAACAATTTTTTTATGCATGTTGAAATTTTTCAAAACCTGGCTTAAACGGATTAATAAAGATAATTAAAATTAGTGCAACGGTTTCTTTTATCAAATATATATTCAGGCTCCTTACATAAAAAATATTAACACTGACACAATGTGGACTTGATTAAGGTTAAATTCGAGGGAGATGTCTCAAATTGAAACCGGAATGCTATCTGGACATTTCTGGTTAGTTCTTAATTTAAGACCTAATACTGAATCTGAGTTAGTGATTCGAGAGCTATCATACCCAACGGGTTACAAGTTTTAATTGAGTGTATTATAGTGGTGTTTTAAAAATGGTTAATTTTATTTGTAATAATTCGTAGGTAAGAAATCTTTAATTTGGAGTATTAGCGTCCGTAGGTTATTTGTCAGCGTAGGTACAGTAATGATGCTTAATAATAAACTTAAAAATACATAAACTCAATTTATTTAACAGGATTAATATTGTAGTTTATAATTTACTCGGCTGTACTTTTGCTTTTACATATAAATATGTTTATTTTCGGTTTCATTATTCTTATTACATCAGAATGAGGAATAAAATATTTACCCGAGACTAGCCGCGAAAATGCCTGCGACGAAGAAGCCAGGAACGCCGGGGTATTTTCCAAATTCCCTCACCACATACAATGGAAGTAATCGATCCGATGCACTGATAACTCCGGCCTATGAATTGGTAAGTTTGTTATTGTATACATATTGCTAACGGCTATGGTATTTAAAAGTGTTATTTATTTTTGGTTTCTGAACGAATAAACTTTGGATGGATTCATTAAAAAAATGAATGTAAATATTTTTTTATTTTAAACTGGGATAAGTACGTACCTATCTATGGATAGTCATAATATTTAACTGTGAAGTCATCTTTAAATCATCATTCTAATATTTTATTTTCGTTTTCTCGGTTTGATTCGACATTCAACTTGAATAAACCAAACGCGCGACATAGTTATTGAAACAGTACATAATACCAGACCTATTATACTAATTTATATTCAACTCACCTGTATTGGATCGCATCCAGCATAATGGGCGGCAAGCACTGCTCCGGTGATGAAATTCACAGAATACACGGCAATCAAGCCAATTGCAGATACCCATAGAGCGATTCTAGCTTGAGATATGCGCTCAACAGATAAGTATTTTTGTACGGATGCCTGGTTTGCGCAAAACATGCTCACCCAGTACATTGTGCCACCAACAACTACTGACCAAAACGAATGGCGGACCGTGGGATCAGGGTCCATGCTAAAATAATAAAGTTTTTATTATATTATTCATACCATTTGAATATGCAATAAACAGAACTTCTCTTTACAACCTGTTAAGGCAACTTCAATAAAAGAGAAACCCAATAAATTAAAAATATTATAATTCAAAGTATTCAGTATTTTTACACTATTTTATTTTTTGCTTAGTGATATTGGTCAAAAATCATAAAATATTTTTTTTTGTCTTTGACTTTCGTTATCTTTAATATTGTTCTAATAAAGATGACTTAGTACAGACAAATTACCGAAAGCTCTAAATATACCTGACACCTCCATAAAATATAATCCTGCATATTTACCGAGGTGATAGGGCGAATAGTTTATCGCGGAAGATTGTTGCCTCATCTAATATATCGATGTCGAAATGGATTAGAACGTATTACTTGCAAGGAGAAATTATTTTACAAAAGTGAACGGTGCAACTTTAAGATCTATCTAAATAATTATTGGCAAAAGACTTTGCAATACTTACTCGAAAAAGTGTAGTCTATCAGAACGTCTTGAATAATCCCAAACTGCGTTAAGACCGCCAACTTGATCTGCACCTAAAGCTAATACTGTCGCTAATGATGCTAATAGAACTGCTGATTGAAAGGAATCGGTCATGATTACTGCTTTCATTCCACCCTGAAAATGTAATAAAACCACATTCATAACTGAATGACGTTAAGTGGAAATACATTTTCGGGATAGACTTATATCGTGTTAGTCTTACATAGATGTTCAAAGATAAATCAAACGACATTCACCGCGTATTCCATTAGACTGTTCCTACATACTCCTTAAATTGGCGCATTATGAAATGTTAATGCTCATAATTCGATAAAAATTCTAAAATAGTAATGTACCATGATATTTTTTTAGGTTTTAAAGGAACAATCAAAGTTTTAGTGGGTTTTGAGCCTATCTAATTCTAGTAGATTTAAGTGATTACTTACTTGGGAAGCGTAAAAAATACAAACTACGTAAACCAGCGATACTGCTACGTAGGTATTTAATCCAGTTACTGAAAAAAAAATGCACATTAAAGCACTGTGTATATAATTTTAAACCTACGTTGAAAAAAAAATTATCCGTGGTAATTCCAAATTCGAATGTATTTATTAAATTAAAATTTCGTGCTTAATGGACTAAATGAGTCATTTTAAATAATACGATAAATATCATGGATTTTAATAAAAGAGTAATTGAGCGTTTTCATTTAATTCTTCGATGCAAGAATTTTTTTAAGGCAAGTCATCAGGCTTCCAACTCTTCTAAGCGATTACTTTTCCCCGGGAATTTAATCGAGGACATTTCTAATTAAAGCATTTAAAAGACGTGCGTGAGTGGAGGTAGCTGCTATTCCAACTAGTCTCCATACCCAGCTATAAATTGAATACCATAGCAGAATTTAAAATTTTACCGTCCATTATTGAAAAGGAACTGTTGCGAAATGCTATGAAGTCATATTCACATTACTATAACTGAATTAATTTTACGACCCTATTATTGTGTCATTGTGTGTCGTTGTATTCGCGTTACGTTTGGAATTTCATAATCGGTCGTTATCATAATTTCGATTTTCTTTTGTCGACAGGAATACGCGCTCGGAACTATTTTAATCTAACCAGACTCCGAGATGTCATTTCTGTTAACATCTTTTTAATAATCAATAATAAAATGAAAGAACCCTATTGCTTCACAATTTTTTTAAAGAAACTTCAAATTCTTGTACTTGAAAACTCGAGATTTTAAGCTAATTGTGGCTTCCTTTGTATTCCGTTTCTACTACTACCGTACGGTAGTCACAATTCGCAATACGTTTTACATAATAATATAATAAAAATCCAACCATCCGAGAGAGCAAGAGCTGGAGCATAAACAGCCACTGCAGTGTACAATATCATTTGAAGCATGTATAATGCGCTTGCATAAACTCGCATAGATTTGCAGAATCGCACCTCCTAAAAACAATGCGTAATAAATAAGTAAATACACAGCAATTCCTTCACTTCTTACCTCTTAATCAAGGACTACTATATAGTCTATACTAGATTGTATAAGCAATTGTTTACGAACATATCCACATACCTATGTATTACAGCCACATGTTTGTTACTTAAACTGATGAGCAATAGGTATTGATACACATTGAACGAGGGTTTGACAGTTTATTTAATTCTAAATTCAATTAAATAATTGTAATACCAGTAATTAAACCCGTTTTAATGTTTCGAGGAGGTGAGCAAGTTTTCTTACTGTATATTGAAAATTTACGGTTACCAGGTATTCGTAGCATGATGTCAATCGAAGCCTCATAAAAACCGGTAGATAAAGTTGACTAGAAATGGGAACAACCAGAACAAAAGCAATGCAAATCATCCAAAACTGAGCCCCAGCTATGTACATTTCTGCTGGATTGCCCAATAATTCGATAGCGGTTATAAAACTGAAAAAAAAAATCGTTAAAACTAACTCACTAACTAACTTAGGACAAACGTCCTAAAATTTGACGATTCGATTTATATTGAACACATGCTGTTTTTATATGATAAAATCAATTATGCATCTAGGCGCATTTTGTTATGTGTGATATACAACACAGGTGTACAATAGCAGGTCCACAAATTTATTGAATCACTGCGTAAAACATTGAATTGTGGTTGTAGTAAAATCAAAATAAATACAGGAATATTTTTCACGAGAAATTTATCAATTGTCGTGACATTGTGAACAAAAACATTCCAAACACACCATTAACAACTTTAGTTGAATAGAAGCGTAGACAATCTTACCTTGCCGCTAAACTTAAAGCCATGGGAAAAGTCCCCATCGATGATCCACCTAAAAGAAAATCATCTCCTGTCGTTTGTTTCTCCCCACAATAGCCATAAAATACGCCGATTGCACAAGAAACGAATAACATAGCAGCAAGTACCCCATAGTCTTGCCAGTGAAAAAGTTCCGAGAGATCGGTCTCATTGCCGGAGCTGGTATTGTTTATGGATGTACTGACATTGAGGGTTGATGCAGAGGCGGCCGCAACAATGCATGATGTAGTAGTAAAACCTACAAGCTTATGTAACGTCAACTGAAACAAAAACCTTTTTAGTGATAAATTCATTAAACACATAATATGGTATTTTTAAAAGTAATCCATTCTACTTGAAGATCAGGGCTACACACATATGAGGACCGTGAATCTATCGACAGCAGTCCTGACCACTTTTAATGGTTTTACGCGTTTATTAACGTATATTGAACACCCTACAATTACATTAATAACGGAAGTTAATTGTGCGTAGGTGTCGGTAAAAACGGTTTTGATCAATGAGATACAAGGAACGTGTGTATAACGTTAATTCTAGTGATTTTCCAATTGCATTAATTAATAGATTGCTTTAGTTTTTCAAGCCAATTGATTTTTTTTATCTTATTCTACTAGTTTAATGTAATTGCTTTAATCCAACGAAGAACTAAGTACCTACCGATCCACATCGAAGGCGCACTCTTGGAATTAATTGAATCCTTATTAATTGTAAATTTAAATCTATGGGACCTTTCTTATAGCTTTTGGTGTTAAATTCAAGATGTTAAACAGGGATTTTGTTTTCTAATATTTAATTTGATCATTAGAGCCAGCTACCAATAATAACTGAGTGTCTTTGTTTTTTGAGGTTACTTCAGTGTTTATGATAATAGTTAAATGTAAAAATATATTCAATCACAAAATTTTGGAACTGTATTAACATTTTTAAATTTTTTTATCAGCATAACTTGCTTATTAAAGTCGACGTTATGTCTATTATTTCAGCTTCTGCTACGAAGCGATCTCGTTTGAGAGCTGAATTGGAAAAAACTGGTTCAGCGTTCATTAAAACTTCTTTACGGCGGTAAGTTCCGGATAATATAAAACTATATGGGGTTACTGACAGCTCATGGGATTGTTTGCGTGGCTTCATTCATGATACATTCCAAGCAATTAAAGGAAACTTGACTTGACTTCATTCATGATTTATTATTATTATGCGGAGTTTAGAGAATTCGAGACCATACAAAAAAGAATACAATAGATTTTCCTGTTCCTTGTTACGAAATAAATGTTAAATTCCTGGCATAATCGCGAATTTAGGAAAAGCATAGGTAACTGCCAAAATATGAGACGTGGCTCTAAACGAGTCTCTTCCTGTATAAAACACCAACGAAGGGGCATTTGAATTAAAAGTTATTAAATTATTTATTAAATTCGTTACATAAATACGGGTAACATAAATTATTAGGGAAACAACGGGCGGTAAATAATTAAGTTGACGTAAATATCATTGAATGAACATGTTCTTATTTGTATATTTTTTTATATATGCTAGCTAGCAGAAAAAACATATTCAAATTTGAATAAAGCATTTGGATTAAATTTAACCCGAATTGAGCAGTTTAATTTTAACCTCCTTTCTACATTTTATGATATTTGGATCGATATATTTATTTTGACCTGACAAACGTTGACCCGGCAAACGTTGTTTTGCCATATATATTATTTCTAGGAAACTTTGATTAGATCAATAAAAATAACTATCTACTATAATAAAAAAATAGGTATTAATCGTAGAGGGGTGAAAGTTAAGGGTTGTGTGTATTTTTTAATGCCACATAATAAAAAATTATCTTAAAAATAAACTTTTTTTTTTTGGGGTGGACACCCCTTTATCACTTAACGGTTTGAAAGATAGATAGTAGCCGATTCTCAGACATACTGAATATGCATACAAAATTTCATAAGAATCGGTCGAGCCGTTTCGGAGGAGTATGGAACGAACGAATGAATCGAACATTGAGACACGAGAATATTATATATTAGATTGTATATGTCATATACCATATATAACTTCTGCGTTTCGCTCCCGTTCGAGATCTATGAAATTTTAAAATAACCAAAAAATTAAAAAAAAATATATGTCGAAAAGAACGAAAAATAAACGAAGCCCCGATCGCTTCGTTTCCCGTTCACCGTTCGTGTATATTTTTATAAAATTTAATTTCGATTTACATAGATATATATTTATTTTAGGTCTACCATATGGACTATGATGTCAGGCCAAGAAAGCTGTCTACCGACTTACCTATAAAGGAAAATGCTTAATGATACCGATACGAAAATCTGAGGCCAAGACTCATTTGGGTTGTAATGCCACTGGATGTATGTATGTATGAATAGAAAACGTTACAATGCCCCAATCAATAGGAACTTCTTTTTATGAATTTTAAAACTCTATAAATTTAACTAACTATATACATTTTATAAGAAACACTGCCATAGAGACTATGTACGTTAAGCTTGTAAATAGTGTAATTGCAGGTGGCATTTATTACTACTAATATTCATGTTGGAAATATCTACTGAATTCATAAAAACCAAAATTGATGTCTACATAAGTCTACTTTTCAGAATACAACCTAGAAAACTTCATAACATTAACCTTCCATGTCATAAAATAATAATTACTTTATGTATGTATTAAGTTACGAAATTATGACATAGTAATTGGCACGTAACAACTTTTCGTGAGTGTTTCCTAGAGCGGTTTCTTAATTCTCTAAGACGCGGACAATCCAAAAGTGAGTGTAGCTATCAAAGTATGAATCACATAAGTAGAGTTAGATTTTTAATGGATATAATTATAATACTGATAAACTCATTAGACAATCTACATCATGTATAAATTATATATTAAAGAAATTTCTTAAACTCTACATTTTTACCTTAAGTAAAGGACAACGCCGCTTGAAATTATCTATTGCCATTCTTGAATATTTTGTAATTAATCTCTGTTCATATAACACTTTATCAAAGAAAAAACGTTCGACCGTAATCGAACTAGTACACGTCCTGACCACACTGTTTAGTTTTGACTGTACTGAACGCCCAACATGCACACCAATAAATGGTAATTAATCCGATGACACAGAACACTTTGTCTCACTCCACATTGTTTATATGAACCTTTATTTCGGCTTATCAAAGAAATATCTTCACCAGTCAATATATCACAGCACTATAATTAATATTGCCACGATTCGAACTTAAGAAACATGTAAAATTAAGTGAATTTAGTAATCCACCTTAATCTTATGGCGCTCATATACGATACGTGGTATTAACCAAATTTTATTTTTATTTGGTAATTTCGTGAAATGTATTTTCAGCTGAAACAATTGTAACGTTAGATCCGTTATTGCGCCTTTTTTACAGTAATCAAGAAACATTATAATGCCTCATACAATCTATACAATAACATCTAAGTTGTGCGTGCTATCAGAATTGATTGGTCAACCGTGGAATCATTCGTCAGTTGCATCGACACCATGATTTCAGTCTAACCACTTTAAAATGCATAATATTTTTAAGGTAAAATAAAAAGGCTATATGTTTTGATTATTAATAATCGTACAATTACAATTAATACGCAGTGATTGGCATAGGTGCTTCTTACCAGAATCAAACTATATATGACGTAGGTTCTGAACAAATTTCGTTCAATATTTTCCCAACTTTGCTTGCTCAAATGGATATTTCCAACTAATTACTGGCATTAATTCACACGTGTCGCGAGGCTTAGGCACGCTTAAATTGTTATTTGTTTTTAACAAAAGGGGTACTTATCGCAAAATCCATATTTCACGGTTATTTAAATCTTCAGACTGTTTATTCAGTATATTTTTTAACTTAAACACTATAATAGTATAGGGAACAGACTTATCTTCATTAATTGTAGGACTTATTAAAGTCGTAGAGTTAATTATACGTACCTACTCTAACAATAAAATTGATGAGAGTCACGTTTTCTAAGATCCTATTATGTCATTTGTAGATCTTTAACCAACTGTATTAGTAAAATAATAATTAGAATTTTTTCAACAAAATATTATGTGAAAAACAAAATGTGTTAGAATAAATTTTGCGATAAATGAAAAATATCTGTTTACTGTTAAATACTAATTTCTTTAAAAATAATACGTATTGCGATGTTGTCAGCAGGAGGGCTGAACCATAAGGTTGCGCAAAGCATGAGGACCATCGAAAGTGCCCCCACCCTAGGTTAGAGCGGAAACCTCTTAAATACTCTGCTTCATTCTCTCTGCTGGACATACACTGTCTTTGCCTGCGCACTATTTGTGCATCAGGATGTGTCAAAAAATGGTACGTGACTTAACTAATTTACCCAGCGATATTATTGCACTATTTGAGTAATAATTATTTAATATAAATTTATTATTTGTATTATAATAATATTTTATTTGTGTAGGTTATGCAGACAATAATTTTCGCGGCGGTGTTGGCGTGTGCTGTAGCGAGGCCGGAGCCTCCATCATCGTATGGTCCCCCGGCCACGTCATACGGGGTACCTGCCCCGCAGTACGGTCCACCTCAGCAACCGATTGTTCACAAGCATGTCTACGTTCACGTTCCGCCTCCCGATAACGAAGTGCCCAAACCCCAGAAGCAAATATACGTGCCTCCTCCACAAAAACACTACAAAATAGTGTTCATTAAAGCACCAACACCGCCAACGCCGACCGCACCAGTTATTCCAGTACAGCCTCAGAACGAAGAAAAGACACTTGTATATGTGTTGGTTAAAAAGCCTGAGGATCAACCTGATATTGTGATTCCCACACCTGCCCCGACACAGCCTTCAAAACCGGAGGTCTATTTCATCAGATATAAGACACAGGTAAGTTAATTTATTAATCTCATTTTTGATGCGGGATTTTTTGCGCTAAGAGGAACGAAATGGACTCCGACTTAACGTTAACAAAATATTTTTAATATAAATATACCTACTTCTGACAACGATATTATAAAAATGTGTTTCATAGTGTTCATATCCTATAAAACAACTTTACAAATCTTTTTATAATTATATAAGTATGAGGCCATTTTTTTTAGAAAAGGAAAGTATGTTAACCACTACAATTATTTATTGTTATGAATGGCATTACAACATATATAATGGTGTAGCTTGAATGCAAATTACTTATATGTTCGTACACTTTACTATGAATAACAATATATATAATTTATTACAATAAATTCGAGTAACACTTAAATCACAAAAACATTTATGTCAAGTCAAGAGATATTGGAATAATTTAATGTTCATTAAGTATTTTTTGTTCTTTTAAATAAAAGAAAGTTACATTAAAGTATTACTTTAAGGAAAAACGCTAATTATAAATTAAACGCAATTCATCTGAAAGGTTTTTTTATTTGGTTTTTTTGACGTGACAACGCTTAAATAGGAGCGGGCCGCAGAAAAACATGACTCATGCGGCGTTACCTGTTGAGGCGTTACCTGTTAGGCGTTACTCTCAGGCGTACTCGTTGAGGCGTTACATTTAAAATTGACATAATTGTATTTATGGTACAAAAAATGTAACTTGATCAATTCAATTGGATTTCATTTACCTCCTTTTATATCATACAAAATACCTATCAAACAAATAAAATTTAATATTTTTTTTGAAAAATGCAACCATCCCAAATATTTTTGTATATTTTATTTGTTTTTTTTTTATTTCAGAAACAAGACGGGTACCCTGCTGCAGCGCCTCCAGCTTCACAATACGGTCCACCCGCTGCAGCTCCATCTTCTGAATACGGCGCTCCATAAAATTAAAAAAATTAGAAACACGCTTTCCTTAGAATACCTTTTAACGTAAGTAGGAAAACCAAAAATATGTATACATTTATATTTTTATATTTAGTATATGCTAAGTTTGTTGACCGTGACCGCAAAACGTTAAATTTTAGTTAGTTTGTGCCATTTCTTAACCCTCTTAGTTTATGTCTCCAACAATACAAATTTTGAAAGTTATCTTTCAATAGACTATCGACTATCCAAGGATTTTTCTATTTTTTGGCAATTGAAGCTCTCATTACGTAGATGGCATAGCTACATTAACTGTAACACAAATTAACCTATTTCGTGTCGTAGTAAATACATAAAAATATTATCTGTGATATCAGAAATAAGAGTACTTAATAATTTAATATGTACACAAATTCGAATATTTCAGTTTTTTTTTTATATTTAATATTTATGTATTGGAAACCAGATCCAGATATACCCACACAGATGATCGAGTAAAGCCAATTGCTTATAGTTATTTTGATTAGTTCAATGGGTCATGCGGGTAGAATCATTATAGAGAAACACCAGCTTGATTGTATCAATTTCAACTGCATAATGCAAAATATATTTTCTTGTAAATACACTTTATTATATGTACTTGTTGATAAAAAATAAAATGTTGATGTTAACTGTCTTTTTCTTTTAAAACCTTTAAGTTAACATTTTATACCCACACGTACTGTACGTGATAAATTTTAAAGTAAATATTTCTTAATCACCGTGGATCGGCCATATTGTGTAATACAGCGCTAAATAGCTTACGAGAGGGTTGTTAGTGTAATGCTAAAAAGGAAAACTTCGTTATGTGTAACCTTATATATAAATATTTCAATACAATATATATAAAACCATGGTATGGCATAAAATACCTGAAATAAAAAGAAAATATCTATAGATTGTGATACGCAACATTTCAATATTTGATAATGTTGCGTTGCCCATACTCTTCGCTAACCTCTTGATGTTAGTCATTACACATCGTCTACATTCGCTCTACATATGTACATCTATTAAGTGCATAACATACGCCATATTCCTCAATCTAAAAAATAACAATGTATGTAGAGATTATGAACTATCACACGGAATTATGGTTATATCCGCGCTCCATACTTTCACGATACGAGAAGCGACGATGGAGGGCCATTGTATTTCATTTCCGCGTGCTAAATTGCAGGTTGTAGCGTAAGTAATGTAACCTTGGAAGCACTGTGACTTATCTGAAAATAACATTTTACGATAATCTATCCTTACTTTAAATTACGTTATATGATGGTTACTCACTTGATTTCCAAAGTTTCGACACATTTCTACTATGGTTGCGTCTTTCATTTTGTATTAAAATTATATCATATGAGTTTGAAATAAGCGCGAATGTTCTATATTTAAATCATCCAAAATAACCTCAGTTGCTGTTGGTGTTTATTTTGATACTGATCTCGAAGTTATTGGCAGTTGCGTAGGACTAGGTCACTCTTCTAGACGTTGTTTGTAGATTTTTAAGTAAAGATATGACGCTTCAGATTGAAACCGAAGTTAATTTAGGCCTCGAGCCATGTGTGGCCGTCTGGAATAATAATCTATTTGTCGGAACAGAATGTGGATCTGTTGTTGTAAGTGTTTGTTATTAGAGAGATTTCTTGTGTTAATTATAAAATGTTTTTTTACATTAGTAAGTCAGATTAAAACAGTACTTTACGATCTGTATACTCGGTAGGTTAGTAGCTTTTAGTTTTTATTCTAGGTACTAAATCAAAATCTTCAATCTGAAACGAAATGGGCAGCTCATGAAGTACAGATATTTGCTATGGCCATAAGCAACACTAACGTTTATACAACTTCTAATGATGGATGTATAAAAGTTTGGACATTAAAAGGTGAAGAAGTAACTCAATTAAAAACCGACGGCGCCGATATAGGAGCCATGTTTGTATTAGGTGAAGAATTGTATGCAGGAGATGAAGGTGGAAATGTAAGTTGAAATATTAAACTCAGGATATGCTGAAATGTTTATGTATTATTTGTAAACTATTTAAATTCGAGGTCTTTAGCGCGAATTATTTATATAATTCAGCCATTCGGGTGCTTAAAGGCAATCATGTATAGGTGTAAATAATGTAATAACTTCGCGTTTATATCCATTAAATAAGTTTTATTTAAATGAGCAGTACCCGCGCAAACTAAGGACAATATTATGAGTTAACTAACGAAAGCTTTAGGATATTCTATTATATATTTATATATAATTAAAATCTGTGTTGTTGAAAAATAAATAAAATAGATATTATTTAGATATATTTGTAATGTTTAGAACAGAATTTACACTCACATATAAAGTTAATTGGATTTAGTTCAAAAGAAAGGAAAATCGTAATAAAATTACCGTCTATATTATTTCAAATTACGTTTCTAGTACTATTTGCTAAAACTTCTTTTTAGGCGCAATACGTGCCTAAAGCTACGTTTTTTTACAGATTTTTGTCTACGAGAATAACGCATTGAAAGCCTTCTACAATGTTTTGGAAGAAGTTAAAGATATAGTTGTGCAACCTCCTTATATGTTTACTGCTCGTGATCTTTATGTAACAATAACTGAAATTAAACCTGGCAAGTATTTTGAATGTAGCTTTTATATATATTATCATATTATATTTATCTATTTTTTTTAATCTAAAAATTGAAAGACGATATATCTTCAATAGCGTTTTAATTTCATAAAACGAGAAATAGTCATTTAAGTGCTTTTGAATAAATTATGTTATGTAACACATTATTTTAGATCAATCAAAGGATCAATTTGTCACTCGCCATGTTATGGAAGGAAGGGCGCCCATGAGGATACTTAACGAATCTCGTTTAGTGGTGATAGGGAGAGGTGGAAATAATTTACAATTACATGAGTTATCTCTTGAATCGAAATTTAAAAAACTGCATGAAGTAAAGGTATTTATTTAATGAGGTTTACCACATCATACACTACTATAGATATCTAAGGTAAGTATATGTTACAAGCTCTAACATGCTTATCTAAAATACTTATATGACAATTCAGGTAAACATAAATGTTACAAAAATATCTAAAAAAAAAAACGAACAGTTTTTGCTAAACAGAAAAAAAATACCAGCAAAACAGAGGATTAAGTATGACATAGGCACATAACAATGCTTTCTTTAAAATTGATCAGCCCACTACCGAATATATCCAGCTCCGAATAAGTACTATATTGATTCCGTATATAATCGCGAAAAATTCGAAATAGTGGTGCCTGAACTCCTAGGTTGGTTTTTGCAGATGGAATTTGGAAAATTCTGATTTTAAACCGTGGGAGTAAGGGACGACAATGTTATGTCCTGTAAGAGGTTACTGTTCTGTATTTGACCATTTAGCAATTTACATAAGAACGTAAAACCGGCTAGAAGTCTCCGATCCTACAGTTCTAACGTCGTTGACCATTATTAAAAAGAGTAACGGTCCCAAATGGGATCCTTGAGGAACACCAGATCGCGCAATGTAGGGAGTAGGCTCAGCGCCCCAACCTCCAACAATTACTGACTGAGGCCCGTAACGATTACATTATCATGAGCGAATAGGGTTCATATCATGGTTTTTAGATCTTCTATAACAGACATATAGGTGGTCAGCTTTATAAAAACGATCAACTCCTATAGGTATATAAACCCTTTAATAGTCATACTATTGCTTTAGAGTTCTGTCAAGGTTGTTAATTGACTAAAAGCATCAAAGCGGAAGTCCCAATGTATTGGAGTTACAAGGTGACATAAATACTTCATACCTGGCAGTCTCTAATTAATATTCCCTAGATTAAGTCCGTCATATGAGAAATTTAGAGCACTGCCAATGTTGTGAGTTGTCTATGTCAGGTCAAACTTTTATTAGGAGGAGTCAGTTATATACTAGCACATATTGAGTATCTTTTATTATATAATGATAAGTTGATGTAGAGGGTGAAATTCCGGCAAACGTATGTATTTTCATGTATATTGTTTCTAAAAAACAATTTTTTTATTCAATTAAAATAACGACTTTTATAAAAAATTGGGGTTGATCGCTAGGGGTTTGAAAATTAAGGTTGTATGTATTTTTGGTATTCATAAAAAGTCATCCTTTTACCAGGAGAATGGGAACGAACATTGTGACACGAGAATTTTATATATAGAGATTAGATACTACCATAGTCCATAAGTCTTCAACATTGACGTTTTAGTTCTTAATTCTTGAGCGTTATGATAATAAATGTTAAACATCGTAAAAATAAAAGATTAAATCGTGAGTTACTAAGCTTAAAATACAATAAGTTTACTCTAATATACTAAGTTAAAAGATTTTAGTTTTTTCGTTACTCTTAATAACCGAGGCTTGGCAGTTTTCGTTTTTTCTTGTAAAAACGTGTCCGTTGCGAACCCATACAAAATATGTATAGGTACTGCTTCTTTTTAGCTTTCAAGCGGGTGCCCGCGTAAAGAGCGTTATTAAAAGATTGTATATGTTTGGATACAAAAATGGGTTTCATAGTTCATTCGATACCAAGATGACAAGAGATCAGAAGAATCAGAGATGACGCCATGGCAAATTTACCTTGTGGATTCTTCTTATTACATTTGCTCACAGCAGCCAAAACAAAGTCATGTGCAAGCAGGCTACATAACTTAGCTACCAAGAATCGAGGCCTAATATATTGTTTTTAATTTGAAACATTAAACAACTGATTTTGTAGTAAAGCATACTTACCAACCAACACCAATGTTTAAGTGTAGATTATTGAATTCAAACCACTTGTATGACATTGGCACTACACAAGCATTCATTCTACCATCTACCAGTACTTATTCCTTTACATACTTTACATACAATACTTATGGTTAATAATAACCAAATAATACATATTCTCAAAAGTTCTACATGTTCATAACTAATATTAGCATACATATTTTAATTTTAACTATTAAACAGCACCATATAACTTTATCCAGAATAAATAAAGCTTGTTGTTATTAGGTAAGTGACATGATTCTGACAAGTCTTACAACCAGTGGTGACTTTGCTTGGACTGCTGGCTGGGATGGTTTTGTGCGTAGATGGAAAGTATCTGGTGAAAGACTTGAGGCTGCAGGAGAAATGAATCTTGGTGGATGTATTAATGCTCTAGTGACATCATCTTTGGATCATGTTTGTGCCCTTTTAACAGGTGGTCGTGTTCTTATAATAAAATCTATGTAAGTTTATGGATTTTATCAGATTGTACTTAATTTTAATGTTAGTTCTGCAAAAATGCATTTTATTTATAAAATAATGTTAAACTTTAATATAAATATTAATAGGTTTAGCTAGAGCTGATATAGTATTTGCTTTTGTAATATTCTTTTATGAATTCAATAAAGATATTTTCTATTAAGACTTTTTGTTTGCTTTTATTTCATATAATGCAATATAATATATGTATAAGGAGCACAAGTAAAAGTCACATATTAAAGAACACTTTTAATAACTACTATATAGATTTTACATAACCAAGCATTGTCTTAAATGATAATTTCAACATCACATAAATCGCTTTCAGCTGGAAGCTTTATGGTTTTAGGATTAACATAATTTGGATCAATTGGTTTTAAGCCAGCCTTCTCACGTCTGTACAATTCCAGGTAGGCTTCTCTTTGCGACCAGTCTTTCAGATGAATATCAGGATAGTATGCCCAAAAGAAACCACCAAATACAATGCATAAGCTTATAGTAAAGAAGTAAGATGCATGATGAGCATTTGTATCATCTTCCTTACTAGTGTAGTCAAACCCATAGCTTACCCAGTTTTTATCTTCGGTTTTAGTTTCACTGACAGTGGCAGCGCTATCGCTGTTCTTCTTGGACGTAGAAATAGCGCGACTACTTTTAGCTAAATGATTCCAAAGAGATCGCTGTATCATAGGCATATGCCTTAGTTTTATCAGCGCTGCCATTGTTTACTTCAAATACAAATTTTACCTTTATTAATCAAATATGGTCGAATTTTGAACAGTTTTTCCAATAAACTTGTTTTATTCTTACTTCTTACAGCAGAGAAAAATAATTATGAAACCATTTTCTTGACAGAAAATGTGAAAATTTGCGAAATGAAACTAAATAATGTGGTCAATTGTCATTCGGCATAGGCTAGCCGCACCGCAATGAAAGTCATTGTTCAAATCAAGTTTGTCAATTTGTTTTAACAATATATACCTCCGCATATTTCTCAATATTATTCGCCAATATTTACTAATTTTAAAAGGCTCAGTCACGAACTGATCCCTTGATCTACGCGGAAGTATGGATAATAAAAAAAATGTTCATATTGTGTATGGCAATAAGCCTTGTTAAATAAGAAACCGCGAACTAAAAAAAACGATGGATTAAAGAATGTAAGAAAGAACGTCTTCCATTTTACAAAAATCCAACAAAAATCAAAACAAACAATAATATTTGAGACATAGAAAACAACTCATTTGACGTGCACTCATAGATAAATTATGTTAAACTAGAATATTGAAGTAAGGCCCGCACATACACAATAATATTGACAATAACCCTGCCTCCCCCTGAATATTGACGGCATATTTCAGAATTTCCGGGAATTCCGCAATAATGGTTGAACAATACCGCTGGTTTACCAGACGCACACACACATATGGTATTGACAATACGTATTTTATTGTCAATATTATTTTGTTGCGAGCGGCTAGCCCTTCCCCATATTACCAATGACAAGTCTTTGATATTGAAACGTTCAAACAAACTAACAAACTTACAAATTTATCTGTGACCACAGCATTGTTAGATATAGATCGTATTTTTGACCCTCAATATTTTGGACCACAGCCCACGACGCACTATTCACAAAGGGTGCGTTCCACTAAACGCTCACGACGATCACGCTCACGACCGCTGATTTCCCCATTCCACTTGATTGTGAATGTTACTGTCGTTAACTCAAGTGGAATGGATTATGGAAGCGTTTCGGGCGTTCATGTAAATATTACAAATGTCAAGTTTGAAAATAGTAGAATTTTAAGGAGGTTAGGTAATCATAAACAATAAGTTTTGATATTTGTGACTTAAATTTATTTATGTTAAAAGTGAAGAATAATTGAATATTTTATAAATAATTTTGGTGAAGTTATCAAACAACTTAAGTTTAAATATAATCGAAATGGCTTTACAATTTCTCTTTCTGAATCAAATAATGTGATTTTTCTTTGTCGCCATCTTTAAGCTTTGAATATAATAATATTATTATTTGTCATATTTCAAAAATTGCGCCAAATTATTCTCAACGTTCACAACGACCCACCTCTTTAGATGGGTCGTTGTGAGCGTTGCGTGAGCATTTGTCATGACGTCATGAGTGACGTTTTCGCCGTGACCACAACGACCGCGGTCGGTATGTGGAATGGCTAAGGAGCATTTTGATCGTCGTGAGCGCTTAGTGGAACGCACAAAAAGTGGGCGGGCCATAAAAAAAAAATTGATCGTATTCGCCGGTTTCCTCAATCTATGTCCATATTTATATTATTTATAACACTCCCTCGTACTTGCTTGGAGTGAAAATACTCCAAATTTCAAGAATTTTATAGACGCACTTATTAATTCTTGTCACGATGGTGGTTCGCCAATACAACGAGGAGCTCAAATATCTGGAAAAGATCAATGCGCATTGTTGGAGAATTAAAAAAGGCTTTCAACCCAATATGAATGTTGAGGGCGTGTTTTATGTTAATAACACTTTAGAGAAACTTATGTTAGATGAACTACGCAACTCCTGTAGACCTGGAATGACAGGAGGATTTTTACCTGGCGTAAAACAAATAGCCAACGTAGCTGCATTGCCGGGTATTGTTGGTCGATCTGTTGGTTTACCAGATGTTCATTCTGGATATGGTTTTGCTATTGGTTAGTATATTTCTGCAATGCCTAATATAACTACTATATCATAATAGATTGTATTAGACTTAATTGGATTTTGATTTAATCACCCTATAAAGTGCAGTTTTATAGTACCAAATTCTTTTAACATATTTAATTCCTGTGATCAAACATTTCTTTTTTTGATGACATTCTGAAATATTTAGAGGCAATTAGGTTTATATCACCTGGGTAGATATGAAGTTCCTGCACCTTATTTTCCCCCACACATACTCACTAATTTTGCTACTTAAATTACGAATGCTCAATATTCACCGATTATTTTTATTGCAGGAAATATGGCAGCTTTTGATATGTCTAATCCTGACTCTATTGTTTCCCCGGGAGGTGTAGGATTTGACATTAATTGTGGAGTCAGGCTTTTAAGAACAAATCTACATGAGAAAGATGTTCTTCCTATTAAGGTTTTTGTGAATTATTATTTTTGAAATTTGAAAAATGCTAGCTGTAATTAAGTTATAAACATTATTTGGTATATTTTAGGAGCAATTGACCCAAAGTCTATTTGATCATATTCCTGTTGGAGTAGGTTCAAAAGGAATCATTCCTATGAATGCCAGAGATATGGAAGAAGCGTTGGAAATGGGCATGGATTGGTCGCTAAGGGAGGGTTATGTATGGGCTGAGGATAAGGAGCATTGTGAAGAATATGGAAGAATGTTAAATGCTGATCCTTCAAAAGTAAGTCTTAGAGCAAAGAAAAGAGGTTTGCCACAACTTGGGACTTTAGGTGCTGGCAATCATTATACTGAAATTCAAGTTGTTGATGAAATATATGATAAATTTGCTGCTGGTAAAATGGGACTTGAGAGATTAGGTCAAGTATGTGTTATGATACATTCAGGAAGTAGAGGTTTTGGGCACCAAGTAGCAACTGATGCTTTGGTGCAAATGGAGAAAGCAATGAAAAGAGATCAGATTGATGTAAATGATCGACAACTAGCCTGTGCAAGAATTAATTCCAAAGAAGGTCAGGATTACCTAAAAGCTATGGCAGCAGCAGCTAATTTTGCTTGGGTCAATCGCAGTTCAATGACTTTTCTAACAAGACAAGCTTTTGCCAAGCAATTCAAAATGGCTCCTGATGATTTAGACATGCATGTTATTTATGATGTTTCTCACAATATTGCTAAAGTAGAAGAACATATAGTAGATGGTAAATTAAGGACCCTTTTAGTTCATAGAAAGGTAAGTTTAAAAACATATTTAGCAATAACTATAATATAAATACATTTTGTATGTTTACAAGGAACAATTGCCAACAAGGCTTATAAAATGCTTGGTTTTATATTAAGGTCCTCTTCATCCTTTACAAATGTTAAAATACAGAAACTCTTTACAAAACACTTGTCTGTAGTATTTTAGAATATGCCATTGTAAACTGGTCATATTTCAAAGTGCACATAAATACCATTAAAACAGTTCAAAAACATTTCCTTAGAAAGCTTTGCAATCCTCTACACTTCAGTGACCACCTATTGCACTGTACTATATGAGGCTTGTTTAGACTATTTCGAGTTAGATACCCAAAAATTCTGACGTGACTTCATTGACCTTGTTATTTGTATAAAATATTTAACTTTACTACTCATACTGACCTTGCAAAATTTTCCTTTATAATTCCTAGAATTCAACATATTAGCTGCTTCTTTTAATGAAAATATGTATTGATATATTTTGGATCAACCTTCATACTTTTAATAATCTTAATGAGAATTTTTTTTTTGCTGTTTGCTTGTGTTTAATTTTTTATTTGCTAGTTTGAAATTATTATGTGTAATATAATTGATGTGTATGTGTGTAAAATTTGTGACGTCATATTTTCTTGTATATTTAAGCTTACATGTTGTTTTAGGACTTATAAATAAATAATTATAAAACTTATTTTCAGGGTTCTACTAGGGCTTTTCCACCTCACCATCCTCTTATACCTGTAGATTATCAATTAACTGGCCAGCCTGTATTAATAGGTGGTTCTATGGGTACTTGTAGCTATGTCCTCACAGGTACTCATCAAGGCATGACTGAAACATTTGGTTCCACTTGCCATGGAGCGGTGAGTATACTTTTATTTAAGGAATGCTTGGGAGCTATTAATTACATTTATGACTTGTCTGCTCAAGTACACACAGTCTGAACTATTATTTACCTATATAGGTTGTTTATGAACATCTTGTTTTAGGGAAGAGCTCTTTCTCGAGCAAAGTCGCGGCGTAACATAGATTATAAGGAAGTACTGAACAAACTTGAAACCATGGGAATATCAATTAGAGTTGCATCGCCAAAATTAGTAATGGAAGAAGCTCCAGAATCATATAAAAATGTTACAGATGTTGTCAACACTTGCCATGCAGCTGGGATAAGTAAAAAGACTGTGAAATTGCGTCCTATTGCTGTAATAAAGGGGTAGTTGTATAATAATATGATTATCTAGTTTCTCAACCACTATAATAACCTACATTAGTCATTTAGACTATATCAAGATAATGATTTATGTTTATTTTACAAAAGAAACAAATTACATGCATAATGTATTTATTTTCTCAACAATCTACTAAAATTTACTATCTTGTAATAATACTGCTTCTACTAAGGCCTACTGTAAATTATTATAAAATAAATATTACATTAAATTTTTAATTTGTCTGCTAAAATTACCAGTAGAGCTGTTCCTAGAAAAAATAATCCAGGAGGAATAACTGTAGAAGTGTGATCAATTTCATCTGAAACAAATGTTTTATTAAATTTTTTTAAAAGATACCTTTTTTTAATAATACAAACAAAATTATACACTATTTAAGTAATAGCAAAATTATACACTGGGGGGGGGGGGGGGGGGGGGGAAAAACCCGGCGGGCAAGGCCGGGATTTAGTTTTACATGTTGCTTGGGCGCCGCGGGGGGGGGGGGGGGGGCCCCCCCCGCGCCCCCCCCCCCCCCTCCCCCCCCGGGGGGCCCCCCGGCTTTTAAGAAATAGTGACGCGTCAGGTGTTTTTTTCGACTAAACATTATGGAATGTTAATGAAGGGGGGGGGAAAAAAAAAAAAAAAAAAAAAAAAAAGAAAAAACTTGGCAATCACTAATTGTGAACACTGCATGCCGGACTGTATGTCGTGCCGCCGCGAAAATTGTCAGGCTCGCAATTCGCCGGGGCGGGCCGGCGGCTGCGGTGTGTAGACAGCTTAATGTTTTAAACAAATTGGTTGTCAAGATACCATCTTTTTCCCTGTCTTCATTTGTCCATCCCATGCATCTTTTAAGTGCTTCTTCCCAACGCTTACGGCGTATTTCTCGCTCTGAAAATTGAAAAGGAACTTTTGCTAAACCAGCTTCTTACAAAATACCTGTTGATCATATATTATCTATCATAAATAGATTTTTATTTTATTCACGTAACGTAACGTTTTAAATTTTAAAGTGCAAAGCCGAATTAGGCTTGCATATTATGACAAAAAATTAGATATACTTGAAAATTTTTAATGTTAGTAATATTGAATGCTTAACCTTCACTAGATATTACTGGCAAAAAAGTATCTGACGGTGGACTCGGTGTGGTGGGAGGCCAAACACGCAGGGCTCGGCCGGCCACGATGGCTGCCCCAAGAGCTGTGCTCTCCATCATTAATGGTCGAATCTGATGTATTTCACACGAAACAATATATTACAGTTATTAAAAACCATAAGATTATCAGGATTATATTTTTGAAATACTTTATAACTGCCCCACTTTATAAAATCTGTATTTCCGCTGTAGTTCTTTTAAAATACGTCGCGATCATATCGAATTGGAATTATGTGGTACAAAAGAAACTATTTTGATTTCCATTTGTGCATCGCCTAAGCCCGATTGCAGGCCCAAGGCTTGAAAATTACACATTAATAGGAGTTAAGAAAAAAATTACCACGGGAATTCCCAGTGTGTCAGCTTGCATTTGCATTAATGCTGAGTTTTGTGACATGCCACCATCAGCTAAAAGCTTTCGTAATGGCGCACAATCACTGGCCATAGCCGCGGCTACAGCTCGTGTTTGCTGACAAACTGCTTCCAATGCTGCACGGATTATATGTTCATTGCGCGTTGTACTACTGATTCCACACATCACACTGTAAACATTATTTGATTGTTATTTCCACGTCCCACCACTCCTGTTTGGTTTGGTCTAGACAAAGAATTAGCAGATTGAGCATTCACTTACCCCCTAGCATCTTTCCTCCAGTGAGGTGAATACAACCCATTGAAAGCTGGTACAAAACATATACTTCCTTCCTCATTATCTGCCACCTGTGAGGCTAAATATTCTGAATCTGATACATCATTCAATATACCCATACTTGTTTGTAGCCATTGCAGTGTGTCACCTGTAGAGTATTGTACTATTTGATTAGCGAGGTAAGCTTGCATCCCATTTGAAAATGCAGGATAGGTTCCTAGGTCTTAGAAAACAAATAAACATTTATTCTAATTGCCTCCATTTTACAAATTTTTGTAATGTGTTACATGAAACAGCTACTTAAAATAAATAGGTTTGCCTAAAATCTTTTATTAAATGTATTTAAGTATTTTAAGTTTAATTTACAATTAAAAAATGTAAGATGGAGTAAATAAAATACAGACATACCTAAACATAACATGTGGAAAATATTGTCATCATGATTCTATTTGTAATATACTAACAAACTATGACTCCCCTATGTTAAAATCCACATTTTGGACACTCAATCCTTCTTAGCACCAATTCTTAACTATGAATGCAAATATAAACAAATATTTATAAATATCTAAATAATAATTTAATTCTTACCAGCCACTGCTACAGAACCTTCTAATGCATATATGGCAGGTGTATCAGGGCCCAATTTATAAGCTACTGTTGTTAATAGTCCATTTTGTGAGTGTAGAATAGATTGCCCTAAAAATAATATATTAACTTTTAGAGCTTAATCCCTCCTTTTATGTTATAATATTGAATAAAATATGGATTGAATATTTTACCTGTATTATACAATAAAAAACATCCAGTCCCATATGTACATTTAACCTGGCCAAAATTCATGCAATTTTGTCCAACTAATGCTGCCTGCTGATCTCCTAGGCACTAAAATAAAAAAAGGAAATTATTAATTTGGTTAATTTTATGAAAATTTCTGCCTTGCATTATAAGCAAACTCTTTTGTTTATACTAAATAACTTACGCATACTCCATAAGAAGCCTACCCCTGCAATTGGTGTGCCTAGAAGAGATCCCGTTGAAATGTAACCATATACTTCAGAGGAACTTTTAATCTTTGGTAATATTTCAGGTGGTATGTCGAAAAATCTCAACAATCCTTTGTCCCATTGTAAATTTCTCAGGCACATTAGTTGTGTACGTGATGCATTTGTTACATCAGTTACATGCACACCACCACGGCATCCTCCAGTCAAATTCTGATATAATTAAAATTCCATTGTTAGGAACAAATATATATAAACCAATTAAATTAGTACTCATATGATTAAATAACATTATTTTTATAAGAAAAATACCATAGCTTATTGATTGAATATTATGCTGTAAAAAGTTAATGGCTATGTGATTACTTTATCAACACCATTTTATAAAAAAATTTAGACAACTTAAGTGTTGAAAGCTATCATAACAGTGGGAGAACGAGCACTTGAAATGTAGGTAAATAGTAAAATTCTGATTTATATTAGTGAAAAAAGTTTTAGTGCAATGTGTTTTTCTTGCTTTAACCTAACACAATTTGTTTTCATACATATATACTTTATATTACATATGTACTTGTTATTTCATATTTTGAAATAAAAATGCCATCAATGTAGTATATTTTCACTCTACTAAATATTAAAAGTATCATAAATTATGTAAGGATAAATACAAAAAAATTTGATATGATAGAAAATGGTATAATAGCATCATCTAAATATTTGACATATAATCAACAGAGCCATTGTATTGAAGATCTCTATTAAACTTACCCAAATTAACCATGAGTCCACAGTTCCAGCCATACAGTTGCCATTTGCAACTGCATCTTTAATTTCTGTGACATTTTGTAAGAGCCATTTTAATTTCACTGAAGAAAAGTAGGTTGACAATGGAAGACCGCTAGATTGGGTGACAGCATAAATACTTTGTGTTGATTTACTTTTAATTAAATCATCAACAATTTTAGAAGTTCTCACATCTAGCCACACTAAAAAAATATCATTTATTAGAGAATATCTATAAGGTGTGAAAAAGTATATATATACTATGTAATTTATACAATTGTTATACATGAATTATGCAATCCCCACCTATTGCACTATATAAGGGTTCTCCGGTCAAAGAATTCCATACTATAGTGGTTTCTCTTTGATTAGTCAGACCAATGCCAACTAAATCGGCAGGGTCAATGTCCAATTTTCTCAAATTATCTATGGTAACCTGTAACATCAACCAAAACACAGCTAAATTGCAGTTCCTTCCTTTTATTTTTAGGAATTCAGTTACAATAAAGATAAGGAAAATTCTTACCTCTATGCATTCTAACACGGCACTTAGGATTTCTAAAGCATCTTGTTCTACCCAACCTTGTTGAGGACTAAACCTTTTGAGAGTAAGCTGATGGTAAGTTAATACTTCAGATGTATTCGCAGCAAATATCTGTTAAAGTTTTAGTGTTTATAAATTTGTTTTGGAACATTACATTTTTAAAATAACAAACTAGATCCATACCAGAAATTTAACATTTGATGTTCCTTCATCAATAGCACCAATTAGAGGGCCAAAATTTCCAAATTCCCGCATAATATCGTTATCTTTATTTACATAATCATGTGATAACTAATAAGGAGGAGGAACATTAAATTTGTTTTTATATCACTTTTTTAACTTAATATTCAATACTTATTAGACATTTTTCAATTTTCTGTTTCTGATTTCTGTTATCCGTTGACAGCATAGATTTGTTGACACTTGACAGCAAGTGACAAGACAGGGGCTCGAGACAAACTCAATTTTCGACAGGAGTGACTCAGTGCGTTTTCCAATTACAGCACTAGAGCGCATTTTGCGGCATAATGCTCAACGTTGAGTGTTCCAACTACAGCAACGCTTCGCACAATTGAGCACTCTCAAAACGAATGCTCTCGCAAACAATACCAACACAGTGACAGAAAATTGACCAGTATTTTTCTTTAAGTTGGCATTTTTCGAAATTTTCGTTATGGTAAAGATCCTATATAAGACTTCAAGATGCTTATTTAATGAAACTTCTTTTCGTATTAATTTAAATGCAATTAAATTCAATTCAAATGGGTTGCCTAGAAAAATTCATAGTAGTATGTTTAATGAAGAAAAATAGTATTTTTTTAAACATTTCACCGTTAAGATATTAGATAAATGTGTATACGAGATAGAAACGTAATGAAGCCATAGAATATGCAAACGTTAGGTTGTTTTTCATCACATTAATTATTTATGTGTATATATTTTTATGTACACTAAAGTATATATACATCTTTAGCTCTATAAACCGACCGCGAAGGTTATAGTCGATAGATATATAATACTTGCAACTAATTAAAAATATTTATTGAAAAAGGCAAAAAAATTTTTACTACATGGCCAAAGCTGTATAAAAAAATTTTTTTTTTAAATATTACTTCATACATTCATCAATCGAACTGAATTTGTTAGACAAAATTAGTTTAAATTTATTTACTTATAAATTAAATTTTAATTCATATTTCTTTATATACATTTATTTGAAATTTATTGCATTACGGCTAATATTATTTATTGTTGAATATTTTAAGAGCCTACGATGTTAGTGTTGAATTAAAAGTTATTCTCAAACTGTAAGAGAATATTATTTTTTGATGAAGTAAAATAGTTCTTTTTATATTCCACACCTAAAATATGAATACAATTTTATTTTAAAATTCGGATCTGTAAACAAATTTACTTTACAGGATTATACTTTAGAAAAAATTGCAATGGTTTTGAAAAAGTATATATTTTTTTAGAAATCATTAAAAAATATTACTCAAAACGTAAATGATGTAAACTTCTTACATGAAACTAAATATTTTACTGTTAATTTAGCTTGTTAAAACCTTATATTCTTTAAAGGTTTTCTCTTATTTCAGTAAAAAAAAATTAATGAAATAATTTGATTATTAAATTAAGCGTAAAAAGTTTTCAACCAATTATTATTGTTTACCACATTATTTATACATTAATGAGGTTGCTAACTCTATTCAGACCATTTTTTTGTCAATACTGACTTAGCGCACTCTGCTGATGCATTTGAAAACTAATTCACGTTCCAATTAAGCTTCAGCATTATGCGGCATTGTGCGGCACTGAGTCGAAAAATGCTCTGTAATTGGAAAACGCACTCACTAACGCTAACCGAGTCACATGCCCATTTTCTTACAAATGTCAAATGTTTGGCATTAGTGCGTCACGCGTTGCAGTGTTTTGTCTCAAGTCGTAATTTGATTTAGATATCTGTATTCTGTGATTAATAATAAACATAACGAAATATTGGTGAGGGGTACCGGGTTCGATTCCCGGTTCGTGGGCAAGTTTTAATTTAATTTAAATTTGTTCTCGGCCTTTGGGAGGGTTGTGCGGTACTGCTTAAACTGTACATGGAGGACACGGTCGAATTTTTAAAGACAAGCACGAATTATAAAAAATCCTATACTTGACGCTGGCTAATGCACAAATCGTGCCAGAGCTAGGGATGTGACATTCTGCATAAAAAAAAAATCGATTTTTTATTAATCGATTATTTTTTTAGTATGAATGATCGATTTTTCTTAAAAAAATAATCGATTTTTTTATTAATCGATTTTTTCCTAATTTTTGAATTATTTCAAAATAAAGACCCTAAATATTTTATTTTTCATGGTTTTTTAAATTAAAAATAAACAATAGAAATTATAAACACAAATTAACGTTTAAGAATAATCAAAATCGAAATTAACTTAATTTCGTTTTGATAGATTTTGATAAATGCTGAGTGTATTCCTTTTCAGTAGCACATTGCAGTTTTTTTTTGTCTTTTTAATTTTATGTAGTCTTGTGCTGCTGAATAAATTTATTTTACTTTTAAATTATAGTGTTCTATTCAAACTTGAGTTTTTGTAAAGTTAACTGCTTTTATCATCCTTTTGATGTTTTACAAAAAAACATCAATATTGTATCGAGTATATCAATATATCTTCAAAGAATTCCATTTAATGTATCGCATTGTAAACATCGATGTATATCGAATATCCCTAATAGTTCGAGGTCCGGGTTATAAAATACCAGACATAATGTCGGGAGGTGGCAGATAAAAAATCGATTATGATTGAGTTTCAATTATAAAAATAATCGATTATTAATCGATTATTTTACATATAAAATCCCTAAACAAGCCGATTTAAAAAAATTTTTTTTTTTCTCCCCCCCAGAAAAAATTAAATATTACTTTTTGGTGTTACTTATTTTTATCTAAATAATACAATGACGTTGAAATTATCTATTATTGAAGGTGATCAGATAATAGAGAATGTTGTGCAAGAAACAAATACAGATCCTGCTGAATTATCTCAAGCTTTAAATGTTTTTCGTGAAAGAATTAACTCATTATTCACAAAGAAACTTATAGCACATAGCCAAAGTAGGTATATTTAGTATAAAAATAATTGATCCTGTTTTTCAAATGAAGTCCATATTTATCGTACTATTATTACATGTCTAAATCGTCTGATTTTAGATATGTAAATAATGGGGATGTGTGAATAAGTGCAAGGTACGTTCTTTCTATGAGGGCATTTAACACTCGCTCTCTCTGTGGTGAAGTAAAACATCGTAAGGAAATTGGCATGCCTTAGAATCGAAAGTTGACGGCGTCCGTTTCGGCACAGATTTCGGCTGATGCCTATTAAGAAATTTATCCCAAAATAACAGAAATATGAGGCCAAGACCTTTACTAAGTCTAAGAACCATGGGTTCACAAAACACTGTTTTTTTTCTAAATTGTAGAACTTTAAATAGCAAGTAAATGTACTTTCTACAATTTGCATAACAATCTGTATGTATAATTTTTAGGTTCATTCATTAATTCAAGTGACAACAGTAGTGATGATGAAGATTTCAGTCTTAGTCCTAAGAAAAAAAAGATATAAATTTAAACTTTACCAATATTAAAAAGTATGGATATTATAATTAAAACAAATGTTATTTATTATGTCTTATTTATTCTACTAACACATTCTTGAAACATTCTCAATGTTGTACTTACATCATTTTACTATAATGTATGATTTTCAACACAATCACATTCAATATTTGATCAAACATGAATAAATATTAAAATACTTAATAATACCTTAAGAATGAAATGATTGGAATGTCTTAATCACAGTAATTGTAATTTGATGTTTCTTTCGTATGAAGTATAGGCAAATTTTAATATATATTATTTGTTACATGGTCTGGGTAATTTTCACACAGGGGTTCATGAGACATAATATGGCCAACCTCCAGTAATGGAGAGAAACCAAAAGAAGAAGTGGGTTATTTTATGGTTAGAAATAATTCTTATTAATATGTAGTGCAGTAGGTCTATAATATTTCTGAGAGTATCAGGTAGAACCAGTATATAATTTAATAAAATTAAAAACACTGAATATTAAACTAAGGTTTTCCTTTATAGGACATAGGGCCATTCAGTATTAATTCCTGTTTTTTAAACAATTAATAAAGCTGTTGGTAATTCAATAAAAGCAAGTGCATTTTAAACATTTTATAGGTGGCACTAGAATGTAATGTGAAATTTGATTAAAAAGTAAAAAATTATAATACAAATTATCTATTTCATATTTGTGAAAAAAAATATATTGTTCTGCTTTTATAATTTATGATGATGACAAAAGGAGACATAACTTTTTTTTGTCATATAAATGTCTGAATTTAATCTAAAGCACATATTGAGCTCTCAGGTTATAAAATAAAAGAATAAACACATAAGACATATCTACAGATCCTTGTGGAAAGTACTTTAAATGTACATACTTATTTCTTTACCCTTGAATTCGAGTGAACTAAACTATGTCACTGTTACAATGCAAACAATACAGTTTGAGGTCGAGTGTGATCTCTATGCCATTGCAAATGAGTGATAATTATGATGGAAGAACATAACGTTTTATCGCCATCGTTTTGTTTATTTTTGATATCACGAAGTAGATATAAGGTAGACGAAACCCGTTTCACGGACTATAAATAACTTACAGGTATCTAACTATATTATGTAGACTAGTTGATTGTTGCTTTATCATCAGGAGGTTCAGATTCTGAGCAACATATATCACAACCATTCACACCACAGTCGCACATAAACGTTGGTCTTATTGCATTACGCACTTTCTGAAACAAAAACAATGTCTTTAACGATTTAGATTAGACATTAGGCTAAAACTCTGGAGAAAGATTAAAGAAAACGATTTCATAATTTAAAAAAATATTGTAATTAATACAAATAGACTTCAATACATGTATATTATTAAAGTGTCGAATTGATTGATTAAGGATTGAATTATAGATGTTTATACTTTTTAAACGAAATAAGTAAAATAAATACATACTTCCCTAATAGATTTCCCGGGGGATCTTACTATGACAACCAGAGCGTATCCTGGTATACATAACAATGAAAGGGAAGCAATGATCCAGCCCAAAAACTGCGCCCATAGCGGATATTGGTACTGTCGGTAGCTGGGTGGAGTATAGTCCACTAAACTTGCAACCCAAAGTGCTAGTAATAGCGCTGGTGCAGCAATCAGCCAACAAAAACGGAAGTACAAAGAGGGTCGTTGTCCTGTAAGATAAAGTTATTCTAGAATCATTTAGGTATAAATCATAAAACATATAATCATACATATAAGTGTAGTATGGAAACAAGAATATCTTTTGTAGCACTTACTCGTGCAAAAGAGGGGCGAAAACGATAAATATTATCTTATTTGGTTTTACCTGTCATTTGTTTTATGTTCCGAGATAATTTTTCTACACCGTAAAACCATGCTATCCCCACTACTTCGAAAAATGCAAGATATGTTATGGTAAGGGAGGCAGCGTAGTAGTCCATTAATTGGAATAGATATATCCCACTTTGGATTATATGAGGTAGACCGAAGACCATTGAAATTCCACAAACAAGAAGGACTAATAACTCATGATAAACCAGTTTTCTTCGTATCATATCAGGGAATCCGTCTTGAATTGATGTTACAACGACTTCTACAATTGCAAACTGAAAATCAAGATTAAATCATTAGTTTTTTTTCTATTTTGTTGAAAAAACATTCCAATAATATAGTAAAAAATATCACCTGACTATTTAGTCCCAGACAAAGGAACATAAAGAAAAATAACACGGCCCATAATTGGGATGCAGGCATTTTTGCAATTGCTTGTGGATAAACGACAAAAAGAAGCCCAGGACCTGGAACAAACGTGGATACATATTTATTTATTTAACGTACACCTAAAACGTTGATAATATATTAATGTTTACAATAATATATTATAGGTAAAAAGGTTAAGATTTGTGTTAATAGTCAGTTTACTATTCAAATTGCTATATTATCATTCAATACTCACTATCTGCAATGACGTCTTTCACACTCGTGTTTTGTTCAGTCGCAATATTTCCTATGGTTGCGAATGTGAAAATTCCCACTATCAGACTGGTCACTGCGTTGATCAGTGAGACTGCCAAGGTGTCATGGAGAAAATTATTGTCAAAGCGATTGTATGACGCAAACATAATCATAGAGCCGAAAGCAATGCCGATAGAGTTGAAAATTTGTGAAGCTGCATTTACCCATGGTCGCGATTGTTTCAATAATTCCCAATCTGGTTTGAAAAAAAATCTTAAACCTTCATCTGCTCCATCTAGAGTCAATGACCTCCCAAGAAATACTATAATAAGTAGGAACGGCAGAGTAGTCGTTATGTATCTAACTTTTGCGGATGACTTTATGCTTTTCCAAAGTGCAAAGTAGACGAGCAACCAAGCACACACCAGACAAGCTGCCAGCTCCCACCGCATACCCCCCGGAAACTCAATACCGTCACTCATACTTAATACTTTTTTCCTGAAAATAAAACATTTTGATAAATAATAATAGTACCTTTGTTTTTCTTGCATATTATATTAAGATACCTATTATATATAAATATTATATTATTTATATTTGCACTTTAATTGTATTTGGTAAGTTGTTAAACGTTACAGGAATATCGTTTTAGATAGGCCCCATCAAACTTGCATTGCAATGGGAATTGCAGGCTAGTTTTGTTTTAAAACGTTACGTTTTCTTATCAATATTATCTAAATGAAACCTTACTCGAAAAATTGTTCTGTGGGTGTCTGCGATCCATTAGGTTTTGTAATGTTATGATTGGGGATCCAGCAGGAAGGCGTATTCCATCTATTGGAGCACGTTGCCCAGGGGACTTCTGATTTAAATGATGTAAAGAAGTAATAAATAGCCCATGCGATGATCACTGCGTAATATGTGGACATTAAAAACGAGATAACAACACTTGCAAGTCCGGCCCCTAGAAGGAATAGAGCAGATATTAGTATTTAAGGTCTTTTGGCACTTAAGAACCAGGTGCAGTCAGAAAAAGAAATGTATTCTAATAAAATTTTGATTTTAGCATTTAAAAGTTTGTTTTAACATCAATTTTAGCATTCATTATTATTATAATTAGCTAAATAAAGTTATTGGATTAAATCTCAAATACAATACTGTAACACGACTGAAATGATTAAAAACCCCTATAGGTAATCCATAGTAGGTAAGTATATTAAAATATAATGATATTACAGGCGTATCTGATATAATTTTAAAAAAATTTATTTTCATAATACAATACTTCTTAACAATAGATAGCACGCGTTCATAATAGGCAAATGTTCGCCCTTGAATCTGTTATAAGCGATATTCAGTTTAAAATACCTTTCAACAATGGACATATTTGAGAGAGCGCGCCGATGGGGCCATGGGCTGTGTACTGGCCTATCGCTAATTCCATGAAAAGCATAGGCACGCCACATACCAGAAGTATTATGAAGTAAGGAATCAGGAACGCACCTGTAAATATACATAGTCATTATTCTAATTACGTCATAATTGTCGTGGCACCCTCGTGACATAACATAAAACAAAAACATTGTAGTAAACTTAGCTAAAATCATAGCCTTAAAGTATAGGGAAATGCCCAGTTTCTAAGGGTTAACTCTCACGTTACACACGCTAAAGTTTAATAGCTAAACCAATTTGATGGTTTTAATCATACGGTTAATCACTATTTGTTTACCTGAATGTAATGGGTGCTGTAGGTGCGTCATTAGTACAATATCTAAATTGACCCGGAGAATTTACGCAATTAACCCGATCATTACTGCATCATTTTAAGACTACCTCAAGTAGGAACGCAGATTCCACTCGGTTGATCTTCTCCAAGGTAGTTAACCAGAGTAATAATAAAAATTCGATAGTTTCTTGCGTGTACCTAAATGTACTTTCAAAATTGTAATTACCCTTCGCCTAAAGAAACTATAATATTTTATAAACTATTACAATACTTCAAGTGCTATTTGCTATATCGTATCGTTTTTTCATTCATCTTCCTACCGATTTAAAGTCTCGTAACTATACCCCATGAAACAGAAAACATATCCCTACTTATTTGACTAACATAATATAAGGAATGAAGTAGGCATTTGCTAGAAAATATAATATTATAGAAATAATAGCTGACCCGGCAAACGTTGTTTTGCCATGTATATCATTTCTAGGAAACAATTTTTAGTTCAATAAAAATAACTGTCTACTATAATAAAAAATAGAGGTTGATCGTAGAGGCGTTTTATGTATTTTTGTATGCTGTATCATAAAAAAAAAATAAAAACAAACAAATTTTGTATAAAAAATGAAAAAAAACTTTTTGGGCTGGAAACCCCTTATTACATAGAGGTTTGAAAGATAGATAGTAGCCGATTCTCAGACTAACTGAATATGCATAAAAAAATCATAAGAATCGGTCGAGCCGTTTCGGAGGAGCGTGGGAGCGAACATTGTGACACGAGAATTTTATATATCTAATATACTTAAACCATCTGAGCCACAGAGTAACAACTGAGCAATCTATAAATTAACACGTCAAAATCATACAATAAATGACGTATTGGTCATATATGTGCCCTGCCTGAATTTAGATTTTACAATTCTGTTCGGCAAATACCTATCTAATCGTTTCCTTAATTTTGTGATAAAGTACTTTTATCACAGAATTGTTGTATCAGGTAATAATTTTTATGTTATTAAACAAAGAAACTTATCCTATGGTTTCGTTTGAATTTTACAATATATTTTAAAATGTTTGATAGTAGTTCATTTAAAACATATGTACTTTTGGTTCCTATGTTAAATCAATTTTGTAGTACCTATTAAGTGAGTTCATAAATATATAATATTGACTATTGTTATAGTCGGATTTATTTTATATATTACTAGAAGTGATTTATACTTATATAAAGAACATAAAGTATTACTTATCGTATCAGATATCGTGGTTACTTGATGTTGGTAGCATTTTATTATATTTATATAAAGGTACAATCAACAAAATAAATTGTCAAAAAAAACAGTCAACTCGACTGGTTCGGGAAAAATTTTTTACTGCCAAGTGCTAACATAACGAAAAAAGAAAATAGAAGACACCATGCTGATAATCGCTTTAGTGGGGACGCAAAATTTGATACACTTTATTGAACTAATAGTACCGGGACTGGCCAAGCTGTTGCTTTTGCTGACTATACCTATAGTTCGTATTGTATGACATTTAAATAAATCACAGCAATATATCATTTGATATCTTGAAAGGACGCGTGAGCAGCATGTATCGTGTCGTATCAGTTTACAAAACACATCAAACTAATTTACACCATCTAATGTGGAATACAATGAAACCACGAGATCAGTCTATTTTGCGTATTGACTAAGTTAAGTCGTGAACGATTATTTAGCTTTAGTTAACGTTTTATTACATTTGCAAATTATTCACACTCAAAAAATATTTACATGTGGAATTCTAAACCTCGTTCTTCGAGATTTTTGATGTCCATTAAAAAGTAAAGATAGAAAAGGTTTTGTAGCGTTGAGTTCATAATGTTGGCGGCAGTTTCTCCTTCGATTAATTATAATCATCTATAGTTACACAAAATTGTATGTCTAATAGTACCTTTGAAATCGTAGATGAAACTAAGAAGATAAAAATATAAGTAATTTGAACCTCATCTTTCTTCACTCTTTAAAATCAGTAAAAATCTGTTTGGTATCTTTTTCCTTCCAAATACATGTCTATATCTATACAAATTTAAGGTATTTGCTTTAGAGTACACATGCAAATATGCGCGGAAAGGGCCTTTTAGACTTTGACAATGATTTATTTTAGTTATCCATACTATAAAGATTTTATTCGATGGTAAGTGGTACATACCTCCACCACTTTTGTAACATAAATACGGAAATCGCCAAACGTTGCCAAGTCCGACGGAATAGCCAACGCATGCCAGCACAAATTGCATTTTGTTTGCCCAAAAAGGTCTTCGCGGCTTCAGGTGCACCGTTTCAGCATCTTCTTCTTCCTCTCCACAGTCACTGTCGTGTGACGCGGTGTCTTCATCGGGTGGCCTGAAAAATAAGACCATAGTTTACTTCTTTAATCAGTATCCACAATATTCTAAACCTACATAGTAATAATAATAATAAAAAAATGATAAATACAAAATTACTTTGACTAAGTCAAGGTGTTGTTGAATAGGAACGACAGTTGATGCAAATTCTGATTCTATATAATTGCATTTTTAAAGAAAAATTCTGTACCGTGGGTAAATTACCGTGGTAGTGAATATAACTACAAGTTACCAGAAAAATGTTGTCTGTTTGTTCCACTGTACAACTACATAACAGAATTATATGTAGTTTTCATAGAATGTTGCTGCTTTGCTTGGCTTAATATATATTTGTTTATAAGTACCAGATAGCGGAAAAGATGTTATAGTTAATAACACTCGTATAACATAACATGACAACTATAACTTAGTAAAAAAAACATATGTTAACATCAATATCGTCCAGAAAAATAAAATTAATTCACAAAAAATACAGTGAAAGAAACACACACATATGTATACAGTGTCTACCATAATACAACCATAATATAGCAATGAACCCATTTCTTAACTGAATTTGTTATGAGTTAAGATTTTTTAAAAGACATTACAGTATAGACGTCTGTTAAACAAGATTACTTGTCTAATTAAGCAAACTAATAAATACAGATGGATAAACCTCGGATAAAGGAAAGGTCATACAGCTCAAAGGATTTGTAAAAAACCAGGCATAAGTAAATAACGTCATAATGCTTTTAAAAGCCAGATTATTACCCTAATTAGGTAACATAAAACTACTAAATTGAGTTCAATGCAATTTATTATTTGATGACATGTTTGGCACCTAATCGTAAAAATATTATTTACACGAAAATACCACTTGAAAGAATCAATCAATAAGTGAAAATACTCAAAAAGTGTCATATTTGTACGAGCCAAGCCTGAGTGAGCAAAATGTACGGTACATTTTGCTCACTCAGGCTTTCTTAGTTTTACAAGCGATTCTAAATTGTCAGGGTTACGCCTCGAGAGTATAGCCAAACGCAGGCACTCTCTAACATTTCATTTAGCATAAATTTAATATTTTGTTATACGTGAGAGGTACATATAGAGTGAAAACAGTATTCAGAGTTATTTAAAGCATCCCATTGACCCAGGACCTGGATACTATTAATATAATTTTTATATAATTTAGACGAAATGTCAATTGTTTTTCATATACTTAAATAAGTTACATATATCATTCAGAAAATCTCTCTGGCCTTAAGTACGTTTGGAAAAGTTTTATAATTTAACGTTTAACATAAATAATTATAAATATGGCGATCGCATTCGTTTGCAACTCGTGAGAATTTATATTTATAAAATTATATACATTATAAGTAACGCGTTGTTTTATATAAGTCTAAAATAAATGTTCACGTGTCTTGTGGTCTTAATTGTCATGGGAGACGCCAGAACTTACTTAAATTTAGTTGTCATATTTATTATTGGATTTAAAAAGAATGATAAAAAAATCTCATAACATAAGTTATGAGATTTTTTAAGTTATCGGCAAGCTAATTATTATTTCCGGTGTGTGGTGTTCGCTTCAATATATTGATATGTATAATATATAATATACATGTTTAAGCGTCGCCGGTGACCATCCACTACTACTTATTTTATTTGTTAATTATGTATTAAAATAAATATATATTTTATACCTACAGTTTGTACCGGAATCAAATCGATAATCAAATATTTTTTTAATTAAACATTGGATTTATACCATGACATGCCGGAAACAGGATACAACGTAACAATTTAAACTGTCATTGTTCTTTGTACTAGTAATAAAACCATAATTCAAATTTCAAGAAATAAAGACTTAGTCTGATAACGTATAATACCTATTTGCGAGTAAATAAACATTTGACGAGAGTTTAAAAATGAACAGTGTAATCCTTAGATGTCAAGTCGTAAGTACGTAAACGTTTTTATAATCATTATCAAATAAACTGTGATAAGACCGAACTTGCGATCAATCGTTGTAACTATGGTGTGTATGAAAACTGAAGGGCGACGTTGCGTTGCAGCCTTATCTCGGCCTGAATTGACCTTCAAGGTGACAAAAACATTCTCTAATATTTCTCAAATAGAATTTTACTATTGAGCTTTAAAATTCCTTTGTGATCAGTAATAGATAAGTTGACATGTTAATTCTCTATGCATTTCGTGAACACTGCAAAATGTAATCCCACTATCAAAGTTATCTTGCGATTTATGATTATGGAATGCTTACGTCGATGATAATAGACATAATAAAACATTTTGGAAATCCTTAGTAAATCCCAATAGATTGACATCTAAATAAAAATAAATGCAAATTAGGTAGAGCCACGCTTTTGGGCAGGACAATATAATATTTGCCGATATTGTGACATTTATTTTTTATAAATAACTTTGTCTAGAAAACTTAAATGAATCTAATTTAGATGTTAAAGTTTAATATATATGTGAGACTTTTTATATTGTTTTCGTTAATGTACAATACAAATTACGATCAATATGTATTATTATAGCATAAAGCATTTATTTCATAACAAAGCGAACACTGACCACAAAATAACCAAAAATATATTTTTCGTATTGTAAATATTATTCTTCTTTAGCGAACTTTTATCAACAACATTTATTAAGAAGCTCTACTTTTAATTATATTACTAATAAGAACTAAGAGTAAATTACTATAATAGCCCTTATTCTTTGTAAAGATTTTGTCTTCTGTCAACCTGAATATTGTAAGTATACCTACTAGGGAATATTTTGTTTATCAAAAGTAATTGGTATAATTGATAATACAATCTAAGAAGTTACAGGCCTAATTAACTTGAACGGGTTTAAAAAAGTCTCATTTTGTGAAACTACTGTCGGATGAAGTTTTTTATAGACTATACAAATGGATTTTTCCTTATATATATACACCTTTTCCCTAACAGGTCTCAACAGGTTTATTTTAATTACAACAATTTAATAATAATTGCCCGAACAATGTAGTATGGTTATAGGTTTATTATTATTGAATATCTTTTCCAGAAAATTTAACTTATGTGAATAGAATTATTATTAAATCTAAAACTAAACCGTGTAACTACACAGAAATGTCGCTAAAGCAGTGTTTAGTTCAATAGAATAATGGGTTCTTAAAGGAAGTGACATCCGTTCCCATATTATACTCACGTAGGAGGACGGACGAGATGAAACAATTCGGTAGGAGAAGTTGGGACGCGACGTATGACCATTTTCCGGCCATCCGTGCACCCCATTCCAATAGATGCAAGGGAGCGAACAGAAGGAGCATAGTGGTTTGTGCTAGACTCTGAGCCATCTGGGTAAGCGATCACATGTTCATAAGGACGCAGACTCCTCGCAGAGGCTGCACCAGACGCAGCATTCACATCTCGTATACGGTGAGTATCGGTAAAACTTTTCACCTTGCGCATTTGGCCAGATGGCGTTACGGTCGGAGTCGGTGATTGTAAATATAACAGTTTTGAATTTTCCAAATCTGACCCATCGTAGTGATCCACGTGGACGGCCAGAGTTGGCGAGGTGGCTTCCTCTGAGATATCTTCTACGTCTTTGCTCATGTTATCACGTCACAGGGTCATTACGCGGTGATCGACTCCGCGTTTGCCAATGGCAACCCGCGACTTATGAGTAATTTACCGACACAGCGAGCGAGATCGGGTTAGGTGGCCGACCGACTGGTTTGTCATCGTCAATCGCGACAATTCGTAAACACAATGTGATTCTGTTATATTGCGGAGTGGGGCGAGTACAGGAAGAGGTGGGGGGCGGGTCGAGGGCCACGCATGCGCCATGATGACCGCGATACGCTACTTGCGCCCGCGCAACTTGTGATTAGGCGTTGTACAAAATCAAAATCTTTGTATCTACATATATAATGTGCGATCATCCTGGCGTATTTAAATAAACAGAAGTAAATTATGTGCTCTATTAGTGTCTTCATTGGTAATAGAATTTATTGACATATATACTTAGACTGAAGAACTTAATGTAGAAAATCGTATATAGATTAATTTGATGGTCGTATTATAATAATATAAAATGTATTCAATTTAAGGCAAATAATAATAAACAGTGTAGCGATGATTGAAATCCAGATTTTTTTTATGTACAAAACAATTTTATAAATCGAATACCTATTTTAATCATTGAATAGAATATACTTAATATTAAACGTAATTACAAATTTCCTTACAATAACTAACAATTAATTACTTTCAAGGAAATATTAATATATAATTTTCTTATACATCACCTTTAAAATCACCGGTTGTTATATTTATTTTTATAGAACAGGGGCAAATGGATAAGGGGCTTAGGTAATATACATATATTATGTTAAGTGATATCCGCCGCCAATGGACACTTAGACTGCCAGAACAACTCCTTCGAACATCCTCCATGGTAAATGCAGTAGAAGATACAGACAGATCCCACATCTCTACGCAACGCATTTAACAGTGATATTTTTTTACATATAACATGCATTTATTTGACAAATTTATTCGAGTGATAATTTTTCGAGCAACGTTGGCACAAATTGGATTACACTAATATGGTATGGAATGTACGGAAATTAATTTACATATTTAGTAGAAATTTGGATCTATTAAGAAATTTGCAATCATAATTTAATTATAAAAGAACTCACCATAGAAGATTATAAGTAGTTTTTGGGAGAATTTTCGTCATTTCTACAACCTCCTTCCTGAACTATTTCGTTACATTTGTGGATCGTTCGTTCAGATAATACAATTTAACTAGGATATTTGATTGGTTTGACAATAAATATTATGTATCACGCCCCTCCTCTAAACATGCTAATCATCTTTCAGCACGATTTTGCATAACTATTATTAGCATTTATAGAAAATGGAAAAAAATATTTGAGAAGTAGATATGATTTAGTAACGCTTATAACTTATTATTCAACATTGCTTCTCCTATTCCCAAACATTGCGTATTGTACAATGATAGGTTGATTTTTTTTCTCCAGCTAGGATCTGTGAACTATTTAATACAAAGGGCAGTAGACACCCTTTACTTTTTATAGATCTGCTTACTGATTTGTAAAAATTACAGCTGGTACTTTTATTAAAGTTCACAGGTATATTTCGTACTTTGACTTTTACGTCACTTTCATAGTAGTCCCTCGCCAAACAATGTTTTTTCGTCTTCGTTCTTTTGTTATCCAAACCTAGGATGAGCTCTAAGTATATAACGATGTATGTAACTAAACTCATGAAGGAATGTCCGCTCTCGCGCATATGCTAAAATGTACTTGTCGCTTAAATTTCTGTAATGTTTCAAGCGGAAGACCAATTTTATGATTTTTATGCAGGAAATGTGCACTAGAGTATGCACCGAGACACTAGTTCGCTTTAACATACTTCGATGGGATGGATTTTCAATACGATCAAAGGACCACAACAGCAGGTGCAGCAGAATTGACAACTTTACATGAACGCCGACGGCACGAGGGCATGTTCAAACACCACTTCCATACTTATAAGGATTAGAAAATTTCCCTTCATAAATAAATGAGTATTTTTAATATTTTTGACACAATAACGACGGCGCGTTACTTAAAGTTGATCGCGCTTACCAAGAGGCAGTTACAAGCACTTATACAGTGCGTGTGATGAATAAAATATTATAAATTTTATTATGAAAAACTTATGGAATAGGTTTAAAGCGGCGGTCGCACTTTTTTCTTTAGCAGAATATTAAAAAATAAAGTTTTAATAAGTTCCGTGGTAAAATATTGATAACAATGAGCATTAAAGTAATTAAAACCGGTAAATCAACAATAAGGTAGTAAAATAAATGAAAGGGACAGTTCCGTATGGGCAATTAAATATTCAAAACTAATCGGTAACCAAGCCTTTTAAGCTTTACAATAATACATATCCTTAGTGTGTTTTAATATTTGTGTTATGATAACTGATTGTCGTGATATTTAGAAACACTTTTGATCTGTTATCAATTTCCTGATGATGACTTAATTGAATGCCTCAAGAGTATTATGTTTTGAAGGCGAAGGCAGTGCCCCCTTAGCTCATATAATTAGGTGCTTATCTACAGCTCCATTACGTAGAAGCTAATAGAGCAGCAGTACAAATAAGGTTTGCATATTTTTGCACCTATACAATTTTTTTAAATAATTCACTCAAAGTGTACGTTATACTTAGTCTGGCCATAAATACTGTTACACTTAAAAATAAATGATACATTTGAATTTGGAATCTTTTATTTTTATATGATGAATTTTCTAATTTTGGCGCCAATACATTGGATTGGTGTGATACAGAGAACCGAATCGCTGTGATTGCAATACAAAAGAGCCAAATGCAATTTTTAAAACTCTCCATACGCTTGGTATAAGTCAAATATCTGTGTACCGGGCTATTAATAGGTACAATGAGACTTCCCATGTTTGTGAAAGAAAAAGATCTGGCCTTCCACGTAGTGTTCGTACGAAAAAGGTAGTCAAAGAAGTAAGGGAAAGAATTCGAAGAAATCCTGTCCGAAAGCAGAAGATTTTTTATCGGGAGATGAAGATAGCACCTAGAACTATATATGTCGCGTATTTTAAAAGATGACTTAGGACTTGTAGCCTATAAAAGACGTACTGGTTATTTCTTAACTGATAATTTCAAAAAGAATAGGGTAGTAAAATCGAAACAACTATTGAAGCGGCACGCAAAGTAGTAGGGGAGCCCAAGCGGGGATTTCGGTATTTACTACAGCGTCGCAGATTAATATACAGGGAGCTGGGAGATACCTTGTATCCGGTTAAGTATCTCTATCAAATATGAGCACCATATATATAGCCGCCTGCCAAGGATAAAGGATCAGATTAGTAGAAAAAAATTAATCATCAGACTTTCTCGAGCGCGTCTGTTAAAAAAAAGGGTGGCTGATTTTTTTTTATTTTGAAGGAAATAATTCCAATTATAATAATAATTTAGGATGACGAAAACTATATAATCTGACGATTTCCACAAGCCGATGTCAGAAAAATTCGTCGATAAAGTTTATTTAATACTAATAATAGTTTTCCAGAGCTTATAAATCAATCAAGATAATCGTCAGATTATGAGACATCACGTCTAGAACATAAAGATGAACCATATATATCTTAATCTGACGCGCTTGAGTATTTCAAAATGGCGATTTTTGTTGCACATTCATTTAATGACCGCGAGTTTGCGTCACATCCAAATCGTCAGAAATCTGACTCACTCGAATAACTTTTTTTTTCCATTTTCAACCCTTACGTATTACCACCCCCACCATGCAAACAATCAGATTAACATACATATATTATTAAAAAACGTAGGACATAGATGCTATCAATATCTGAAGCGCTTGAATATGTCCATGACACACTTTTATTTTACATTTTTGAAAATCTATTGCCCCCTTTTTTTCCCCTGTAATTTGGAGTTTTTTCTTTCTTTCAGTATTTATGGCAAAACTAAAGAAAGGTTATACATTAAAGTACTAATATCGTTGTGTTTATGATCCCGTAAGTAATTCAGAGGTATAAATGAAAAGACACTTATTATTATTATTTTATTAATTGCTTATAAACTAATTCGATAATTAATATACACAACATTACGTTGATTCGATTTATATAATATCACAACGTTCGAAGGAGGCGACGTCAACACAAAGTAAAAAAAGGTAGGACGCAGCGGGCGCGAGCGAGGGGCGCCCGTCACGGCCTCACCCGGCGGTCCTCCGGCGGCACGAAGTACTAGAAAAGACCGACACCGCCCGGCGCCGACGGAGGAGCGGGGCACGACTAGTTCGATAGATTAGTTCATTAATAATGCTCACTTAATATAGTAGAGGCTCTATATACACTTAGCGCTGGAAAAGGGGATTAGGGAAGTCCGGGGGGTGGGGCAGAGGAGCTGGGGGCGGTCGGGCTCGGCGCCACGCCACCAGCCAGCACGCTACCGCGGCTGCCACGGCTACCAGCGCTAGCAGGGCCGTCAGCGCCAACGCCACCGCCAGCCCGGCTGCCGAAACGCACACCTCGGCGGCGGCGTTGCCGGTCGGACCGTCTGATGCGTCGCGTTGTCTGGCCGCGCGAGACGGGTCGCGCCGCTCCAGCGTCAAGATCTGATTTGACTCCACGGTCACCTCCTCACGTAGACGTCCCGACAACGAGTTGTCATCGATTACGTCACGCTTTTTGCGCTTGCCGAAAGCGTCGTTGCCCCGGCAGTTCACCTGAAAATTCGATTATTTGACATTATGGGGTCGAACTATTTTTGCTCTTGTATAACTGTTAACTGCTTTTGATTAATTTTAGTAACGATATCAAACCGTCAAAAAAAAATCTGTATTTATTACGTGAATTGAATACATATAGCATAATAACATTATTTTAATAATATTAATTGTTTAAATTTTTTTTGACATTCTAGTATAAATGAAGTGGGAATATTTACCGGTTGGCATTTTCCAAAACAGACACGTATATTACATTGGAATCGTATATTATCACTGCTTGGGAATTTGAAAGCGTTGAAGGCAGCTCGTAAAGCGGTGCCATCCTCGCTTCTCTCCCATTCCCCAAAGATGGCGGCGTCCGTCGCGCAACCGTCCGCATCAGTCACAGTGTATTCATTTTCTATGTTCGTCGCTACTTCACTTGTCTTTGCTACACAGCTTCGGGCAAACCCGCCATATATACCTTAAAACGTAATAAAAGAAACTTATAAAATAACATTAAAATCATAAATAAAACAGAAGACTTTATCTTTATAGATAAAGTTCTTTTAATTGCTATTGCGTGTATTAAACTATTTGATTTAATTATGTATAGTAGTGTATTAGTAGTTTGTAGTGTATTAATTTCATTATTATTATTGTATTTTTATTGAGTTATAATGAATCAGCGAGAACAGCGCCCGCGAAGAAGGCCCATAATTTAAGGCTTATGCGATAGGAAGATAAAGGTAAGACGTCTCATATTGCGGGCTGTGGAAAATAATTGTAGCCTGAGGAAACTCATAGGAGGATCAATGATGATTTAAATTTAACGAAACCAGAATACTAAACAAATATTCGCATAGATATCAAAACTGATTTTCAATAATCTCCTTACGTTTTTATACTTGTTATACCTATGTGATTTTTTTGAAAAATTACCTAATTCTGTTGCACTAGGCAAAATGAAATATTAAATGTAACATCAATTCAACTAGTGCTAAACTTACTTGATGGTTGGACATCTACTTGCAGTACCAGGTTCTCTCCAATTTCGGCAGAGCTAACCTCATCTCCTGTTCGAGAAACGATTCTCATTGAGCAAGTAGGTGGCGGGCCTGTATTCGCTATAGTTCCCGCAGTTGTTAACATTGACACATTGAAAGCTAATGTCACATTTTGTTCGCCCGTCTGGTATATGCACTTGATGTGGAACGCCTTAGCGTTTGACGTCACAAGCTTAGGATGTTTCTGCATTACCAGCACAAAGCTTGCTAGACCCTGTAAATTTGGTGGGTTAGTTTTTATATTTTAGCTTTTGTTACACTTTCTTTGTTTTAGCACCATAACACCATATAGTGCAGTTGCAAATGTGAAATCTTAGAAATAAGAATTGTGGTGTGAGTACTATTTTCAAATGTAAAGGAAGTTTTCAAATTTATGATTTTAAACTGCCTACGCTTTCGCTTTTGTAGATACGGTCTACATGTTGATAAAAGTCGTCTGCTTGGATGTATTTAGACGGATCAGACTTAAAGCGAATTATGTTGTACAACACATTTCATTGGCGTAAAATAGCATATGTAACAGGTATCAAATCGGTTTATATATTAAACATTTTAAATAATTCTTAAAATCTACAAAACTTACATTAACATGAACTAAACCACAATCGCCAAAGTGGACCGTAAAGTCAACGGGGCTTTCCTGGTTTTCTGCTGTGTGTACTATGAGGCGACAGCGCTCGTCTTTGCTATAGCCCTTTACGTAGAGTACACCATTGAAGTCCTTTATCTTAAGACTCACTCGTACTCCATCAGCTAAACAGTGTACCTATAATATAGCATTAAAAGTCAATTTCAACGTCACTTCTTTTTTCTAACGAATTCTTATATTCGCAATACATACTAAATGTAGTTTTTGTTTCTATTATTGAATTTACACGTTATTATACTCAAATTTACATTAAATATGTTGCAGTGTGTTGTACATATATATTGCAGTAGAATATGAATTGTATTGGAACTGAAAATTTATTATTTACCTGCATATCCGGTAGTGGGAAGTCGGTTCTATACGTAATATTCGGTGTTGTTGCATTACATGCTACTTTCGGATTACCGACGTAACCTGTTATGCAGGTGCATCGCGAGCGATGACTTACTCCAGTACAAGTGGCGAATAGGCCGCAGGGTTCGGCTTCACAGACTGGGACGCATTTTCCATTAATGCATTTTGCATCATCATCACATTGTTCGTCAACACGACAGCCGATAGGTACACAGGTATCACCTTTAGAGGTAAAACCACGCTCTACGTCACATACACAACGACCACGTGCGTCCACTATTTTGCCATCGGATTCAAGACAAGGCTCACATTCTCCGAATTCGTTTACTCCCTGTCCGTCAATGCATTTTGTTATTGGTGCTGAAAGAAATTTTTTAATTAATAATTATTATAAGTACATACTTATACTTCAGTATCCACTAGAGCTGTTAAAACACAACTTACGTTTGTATGGTGTACATTCGAGTAACGCGTTTCCTTTGTATCCTTGTTCACATTCACATATCATGGTCCTAACGGGATTCGTATCTGCGACTAGACATTTAGTGTTTCTGCCACAAGGCTCTATTTCCACACAAGGGTTAACACATCTGCTATTAAGACAGGCGGTTCCGGGTGGACATTCAATGTCCGAAGTACATAATTCTTCAGTCTTATTGCAACCATCTTTGGTGCTCTGGTAACCCGGTGGGCAGACACAGTACACTTCATGTGAGTGAATTCTGCATTCCGCCGGCTCATTACAAGCGGATGCTGTACAAGGTTCTACGCATTTGTTGTTGACACACGATTTTTCAGAAGGACATTCCGAGTTTGCTCGACAACTTATAGGAGTACAAGCAAAGTTAGGGTTGCCAGTTGTTCCAATTTGGCATCGACAGAAAGCTCTGTGTTGTTCTCCGTAGCACTCGGCAGAGTCTCCGCAAAGATCGGGCTCCGCGGAGCAGGCTGGTACACATTGATTGTTGATACAGGATTCATCGTCGCTACACTGACTATCAGCTCTACACGTTACTGAGTAGCAACCGGTATGAGGATCCCCTAGGAATCCAGGTTGACAGGCACAGACCGGCTTGTGATCTCGTATTTGGCAGTCAGTATTAGGTCCACAATCACATGGGTTCTTGCAAACAGATGTTACGCAAGCATGGTTAGAAGTACAATCGTTATCGATTTCGCAAGTGACGTCGTTTATTGTGGTGGATGGACGACATACACCTCCACCGCCACTCACATATCCAGGTGGACATGAACATAACATTGTTCGCACTGGTAACGTAGCAAGTACTTCACAATGCGCTGGTGTTGCACAAGGTCGTAAAGCAGTACATGGGTTGACACATTTTGCTGATAAGCATGCCATCTTGGAAGGACAGTCCGCGTCCACTGTACATTCGGTGGTGATTTCTGGCTTACATTCGACGTAGGGGCTTCCATTATACCCAAATTCACATTTACAAACCGGTAGATGATTACGTACAAGGCATATTGCGTTTCGTCCACAATTGTTGTCGGAGAGGCAAGGGTTGATACATTTGTGTCCTCGACATAATTTGTCTCTCGGGCAGTCTCCGTTTGATCGGCACTCAATTGGGTTACAATTCGTATATGCGTCACCTTCGAAACCTGTCCTGCACCGACATAGCGGATGATTTCTTTCTACATAACATTCAGCGTTAAATCCGCACGTATTATTTAGTAAGCAAGGACTGACACAATTACCGTTGACACAAGCCTCGTCAGATGGACATTCTGTATTCGTCCTACAGCCGACTATACGACAAGAACTGTAAGGGTTGCCATCGTATCCGTCTCGACAAGAGCAGACAGGTCTATGATTTTTAATGAAGCATTCGGCGTTGTCACCGCAATTGCATGGGTTTCGGCATATCCTATTAACACATGATTCTTGGTCACTACAATCGGTGTCAGATGAACAACTTAGTGGTGGTAATTGGAGCGGATCGCAAGCTCCTTTCACGTTAGGCACGTAGCCTTCTGGACATCTGCATATTAACGTACGGAACGGTATACTATCCGAAACTGAACAGCGTGAGTTTCCAGTGCAAGGTGTTAGCTCAGCACAAGCATCTTGACAAACATCTCTAAGGCACGCCTGTCTGCTGGGGCAGTCGCCGTCCATTTGACATTCAGGCTGTCCAATAACCGGAACTCTTTCACATTGAGTCAAGGGATCGCCAAGTGGGAGTGTTGGGGGACATTTACAAGAAGCGGCGTGGTTTTTCGCGAAGCACTCGGCGTTGGAAGCACAAGGATTCAGGCCAGCGACAGAGCAGGCGTTCTGACATACTCCACGGACGCAAACACTATCGTCATTACAGTCAGATTCCGCTTCACATTCCGATGCGTGACACCTGGACAATGGATTTCCGTGTGTCCCAACAGGACAGCGACAGTTAGATCTATGCGATTTGCCATAACATTCCGCACTTATAGCGCACGGAGATTCTACTATACAAGGATTGATACAGGCTCCGTTGTAACATATGTCACTGTCGGGACAATCTCGGTCAGCTGTACAGCTTACTGTAAGACAAGAAATTTATTATATAAATAAAAAAATATATAAAATTATAACTTGAAGATAGTTAAAAATATGCAACATACCTTTAATACAATCAGTGTAGGGGTTGCCAGAGAAACCATTTTGACAGAAGCAAACCGGATGATGGCGTACAACGGTACATTCGGCATTGGTGCCGCAAGCGCAAGGATTAGCACAGGCGCTGTTAATACAAGCTTGAGACAGTGGACAGTCAGAATTTGCTTTACAACCAACTGGTATAACGGAATCTTGAGACGCTGAAAACGATAAATGTTTTTTTAAAATAAATTGATAAATATAAATAAAGTTTGAAACTTTTAAATGAAATTTAATGCAACATAGCTAGTCTAAACTTGGGTATAACAAAGTCAATTGAAAAACTCACTTCCTAGAATCCTTCAAATAATTATTTAAATTACAGTAATCGATGCTGAGATTTTGAAAGGGATTTAGAAAGAACGTAGAAAAAACGTTTACGTTACAAGGAAAGGAAACTAATTTAATGGATCCTTGTGGTTAGTAACTAATTTTGTGGTTAGGTTACTAATTTCATCCTCATTACGAGAATTGTAATTCACGTAACACTTATACATATATACTTACGTGGAGTGCAGCGTATGCGGGCGTCGCCAGTGTAACCAACGGGACAGGAGCACACAGGTTGCCTTTCCAAGACGCGGCACAGCGCGGCAGGTCCGCATGCGCCCACACAGGGGTTCACGCACACACGCTCAACGCATGCACGATCCTCCCCACATTCCTTGTCGCTGTAGCATTCCCAGATTGCAGGCTGTCTTGGTTCTGGAATTAATATAAAACCCTATTATTTATTTATGCCTCAAAAATTAAATCCTTAATCTTTTTAAAAAAAGGTTGAATGTGTATGCTATACAAAATAATAACTTGAATATAAATGGACTTTCCATCGAAGACAACCTAAAAAACAATACAATTTCTAAGTTTGCATATCACCCGAGAAAAACAAGATCACACAGTTTGCCTAGCGCTATTACCACCTACTACTTAAAATCTACCAATATTTATAGCAATTAAAAAATAATAATACCTGTGTTACATTCAATTCGTGGATTTCCCAAATATCCTGGTGGACAGCTACAACGCGCAACATGGTCGATCGCCTCACAGAGGGCGTTTTGTCCACATGGTGCTGCTTTGCACGCATCCACACAGTTGCCGCGGCGGCATATTTGGCTGTTGGCACACTCGTTGTCCGAGGAACATTCTCCTTGTGGTGGCGCTCGACAGCCCGTGTCTGGCGCGACTCTTCCACCATCCGCACACACGCAAGCGACTGCTCGCAACGGTAATATGTCAACGGTTTTACAGAACAATCCTGATTCGCACGGGTTATCACGGCAGAGATCGATGCAACGCGAATTGACGCAGGCGAAAGGCGCAGGGCAGTCTGAATCTACTGAGCATTCTTCATTATTTTCGACTGTAACACATCCGCGTAAGTAGGGGTCACCAGATCGGTCTGGAGGACAGGTACAGATCGCTCGATGGGCGCTCGGGGTACATGAAGCGCCAGGTGCACAAGCATGTTCGGAACAAACGGGCTGGCAAACGCGGTTCAGTCTATCACATGCTTTAGTAAGATCACAATCTTCATTGTACTGGCAAGCAGCTGCTACACACGCACGTCGTGGATCGCCCTGCGTTCCCGCGGGGCATCGACACGTTGCGGCATGGGCAATGACGTCACAAACTGCATTACGTCCGCAAGGTGTTTCTAGGGCACACGGGTCTTGACAGTACCCATTCATACAGGACTTGTCGAAAGGACAGTTTTCATCGACGGTACATTCGGCTGCAACAACATAAAAGTTGATATAAAATAAATTTTCGTTCGAACAATTTAAAATAGTTTCAATATCGTATTAATGTTTACGGTAGATAATATAATAAATGCTCACGTGTATAGCAGGCACGTGCTGGGTCGCCTGCAGTGCCAGGTGGGCATCGGCAACGCGCTCTGTGTCTGTCGGGTTCGCAGAGTGCTCCGGCACCACACGCGCCTGCGCATGCGGACACGCAGCGCCGAGACACGCATGCCTCAGCTGCACCACATTCCGCGTCTGAGAGACACATACTACCGTCTACGCCTGTAATATAAATTATTTGTTGAGTGCTTAACATTGTTAAGTTAGTTATAGTAACAATATTTTAGTATACATGAATCCATTTAAAGATTATAATATTAATAAATATTTCGATTACTTAATATCATACTATAGTAGATGTGGTCCGCACATAGAAGAATAATATAGATAGCCTCCATAACTGAATATTTTAAATGTTACCTGGCGTGCAAGCAACATTTGGATCTCCTTGCAGTGGTGGTACACAAGAGCAAGAAGCTCGGTGTGCGACAGCACGACATTCCGCGCCTGCTCCACATAACTGCGAATCGCATGCTAAAGCACAACGACCTTGAAGGCACCGTTCTTCCTCTCCACAATCATTGTCTTCGCTACATTCACCTTCTGCAAAATCAGTAGTAACTTAGCTTTAAGTTTCATAAGTTTTCCAAAGTGTCAAACATCAAAATGCCTAAACGTGTTTTATATCTGCAAGCTAAAAACACAAAAAATCTGTACAATATATTTCTAGATATAATTATGATCTATGTAGGACTAAAGTTTTTCATTAGGTAGAATTTTTAGACAAATTAACATATTCATCTATTGGTGGTGTATCATACACATAATAAGTGAATCAATCGTATATATAAAGGTACTATTTATGTACACACCGACACCGTGGTGAAATTTATCTGATATTTTTATAACATACTTACGATACACACGGACTTGCAGATTTTTCAATTAAATCAGAAAGCGGCTGTAAATGAAGCTTCTAATTAGTAACACTTTATGTGTGCAAACATACGGCGTTAAACTTACTCGGATTACATTGTACGGAAGCATCACCACTCAAAGGTTTAGGACATTCACAAACTAATGTTCGGAATGGTAGAGTATTTGCAACGCGACATTCCGCTCGCACACCGCAGGATGTGGAGTCACAGGGGTTCTTACATCTTCCTTGTAGGCACGCTAGATTTGGCCCACATTCTGCATCGTTGGAACATTCGATTTCTTCAAGAACTATAATGATAATAATAAGATTAGATAAAGAATGTTGATAACTATGCTATGCTAACTTAAAAAACCGTAACTGACCGGGTTGGCAATTTATTTTGGGATTGCCATTAGTTCCGCGTAAGCATTCACAAACCGGTACGTGTCTAACAACCGAACATTGAGCGTTTTCAGCGCAGCTTCCTGGGCATGGATCTTTACAAACATTTCCTCTGCAGGCTAACCAAGATGGGCAGTCGTTATCGATGACACATTCTTCAGTACGACATTCTACCCATGGATTACCACGAGCTCCAAGATTGCACTCGCACGAGGCGATATGTCCCCGAGCGATACATTTGGCCCCAGTTCCACATCGTATTCGCGAGCAAACCTTTATGCATGTTCCGCTATCACAGCTTTCATCATCAGGACAGTCATTATTGCTATGGCATTGCACTGAAAAATAAGAATATTCGTTATCGTTTCTGTCTTAAAGTATAAGTGTTTTATTAAAAAGCAAGTTAGTTATACTAAAGCAACGGACCGGCCTGAACTAAATACCGTGCAAAATACATACCGGAATAGCATCCAGTGTAAGCGTCTCCTTCAAACCCTTGTAAGCACGCACAATGGGCTCTATGCTGTCTTGCAATACATTGTGCATGAAGTCCGCAACTATTCTGTGTGCATACTGGGACACATCTGGTATCTACACAAGCCATGTTGTCAGCGCACTCTGGGTCTCTAGTGCATTCTGGCAAAGGCTGTGGTGGTGTCGAAATTGTAATACGTTCACACTTAACAAATGGATAGCCCGTGTATCCTGCAGGACATGAACAAACAGCTGAATGTCTTACTCCAGTACAGATAGCGTTAATTCCGCAAGAATCGACACAAGGGTCTGAACATTTGCGGTTCATACAAGCGCGATCACCGGGGCAGTCGTCATTTACTACACACTCTGGGTATGAACAAAAACCATCGCGGCATGTTCCATGAGGTCCGCACGGATTAGGATCACAAGGATCGAATACTGTAGGTGAAGTGGTAGGCACGTCTGTAAACAATGCAAATATTAATTGTTTTTTTTTATTAAAATAATTATCATATAATAATTTAATTTCATTAGGTTAAATTGAGAAAGAAAGAAAGAAAAACTTTATTATACACAATATACAGGATATTTAGGTAAAGTAAAGTGCACTAGGATTCCCTGTGTTGTGGGCAGCCAGTCTCTTCCTTTTAACATGTAAACAGTATTTAAATTTTAGATTTCTACATAACACAAATTAATATTTAAACTATTTTTGCACAATAAGAATATTTTCTCTATCAGCATAGGACAGGTTGACAAGATATTGCTTGAGATTTTTAGTAAGTGTATGTAATGTGAGTTTTGAAATGTTAGTGATAATTTTGTTTTTAAGGAAGCGGTTATAATTTATCAGTATAAAGATTATACCTCTGGCTACGCAGTTGTAGAATGGATCACCAGTTGTCGATGGCGGGCAGGAGCAAATTGGTGCGTGGTCAAATACGCGGCACATGGCCCCGTTGCCGCAAGCTCCGAGACATGGGTCTATACATTTATTTCTAACACAGGCGCGATCCCGTGGGCATTCAGAGCTCACTACACATTCTGGCCTGCATCCAATGGAACTAGCGTCACCGCTGGTCCCACTCGGGCAAGAGCATACAGCATTATTGTTTACAACTGAACACAAAGCTCCAGGACCACATGGTGATGGTGTGCATGGTGGTGCTATAATGAAATAAATGAAAAATTACCATTTATTTTCTTAGTGTTAAACAAATGTAGTATAATTTTTTTTGGTAAATTTATATACACAAGATTAAAGCATGTACCTGTTATTACTATATCACATCGTTCAAAAGCATTTCCTCTAGTACCCGTTGGGCATGAGCAAAGTGGTATGTGATTGACAGTTTCACAGTCAGCTCCCACTCCGCAGGTGCCTTCACATGGGTCTCGACATTTAGATCTTATACAAGCTCGAGCAGGGGAACAATCAGAGTCCGCAAGACATTCTGGTCGACAATTTGAGTAAGGATCCCCTCTAAGGCCAGGTTCACATTCGCACGATGCACCGTTACCTCTGGCCCGACAAATTGCTCCAGGGCCACAAGGTGATGGGTTGCAGGGGTCATTTGGTATTTTAGCTGTAATTTATAAAAAGATAATGAAATTTTGCTATTTTATCAGATGTAATTTTTATCGGCGAAGCGAATTCGGAAGCTTTTTTGAACAAGTTTGCTAAACACCAAGTTTCGCTAATGAAACCCATGCCTAAGTTTTAAGAGCGAAAACTTTAGTGCCTCGCATCCTCATTTTGACGAAAATATTATTTAGCAACATTTTACGAGACGTTGTAAGATTAAGCAATCTTCCAACAATGTCTGTCTTACGAATATTCTCGACGGGTCGGCACTCTGTAAGGGGGTTTCCGTATGTGTTGGGAGGGCACACGCAGCGTGGTTCGTGGGATGTCGGCGTACACAGAGCGTTGAAGCCACAAGCACCAGGACAAGGATCGATGCAACGTTTATTGACACACGTGAGTCGCCAGTCGCAGTCGTCAGCGCTGAGACACTCGGGCCGACAGTTTGGCGGCTCTCCTATGTAATTATCTCGACAGCGACATGACTCTTGGATGCAATCCGCATTGGGACCGCAATCGCGGCATGGCGACGGTACTTTGGGTTCAGACTGGATCACTATAAAAAAGATTGTTAAATGTGACAAAAGAAAATGAATTTTATGAATACCTATTTGTACATGTTTTTACATAAAAGTGTAATTATTACACAAAGCATACGTGTATGCTTTCTTTATATATTATTTCTTCTCGTAATTTACATACCTGGTATACAACGAATAAATGGATCGCCAGTGTATCGTATAGGACAGCTACAGATAGGTGAATGGGACGATGTATGACATATGGCGTGTGTTCCACAGGCACCGGGACAGGGATCCTGGCACTTTTTATTACGACAAGCCTGATTCTGTGCACAGTCAGAGTGGCTTCGGCATTCAGGTCTGCAAGTCGGTGGCTCGTCATACATAGGAGGACGGCAAGAGCAATGAGCTACTGTTCCATCCGCACGACATATGCTATTCGGTCCACACGGATTGGGTGTGCATGGATCAGACACCACGTGATCTATAAAAAAAAAAATATAACAATTATTATCATAAAATAAATATTTTTAATACGTTTACAGATGAGCTCTTTAACTGATGAACAGAGTTAGATGAATGTTTGTGCGTATATTTTTGCAGCCTACAACAAAAAAGACTACAAAAGACTACTACTACTACTACTACTATTAAGACTAATGTAAATAAGATAAGTGTCACAAATTTTAATAGACTAAATACCTATAACTCGGCGACAGGCTATAAACGGATCTCCTTGAAGTGGCGATGGACAATCACAAATTGCCATATGGTTGTAGACATTGCACACGGCTTCCAAACCACAAGCATTATTACATGGGTTGATGCATTTGTAATTTACACAAGCTTGGTTCTTCAAACAGTCTTGATTGATGGTACATTCAGGTCGGCATTCTACATAGGGATTTCCATGGTAGCCCGCTATGCAAGAGCAAGTGGCGTTGTGACATTCAGCGTTGATACCACATGGTGACCTTAAGCAAGGATCTACAGGTGTTAGTGAGACCGTATCTAAAAAAACACAATTTACATTATATAAAGTGATTCTTGTTTTATTTTATTGTGGTAAGCGAGTATTGCTTTGATATTTTAAAATAATATTATCTAAAAACTTCTTCTTTGTTTATGATTACGGGCAGTTGTTAATATTTGAAACATTGTTACTACTTTTAAAGTGAAACTTCTTTAGGCGTTTAAATTTTTATGGATGCGTCACGAAGATGTGCAGCGTTTTCGTCGAAGAAAAAGGGGAGAGCGATTGAGACCGATTGAGAGAGAGTGAGAAGGGCGAATTACCTTATAGAAATTATATTTTTATAATTAAAATTTCGTAAAGTGGATTAAAAAAGAATATTAGTATTTTATTTATTTAAATCTAAAATAATTTAATTAAATCTCAAATTACGTATTGTAAATTAAAATGCCACGTGTTTTTATTATCGAAGAAATACATTTAAATTTATTATTTGTATTAATTTTCGACACTTAATATTTTAATGAAAATTAAATTCATTAAATTCCTAACATATCTTCCTTTTTTCCTCTAAGTCTCGGAAATTTTTAGATTTGTATAAATACGAAGAAGACTCAAAAATTAGTTTGCCAAAAAAGTTTCACTTCTGACATGTGTACTTTGTACGCACGCACTTTTTGTTGTTGTTTAAATAATGCTGTTTTACCTTTTATAACTGCATAACATCCAACGAATGGGTCTCCTCGATATCCATCAACACACATGCAGATAGCGAGGTGGTTCACAGCTCGGCACAGTGTATTACCTCCACAAGAGCCTATGCATGGATCCATACATTTTTCACGAACACAGGCTTTATCATTGGGGCAATCTTCATTAATAGTGCATTCGGGTGCGCAAGACGGTGGAGTACCCATATATCCCGGTTTGCAACCACAAACAGCTGAACCACCGACATCTCTACAAATAGCATATTGGCCACAGGGATTGGGTTCACAAGGTGTTGGATCGTGGGTGGCTACAGTTTTTTCTCTGACACATCGCACAAATGGATCCCCTTCAAAACCACTCAAACAAGTACAGTACGGACTGTGGTGATGTGTACGACACTCTGCGTTTTCTCCGCATGTATTTATACATGGGTCTATACATTTCTGCCTTACACACGCCTTATTAAGTGGACATTCCGAGCTCATAACGCATTCAGGTTTGCAGTTAGGTGGATAACCCGTATAGTCGGGCAAGCAAGAGCACATAGCTTTATTATTTTTCGCTAAACAAACACTATGAGGCCCACACGGTGACGGTGAACATGGGTCAACAGGGTCCGCTGTAAAAAATTAACGCCACTTGAAAAATAAGCAACTAATAGTTATATAGGTTAAGTAAAAATAAGCAAAGTTTAAAAAAGAGCAAATATCTCCACCAATTTTAAAACAGTTGAGCGCTAATAAATTAACCCTAAGATGATTGTAATTTTTTATAAGTACAATTTTAAATTACCTTCTCTGACAATGCATGTATCGTAGGGATTACCAATATATCCAGTAGTACAAGAGCATTTTGGAACGTGATTGACAGTTTGGCAGACGGCGTTAATACCACAAAAGCCGGGACAAGGATCGGTGCATTTATTATTTATACAGGCAAGATTCTGTGAGCAATCAGAGTTCAGTAGGCACTCTGGTCTGCATCCCTCATAAGGATTGCCAAAGTAGTCACTGATACACACACAGCTCGCCGAGTTGAATCGTTCTTGGCAGATCGCGTTTGGCCCACATGGGTTGGGCGTGCATGGTCTTGGATGCTCCAAGGGCTTTTGAGATATCACTAAAAATAACAAAAAAATATTATAAATATGTTACTGGTTTAGTCCTGGTACTTAAATCAATACTCAGTTGATTCCCAGGGGTCGAAAGCGTATAAGTTGCCTGTTAAGAAAAATCTAATAAATAGATATATAAAAATATCTACCCTTTCCTGCCTTCCATGGAAGGATCACAGGGAATCAAAAAGTTATAACGCCTATGTACAAATATACATATATAAGATATGTTCAGGATTTGGCTTTTTTTTTGATAGCGCCAGTTATACTTCATCATTTATAAACGGTAAAAAAAACGTTATACGATACCTGAGACGACACACTCGTTGAATGGATCACCAGTGTAGCCCTGTTGGCACGAACACTGTGGGGAATGACTCACGACACGACAGTCCGCGTTGCGGCCACACGCTCCATTGCAAGGATCCACACATTTCTTATTTATGCAGGATTTGTCAAAATTACAATCGCTGTTCGAAACACATTCTGGACGACAATATGGCGGTCGTCCGGTATATCCATTCATGCAAGAACAGGACGAAGTTCCACTTATCTCTTTACAAATAGTGTTCGGACCACAAGGTGAAGGTTCGCATGGAGTGGTGTGTACTGCTGGTTCATCTGTGGAAAATCATACTTTATAGTCAACTTCCCGGCTTCGCACGGTTAAATCTCAGATTTTTTGTTAATATTTTATATAATTATAGCTTTTACTTAAGAATATTAACAATTGTAATTAGAAAGAAATTTTGAAGTCGGTAACTATTTATTCATTAAAAAAAAAAATATAAGTCCCATAATATAGGTATAGTATATATATATTTTATCTATTGTCATTAGGTAATATTTCAAATTTCTCAATAAAATTATCAAAACAGGTTTTTCAATGATACTACTAATTTATAAATTGAATTGAATCACATTTCATAACTTACTTTGTACAAACAAACACTGTATGAATGGATCTCCAGTCAATCCATTACGGCAGTAGCAAATTGGTTTATGATTATGGACTTTGCACTCAGCGTTGATCCCACAAGAGCCTCTACAAGGATCCACGCATTTCTGGTTAGAACAAGATAGCGTAGGTGCGCAGTCAGAGTCCACAACACATTCAGGTCGGCAAGATGGAGGAGCACCAATATAACCCACAAGACAAGAACACATAGCTTGTTTGTTTATAGTTCTGCATACGCTGTTAGGTCCACATGGTGATGGAATGCATGGGTCTCCGTAATCTTCAATTACTGAAAAGTATTATAAGGGTAAGATATTTTTTTTGATTGAATAGGGGGGAAACGAGCCTTACGGGACGCCTAAAAAGGCAGTCATCAAGAGGGCAGGCACCCCATAGACACCCATTTTATTGGGTGCGGTGCGGTTGAGGGAGTTGTATACTCTTTCTTTAAACAATTGGAGGTCGTATCTCCCAGGGAATTGGGAGTCAATTCCACAGTTCGCTAGTTCACTTACACATTTTAGTTCGTGTTGAAATAGTTAAGTTGAACTACCTAACATAGCTAAATTCTTTACACATTTTTTTATTAACTACTTACTTGATACTGCTGTGCAGGCAACAAAGGCATTTCCTGTAGTATTCCGAGAGCATGAACACATGGCCATATGGTTATAAACTTCGCATATTGCCCCCTGGCCACATAGGTTGGCACACGGATTAACACATTTTGTATTAACACAGACTAAATCCGATGCACAATCGGAATTAACCGTGCACTCGGGGCGACAACTCATGTATGGATTTCCGAAATAATTAGGTAGACATGAACAATCTCCATTGTTGCACCTAGCATTAGCGCCACATGGGTCGGGATTACATCTGTCATACTTTTCAGGTAGAGGTTCTGAAAAACACATTATTACTTAGTGCTCTTCTTATATTGCCTTTATTTTAATTTTGGATGCCGCTGTTGTGAATAATGACTTGCTGGAATACGAGGTTATCATTCTACAGTGACGATATTGGAAATATGGACTTCCAAGTACAGACATTTTTTAAAAATTTTAGTTACATATTTCGCTGACGTTTCTTCTGCAACTGTTCTCTAGAAGTCAATTATATATCTCTCATTGTTAAGGCACCCTTCGTTGAAATGTTTCAGCCGACCGTTTTTCTCCGACCTACTTTACAAATGCAACTACCACGAAAGAGTATTTTTATTATTAATTCCTATCTATTGGTAGAAGAATTATCATTTCAATATCGGTTAATTACTCGTAGATGCAGAAATTATCCCTATAACCTCACAAACTGTACCTTTTGCAATATTAGTATAGATAATTACATAAAAATGGTAACATACCTATAGCTTCTTGGAAGTAACAGCTTGCAAATGGATCACCCGTGTATCCTTCCAAGCAACTACACACAGCGGAATGTTGGTGTACGTTACAAATAGTCTGTAGGCCACATGATCCGATACATGGATCATTACATCTTTGATTAATACATGCTTTGTTGCTTGGACAATCTGAGTTAATGGTGCACTCAGGTCGACAATTAGGTGGTGACCCAATATAGTTCGAAATACAGCTACATACGGGTACTCTATTTTGCACCTGGCAAAGGGAATTTGGCCCACAGGGTGATGGTGTACATGGGTTTGCTTCAATTAATGGCGTATCTGCAAAATTAATATTTTTAAGCAAGATATAAATATATATGTTATTACCTCTTTACATAATATATAAAAATAAATTTACTTTAGGGAGTATCACGGAATCTAGTTTTATAAGTATTACCGTATTTGTAACAAATAATTGTTTTAATTAAGTTTAGAAACTATTCTTACTTGTAATCGTTAAGCATTTTATAAATGGATCTCCTTCGTAACCTGTTCTGCATGAACATATTGGTGCATGATTAACAACTCTGCACTCAGCGTTTTGTCCACATACATTTTGACAAGGGTCGACACATTTTTGTCGAATACAACTCTTTGTGGATGAACACTCTGAGTTGACGGAGCATTCAGGTCTACAGTTGGGAGGAGTTCCGAAATATTCCGGTAAGCAAGAACAAGAAACCAAACCGTTATTGTTTTTACATGCTGTGTTACTTCCACATGGGTTTGGTATGCATGGATGATTAGGAACGGGTTCTGAAAATTAATAAACAATTATTATATTAAATGATTATACATACGAAAGAAAACATATATCAAAACAGTTGACTTAAAAACACACCTTCTTTAATGATAATATGACAAAAAGCGTACGGATTTCCGGTGTAACCAGGTGAGCAAGAACATGAAGGTAAATGATTTATAACTTGACATATTGCAGTAGAACCGCAAACTCCTGGACAAGGGTCTTGGCACCTGTTCTTAAGACAAGCCTTGTTGTATGGACAGTCAGCATTAATAACACATTCAGGGCGACAGCCTTCATAGGGGTTTCCAAAGTAATCTCTGTGACAAGTACAGGCGGCTACTCCACTTGGGGATATTTTGCATTCACTATTTGCACCACATGGAGAGGGATAACATGGATCGATTACTTCGGGCGTTTGTTGTAGTTGATAGCATGATAGGAAAGGATCACCAGTGTAACCTTCTTGGCATGAACACATCGCTGTATGAAGTCGTACGATACAAAGGGAGTTGGAGCCACAAGACCCGATACAGGGATCCATACATTTGTAATTTACACAAGCCTTATTTGCGGGACACTCATCGCTTATTCTACATTCGCGTCGGCAATTAGGTGGCGTGCCTTCGAAAGTTGGTTGGCATGAACATTTTGCCTCTCCACTTGGTGTTGGTGTGCACAAACCATTTGCCCCACATGGTGAAGGGTGGCATGGATTTTTAACTTCTTCTTCCTGTGGTTGAACTGCAAACAGAAAAATGTTATTGTCTTGCTCTGATAAAAAAATTTCTCAATAAATAAAATACATACCATAACAATGTGTAAATGGTGAACCTGTATATCTTGGTGGACAAGAACATACAGGATTGTGATTGATGACCCTACATTCTGCGTTAGATGCACACGATCCGGGGCAAGGATCTTGACACTTCATATTTATACACGCTAAGGATGCTTGACAATCGGTACTTTGTATGCACTCTGGTCGGCAATTTGGTGGATTTCCTATATATCCCTGTACACATGCACACAAAGCTTGTCCATTCAATTCTCTACAAATACTGTTAGGTCCACACGGAGAAGATTCACATGGTCTAGTAGGTGGTTCTGAAAGAAATTGTTATATTAATCAAACAATACTTTATACATTTTTTGTTTAAGAATAAATATACATACTTTCTATAGTCAGACATTGTGTAAAGGCGTCGCCGGTCATGCGTATTGGACAACTGCACACGGCAACATGATTGTAGACATTACATTCAGCATTTACCCCGCACATATCGCGACACGGATCTACACATTTGTGTCTCAAACACGTCTTGTCATTGGAACAGTCAGTGCTAAGAACACATTCCGGTCTGCAGCCAAAGTAAGGGTCACCATGGTACTCCGCTAGGCACGTACATTCACCATTATTGCAAACGGCGTTTGGACCACAAGGTGAAGGATTGCAAGGGTCTAGATGTTGTGGTTGTTCTAAAAAAAAAAGAAGTTTTTAGCAACATGTACAGGTATCAATATGGATTCCGATATTTCTTTAACTGTTTAAAATATCTTACCTTCTAATTGAACACTGCAAAGCGTAAAGGGATCTCCTTTATAACCTTGTGGACATAAGCAAACTGGCACGTGATTCACAACATTACAGATTGCCTGTAATCCGCAGGATCCCAAGCAAGGGTTTTGACATTTCATATTCAAACATGCTTCGTTGGTGTTACAATCAGAGTTTATGATACATTCTGGCCTACAGTTCGGTGGACTAGCGATAAATCCGACTTTGCAGGAACAAGAGGCTATGCCACCCAAATTACGACATTCAGCATTAGGCCCACATGGAGATGATAAACATGGATCTAATGCCGAACTTAAAACTGGTTCCACTTCAAGTACAAAACAAATAGAGAATGGATCTCCACTGTAACCTTGCTTACAAGAACATATAGGATTGTGATTGATGACTCGGCAATCGGAGTTTACGCCGCAACCTCTAGGGCAAGGTGATAAGCATTTAAGATTCTCACAAACCTTGTCGAGAGAGCATTCTGCATTTGAAACGCACTCAGGTCTGCAATTAGGAGGTGAACCTTGGTATCCGGCTAAGCACGTACAGACAGCAATGTTATCTCGCGAATTGCATTTGCTGTTTGGCCCACAAGGTGATGGATTACATGGTTCTGATAATTCCGTTTGAGGTCTAAAGCTACATATTTTGTATGGATCTCCAAGGTATTGTTCTGGACACACACAGTTCGGTATGTGACTCGTTACATAACATTGAGCATTTATACCACAGGTTCCTGGACACGGATCAATGCATTTATTTTGCTTGCACGCTTGGTTTGAAGGACAGTCAGAGTTTAATAAGCATTCAGGTTTGCAAGACACGTATGGGTCTCCAAAGTATCCCGGAATGCATACACAAGAACCGACATTATTACTTTCTCTACATTCAGCATTGCTTCCACAAGGTGAGGGTAGGCATGGCGTGAGCTGCTCCGTTATTGCTGGTTCCGCTTGAATGCTGCATTGAATGAATGGATCACCGGAATAACCGTTTTGGCAAATACATATCGGTGTATGGCTGACTACTCTACACTCACTATTGATTCCACAAGCACCCTCACATGGGTTACGGCATTTTCTATTGATACAGGCCATATTTGTAGAGCATTCTGTATTGCTGGTACATTCAGGTCGGCATGCCGGTGGTGCACCGATGTAATCTGGTAAACATTTGCAATTTGCATCATCGCCAACTTCAATACATTGTGAGTTTGGTCCGCAAGGGGATGGAAGACATGGATTTACTTTGACTGGAGGTGCTGCACCTGCATATAAGAAAAAAGTATATTTATTAGCATGAATACTTTGTTCTTTTTACACGACGTAACTATAACGTATTTCATAATACTTACGTATTGGCTGACAAAGTGTAAATGGATCGCCAGAAAAACCGGGTAAACAGGTGCAAACAGGGTTGTGATTGATAACTATGCAGTTACTATATTGCCCACAGGCTCCTGGACAAGGGTCAATACATTTTTGGTTTGAACACGCTTGGTTGAGACCACAATCTGAGCTAAGTGTACACTCTGGCCGACAATTGGGTGGTGAACCTGCATAGCCCTGTACACAGACGCAGACAGCGTGACCGTTTATTTCCCGACATTGACTGTACGGTCCACATGGGGAGGGGCTACACAAATTAATTGGTGTGGCCATTTCTGAAAAGCAAATGATCATATTACTGCTAGTCTCTTGTGGAAAGGAAAAACTTAAGATATAGTGTGAGTGTGTTGTTTGCATTTAAGAGTTCGTGTCTTCAAATTATTATAACATTTAAATGAACATACCTTTAATGACACTGCAATAATGGAATGGATCACCCTTAGTTCCAGAAGGGCAAGAACAGGCAGGAATGTGATTAATAACTTCACACGTGGCATCGTTACCACAAGTTCCAAGGCAGGGATCTACACATTTATTGTTTACGCAGGCCTTATTTCGGTCACAATCTATATTAAGAACGCATTCGGGTTTGCAGCCTATGTAAGGGTCTCCGAAATATTCGGGTAAACATGAACATTGACCATTGCTACACAAAGCATTGGCCCCACATGGTGTCGGTGAGCATAGATTCACAATGTCTGGTTCTGAAATTATTTTATTGAATAAATTGGTATAATTATGGTGAGAAATTTTAAGACATAAAATTAAATTTCAAATTTAGTTTATACCTGCTAATTGTATGATGCACTGTGAGAAGGGATCACCAGTATATCCCGGTAAACATGAGCATATTGGCAGATGTTTATTAACATTGCATTGTGCGTTCATACCACAAGCACCCGGACAAGGATCTTTACACTTATTATTGATACATGCGCTGACTGCGTTACATTCAGAACTGACAGTGCATTCTGGTCGGCATCGTGGTGGTGTGCCTATATAATTTGGTAAACAAGTACATCGAACGTTCTGGTTATATTCCTGGCACTGAGAATTAGGTCCACATGGTGATGGGAAGCATGGATTTCGACTCGGTTCTCGTTGTGGTTCTGATAACGCAACTGGGAAAAAAATTAAGAATTAAATTTATGTATTATCGTATATTTTTATACTCTCATAGTAAAGGAAGTGAAGTAAGTTTACCTGGCATGCAGTAGGAAAATGGATCCCCAGTAAATTGTTCTTGGCACGAGCAAATCGGATTATGAGATATCACTCGACATTTAGCATTACGCCCACATTGATCCCGACAAGGATCCACACATTTTTGATTAATACATGCCTTATCACTTAAACATTCGCTGTTTATTGTACATTCAGGTCGGCAACTAGGCGGTGATCCTATGTAACTTTCAAGACAACTGCATATTGCTTGCGAGTTTATTTCTCGACATTGACTGTTTGGACCGCAAGGAGATGGAGTGCACGGTGTTACTTTTACATCTATAAATAGAAAAAAAATTAGGACTCTAATTACTTGATGAAAGCCTAAAACGAAAACTATACTTTTACATACCTTCAACTTTTTGTCTGCAATATGTGTATGGATCACCATCGAGGCCAGGGGGACAGTAGCACGACGGAATGTGATTTACAACTTGACATATTCCGTTTGGTGCACAAACTCCAGGACAGGGATCTTTGCACTTATTTTGGATACAAGCAAGAGTTGGGCTGCAATCCGTATTCAAGACACATTCTGGTCGGCATCCCTCGTATGGATTACCAATATAAGTATCAAAACATTTACATGCCCCGGCACCATTTCTTTCGATACATTCAGCATTTAAGCCACAAGGGGAAGGCTCACAAGGGGAGTTATATTCTATGACAGAATCTGAAAAAGCAATTATTAAGATAATTTTATGTACCAAAAAGTTAAACAAAAATTGACGCAGTTTAAAAAAATACCTCTTATTGGGTTGCACGATATAAGTGGATCACCAGTTTGTCCAAACGGACATGTGCAAATTAATCCATGACTGACAATCGCACAATCAGCATTGTAGCCACAGCTCCCTGGACATGGATCTTTGCATTCCTGATTAACGCATACTAGATTTGATGGGCATTCAGAGTTGCTTATACACTCTGGGTGACAGTTGGGTGGCGCCCCCATGAATTTTGTCATGCAGGTGCATGAAGGAGCTTCTCCTATTATTCTACAAATTGAATGTGGTCCACAAGGTGATGGTGTGCAGGGGTCCACAGGTGGCAAGGGCGCAGATACTAAAAAAATAAACATTTATTTAATAAGAAGTTAATTTTTCATTAATGTACCAGATATGGTCAGAAACTTACCAATCGATGTACAGTGAGTAAATGGGTCTCCTGTGTATTGAGGTGGACACGAACAAACGGGATTGTGATTAATAACTTCGCATCTAGCGTCATATCCGCATGTACCAAGGCATGGATTGATACATTTATGGTTGTTGCATGCCTGGTTCGATGGGCACTCTGAACTTAAAGTACATTCGGGTCGACAGGATGGCGGGCTTCCAATGTAAGTTGGTAAACATGAGCATATCGATTGACTGTTCACAGCTCGGCATTGGCTATTTGGTCCACATGGATTTGGGTTGCATGGCTGCACTTCAATGACTAAAAGCATAATTAAAATTATTAATTAACATTTAAGTAAACTCTGGAAATACTAAAATATACGGTTTTGATGACCTCACCTTCAGTTCTATGACATTCGATAAAAGCATTTCCAGTCGTGCCCGTGGGACAAGAACATATAGGAATATGGTTGAAAACATTGCATTCTGCACTCAATGCACACATATCGGGACATGGGTTAATACATTTATTACGAGAACAGACTTTATCTGATGCACATTCCATGCTCGTAATACATTCCGGTTTACAGCCAAAATATGGATCGCCAAAATATTCATCTATGCACGTGCAGATACCATTATAGCACTGTGCATTATATCCACAAGGAGATGGATTACAAAGATCTTGTGGTGTTTCATCTAAAAATAAATAGTTAATTAATAATACTTTCGATATATATACTATGGTTTAAAAAAAAGAGTTTAAAAACAAGACAAGATACTCGCCTCTTATAGGTTCTACTACAATGCAACGAGTGAAGGGATCTCCTGTTAATCCTTGGGGACATGTGCAAGCTGGAAGATGGTTAAATACTGAACATTCCGCGTTTAAGCCACAACTGCCTGGACACGGATCAATGCATTTCATATTGATACACGCCTTATTAGACGGACAATCCTGACTGATTGCACACTCCGGCCTGCAATTCGGTGGTGCTCCTTCAAAGTTTGGCAAGCAACTACATACTGGTGAATCATTACGATTCCTACAAACTGCATTATCACCACATGGGTTTGGCACACATGGATCCCTGTGCTGTACATTTTCAATTGGCACTAAAAAAAAATATGGAAATATTTAAACGTTAAGTAGTTGATTAAAACTACGAAGGAGTTTACAAAATTTTCAGGTCAAGTATAAAATAATAATGGGTTGTACCTTGTAAGTAGCATCTAGTGAATGGGTCACCAGTGTGTTGAGGATTACATGTGCATATTGGACTATGAGCTATCACTCTGCACTCAGCGTTGAGGCCGCAATGCCCAGGACAAGGGTTTACGCATTTGTGATTAACACAGGCCTTGTCTGGAGAACATTCTGAACTAGCTGTACATTCGGGACGACAGCCAGGTGGCGCCCCGATATAGTTCGGCATACAGGAGCATACGCTTTGACCATTCACTGGACGGCATATACTATTAGGCCCACAGGGGTTTGGAACGCACGGTGTGGGTTCTTTTATTTCTTCTGAAATAATGGGAAAACATTCAATAGAAACAAATAATCTAAAATCAAATAAATATAATAAATCAATATATTAAAAAATATATACTACATACCTTTTTGAATTATACATTGTCGATAGGGATCACCTGTATATCCAGTTGGACAATTACATGATGCCAAATGATTCACCACTGTACAAATAGCCATATATGAACAAGTACCGGGACAGGGGTCTTGGCATTTGTTACGTATGCATGTTTTATCTGGTGTACAATCTGTGTTTACAGTACATTCAGGGCGACAACCTTCGTACGGGTTTCCTATATAATTAGATAGACAAGAGCAAGATCCGGCGGTCCCTTGTTCTTTGCATATGGCATTAGCGCCACACGGAGATGGTTCGCAAGGGGAAGTTCTTTCTGGTTCATTTATTTGTAAATAACAATTACTGAACGGGTCACCAGTGTGACTTGCTTCACAGAAACACATTGGAGAATGGCTGATTGTTTTACATTGTGCGTTGAGACCGCAGGCGTTTAAGCAAGCATCTTGGCATTTCTGATTAACGCAAGCTTTGTTCGTTGGGCATTCGCTGTTGCTTATACATTCTGGTTTACAGTAAGGAGGTGAGCCAAAGAAATTTGGTAAACAAGCACAAGATGGCGCTCCAGAAACCTCTTTACATATTGCGTTAGGCCCACATGGGGAAGGTGTGCATGGAGCGGCTTCTGCTAAAGGAGGTCCTAGAAAAATTATGAAGAATATTACATGTGTCCATTTTGTGTACATACCATTTTCTCTAAAATAAAAATAAAAAACACTTACTAAACGGAGTACAGCGTATGAAGGGGTCTCCTGTGTATTTCGGAGGACACGAGCAAATTGGGTTGTGTTTTACAACTTGACACATGGCTTCCGCGCCACAAGAGCCTTTGCAAGGGTTGATACATTTTTGATTAGAACAGGCTAAGTTAAGAGGGCAATCTGAGCTAACAGCACATTCAGGTCGACACGAGGGTGGGCTTCCGATATATCCCGCCACACAAGAGCATACAGCTTGTCCGTTTACTTCCCGACATTGACTATTAGGCCCACAAGGTGAGGGGAGGCATGGATTTGTTTTCACTGGAACTGAAAATGGTAATATGCTTAAATTTAACAGTGCTGATAAGGCTTTTATCTGAATTTTGGAATAAAAAATGAAACATTTCTGTAACTGTTTCGTGATCATTTGTTTTTTTCTAATAGCCGCCGCCGTCATTTTATTACATTTTCATTACGACATATAATTAAGTATAATACTTGAAATTCTTACCTTGTATCTTTTCACATCCGTAGAATGCGTTACCAGTCATTCCATGAGGACAACTACACATGGGCACATGGTTTATGACTTCGCAAATAGCCGTTAATGAACATGTGTTTGCACACGGATCAACACATTTATTCCTTACACATGCCTTGTTTCGTGCACAATCTGTGCTTAAAACGCACGCAGGGCGGCATCCAAAGTAAGGATCGCCTTGATAGCCCTCAACACACGTACAGCTTCCTTCTTTACAAATAGCATTTGTGCCGCAAGGTGAAGGATTACAGGCATCGGTGACATCGTACACTAAAAAAAAATAACATTGTAATCACATTTTGGTGTATTTACAGTAACTCTAAAATATAAACTTACCAGGCGTTAATTGAGGGTTACACGCAGTAAAAGCATCCCCAACATAACCATCAGTACAGGTGCACATTGGTGTATGTCTGGTAACAGTGCATATAGCGTTTATTCCACATGCGCCTAAACATGGATCTTGGCATTTTTGTTGTATACACGCCTTAGAGGTTGGACATTCCGAATTCAGTAAACATTCTGGTCTGCAGTTTGGAGGACTTCCAACAAAACGTTCCATGCAAGTACAAGAAGGTACATTTCCAACCTCTTTACATATTGAATTTGGTCCACAGGGGGATGGTACGCAAGGATTACCGTAAGGTTCCAAGACAGCATTTGCTATAGGTGCTGCAAAATAAATTAAAATTGTGTGCAGTACTGTCGTAATAACTACCAATTAAAAACAAGATTTGACTTCATTATTGAGAGCTTAAGTTTCAATTTCATATTAACACCTATATTCCTTACTTCCTTAGCGATGGAAGTAAGAAAAAATTAAACAGACAAGATAATTATTATTGATATTGGCTCTAGGTCTAAATCAGTTTATATAAGCTATAAATCTTTTATTATATTTTAAAAATAAATGTAAAAGCAACCTAAGAATAAAGGTAATTTACAATAGTTATAGAAAATGTACTTACGTGGCAAAGGACTACATCTAGTGAATGGATCTCCAGTGTAAAATTGTTTACAGTAACAAATAGGATTGTGATTAATAACTCTACAATCTGCATTCACTCCACAAGTGTCTTTACATGGTTCGACACATTTTTTATTTATACACGTCTTTTCCTTTGGACATTCAGAACTGATAACACATTCAGGATGACAACCAGGCGGTGTTCCGATGAATTCCGGCATACAAGAACAAACAGCTTGTTTATTGACCTCCTGACATCGACTGTTTGGTCCACATGGAGAGGGATTGCATACATTCAGCGTAGTTACCTCATCTCCTAAAAAGAAACAAATATTTGTATTCATTCCTTAAGGCCGAGGAAATTAGAAACCAATAATATATAAAAAAATTGTACTTACTCTGAGCCACGCAATATCTGAATGGATCGCCTGAAAATCCTTGTGGGCAAGAGCACGATGGTGCGTGATTTATAACTTGGCAAACTGCATTAGGGGCGCATGAACCATCACAAGGATCATGACATTTATTTTGCAAACATGCCTTGTTTAGAGGGCAATCTGAATTTATGATACATTCGGGTCTACATCCTTCGTACGGGTTTCCATAAAAGTCTGGCAAACATGTACAGGAACCGGCACCCTTGAACTCCTTACAAACAGCATTTGCTCCACAAGGCGACGGCTGACATGGTGTTGTAATTTCTTCAATAGCCTCTCTCCTATGGCATTCTATAAAAGGATCCCCAGTATATTCAGGTAAACAGGAACATGATGGTGAATGGCTTATAACGTGACAGTCAGTATTCAAACCACACGATCCAATACATGGATCAACACACTTTTCGTTGATGCAAGCGAGATGTGTTGGACATTCAGAATTACTTATGCATTCGGGTTTACAATGTGGTGGCGTCCCAAAATATTCAGGCTGACACGAACAAGATGGCGAGTCCGCGATTTGTTTACATATGCTATTCGGCCCACAGGGCGAAGGTAAGCATGGATTCTGTTGTTCCGGTGTAAACTCTTGCAAGAAACATCGGACGAACGGATTGCCTGTATATCTCAGAGGGCAAGAACAAATAGGATTATGGTTAATAACTTGACATTTTGCTCCAACTCCACACGCTCCTTCACACGGTTTAGTGCACTTTCTATTTGAACAAGCTTCATCAGGCAGACAGTCAGTATTTACTACACATTCCGGTCTACACGATGGTGGCATTCCGATAAAACCTTCTAAGCATGAGCAAATAGGCTGTCTATTAATGTCGCGACATTGGCTGTTTGGTCCACAAGGTGAAGGATTACAAGGTTGTTGAGGAACAGCTAAAATAAAAAATAAAATACTGTAAATGTAAGGAAAAAATAGGGGTATATCTTTAGCGTTAAGGCATATCCAAATTGTGTATTTACCTTCTATTGGGGAACACTTTACAAAAGCATTTCCAAACATATTTTCTGGACATCTGCACATAGGTATATGATTTGTTACTTCACATATTGCATTTGTTGCACACACTTGTGCATTGCAGGGATTAACGCATTTGTTTTTGTGACATGCTTTATTTCTATCACAGTCTGAGCTGAGCACGCATTCTGGTCGACATTCGAAGTAAGGATCGCCATGGAATTCAGGCAAACATAAACATTCACCGTTGTTACATACTGCATTGGGCCCACAAGGTGATGGATCACAAGGATCGATTGTATCTTGTATTACTTCTGCAACTAAAAGACGATTGTTTAATATCAATTATCAAAACAAATTATATGAAAGTATTAATTAAAAATCATTAATTAATTTAAACTATATGATTTAGTATATTTACCTTGTGGTTTACATTCTGTGAATGCATCTCCAACAAAGTTAACCAGACAAGTACAAATAGGAGAGTGATTCCTTACAATACATTGAGCATTTATACCACATGATCCAGGGCACGGATCCTTACATTTCTGATTAATACATGCTAAGTTACTAGAACAATCAGAATTGATAACACATTCTGGTCTACAATTTGGTGGAGAACCGATATAGTCTGGTAAACAAGTGCATGATGGTATACTACCAATTTCTAAACATTGGCTGAACGGACCACATGGGGACGGTGAACAAGGATTTTTGGTTGTATCTTCAACTGCATGTAAGATAATTGGATAACATCGACTGAAAGGATCTCCAGTATATTTATCTTTGCAAGTGCATATTGGACTGTGGTTTATAGTACGACATTTTGCATTCTGTCCACACTGTCCCAAACAAGGGTCTACACATTTTTGACCAACACAAGCTTTATCACTCGAACATTCTGCACTAATCACACACTCAGGGCGACAGTTAGGTGGCGATCCTCGATATTCTGGATTACAACTGCATATGGCTTGTTCATTTTTAACATTGCAAATACCATTAGGACCGCAAGGTGAAGGTGAGCATGGATTTGTTATCACTTCAATTTCTGAAAAAGAAATATCTGCATTAATTCAAACAATATCATATGACTTGTTTTGTATATTATTATTTTTGTATTATAAATCAGTACTTTTTTTAGTAAAGCTTTATACCTTGTTTGAAAATACAATTTCTGAAGGGATCACCGGTGTATCCTGGCAAACAAGTGCAAAGCGGAGCGTGATTCACAGTGTGACATTGCGCATTGATGCCACATGTCCCTATACAGGGGTCTTGACATTTACTTTGTTGACAAACTTTATCAGAAGGACAGTCAGTATTGACCGCGCATTCTGGTCGACATCCCTCATATGGGTTTCCAAAATATCCCGTCAGACACGAACACGAACCGGCATTGTTACGCTGTTTACATATAGCATTACTACCGCACGGTGAAGGTGTACAGGGCGAAGATTGTTCAATAGCTATACTTGTAACTTTACAGGAAACAAATGGATCTCCATTATATCCAACAGAGCAAACACAAGTTGGAGTATGACTGACGACTCGGCATTCTGCATAGGAACCGCATGCACCCTGACAAGGGTTGCCACATTTGTTATTAATACATGCCATGTTACTCGGGCATTCACTGTTGCTGATACATTCAGGTCGGCAGTTAGGAGGTAATCCAATAAAATCATTCGCGCAAGAACACGAAGGTGATCCATTTACTTCTTGACATATTGCATTTGGCCCACATGGTGAAGGAATACAAGGGTTTGTATAAGGTGGTATTTCCAAAGCTGTAACATATAGGTATATAAGTAAATATTGTGTCATAGCAAAGTTATGATTAATGATGGTAATTCACCGATGCTAAAGTACTTACGCTTCGGAATACATCTACTAAACGGATCCCCAGTTAAATCATTAGGGCAGGAGCATATAGGATTATGATTAACTACTTCACAAATAGCATTGAAACCACAGGCGCCCACACAGGGATTTATGCATTTATAATTATTGCATGCTTTATTTAATTGACACTCTCCACTGGTGGTACATTCTGGCCTACAAGTTGGTGGGTTTCCAGAGTAACCAGAAATACAAGAACATACTGCTACATTGTTTACTTCGCGGCACTGACTATTTGGTCCGCATGGACTCGGATTGCATGGCATAATAGATATTGGAGCTGAAAAGGTTATGGTATGGTAAAAAAACGGTAAAATAAATCCAGGTAATAATTAAATTGGCTAAAGTGATATGATAAGTACCTTGAATATGATTGCAGGATACGAATGCATTCCCAGAGAAGCCTGACATACAAGTACACATTGGTATATGATTGATTACTTCACATACTGCGTTCGAACCGCATGTTTCAGGGCACGGGTTAAAGCATTTCTTTTTGAGACAGATTTGATTTCTTTGACAGTCAGAACTTGTAATACATTCAGGTCTGCAACCTACGTAAGGATCACCATGATAGTCTGGAATACATGAGCACTCTCCGTTTTCACATATTGAATTAGACCCACACGGCGAAGGGTTGCATAAATCAGCTTCTACAGGCTCTAAAAAATAAAAATTACTCTTATAATCCTTTCACTTAATTAATAATATTGACTTAGTTTGAAGAAGAATCAAAAATGCCGTATATACCTCGTAGTGGTTGTAAGTGACATGATGTAAACGAATCCCCCGCATAGCCATCTAAACATGTACAGATCGACAAATGTTTATTGACAGTGCATTTGGCATTTTGTCCACAAGCACCAGGACAGGGATCTATACATTTCTCATTTATGCAGGCTAGAGAACTTATACAATCCTCATTAGTTACACACTCTGGCCTACAGTTAGGAGGGCTACCTAAATATCCCGCAGTACATGAACATGAAGCTTGTCCAAAAATTACTCGGCATTCTGCGTTTGCGCCGCACGGGCTTGGAACACATGGATCTTTGTTTTCATCTAGTTGTGGTACTTCGACTGGTTTTTTATAACACCTTGTGAATGGATCTCCAGTGAAACCTTGAAGACAGCTACATATTGCATTGTGGTGTATCACCCGACACTCTGACTTCACTCCGCAAGTATCGGGACAAGGGTTTATACATTTTTGGTTAAAACAAGCTAAATTTGAGGAGCACTCAGAATTAATCAAACATTCAGGTCTACAATTAGGCGGCTCACCAACGAAGTTGGGCAAACAACTACAGACTGCTTGGTTATTTATATTCTTACATTGGCTGTATGGGCCGCATGGGCTTGGTTGGCAAATGGCAGTTGTTATTGCTGTGATTGAAACAAGATTGCATCGTCTATTTGGGTCACCTGTATATCCATTAATACAAGCACACGTGGGTGAATGGTTGATTGTAGTACACTCCGCGTTTATTCCACAAGCTCCCGGGCATGGGTCTTGACATTTATTACCCACGCAAGCCTTATTTCCGGGACAATCTGAGTCACTAACACATTCTGGTCTGCAGCCTTCGTAAGGGTTTCCAAAGAAGCCTTCATTGCAAGTGCACGATCCTACTCGATTTTGTTCCCTACAGGCGGCGTTTGATCCACATGGAGATGGAAAACATGGATTTAATACTTCAACTGTAGTATGTATGATACACCTAGTAAAGGGATCTCCTCCATAACCTTGAGGGCAGACACACATTGCAGCGTGACTGACAACATGACACTCTGAGTTCTCTCCACAGACTTCTGTGCATGGATCTTGACATTTCTGATTTCTGCAAGCCAAGTGAGGTGCGCATTCACTGTTACTAATACATTCTGGTCTACAATAAGGAGGTTGGCCGTTAAAGCCAGGCATGCAACTACATGAAGGACTATCATTTGTTTCGTGGCAAATTGAGTTTGGACCGCAGGGAGATGGTTGGCAGGGATTCACAACCACAGGTGAACCTGAAAAGTAATGTCTATTGTGATCTTTGTTTAATTTTTTATTGCATTAGGGAAAAATGATGAGAGTAATTTTTTTCTATTGTTAATATAGTTTTTTCTACAAACGTACAAACGTAGAATAAGGTAATGATAAATTTTTTGAAAAGATTTTTATCTTGTTACGCCAAAGAAGTAAATATAACTTTTGACGCGTGTACATAAGTACACACATGTTTTTTTATAAAAATTTATACTCACTCAGTACAAGATTACACTGCACAAACGGATCACCAGAGTATCGGTTTGGACAAGCACATACTGGATTATGATTGATAACTTCACAAGTAGCTCTTATTCCACATACTCCAATGCAAGGGTTAACACACTTTTGGTTCATACAAGCTTGGTTTAATGCACATTCTGAGTTTCCGGTACATTCTGGTCTACATGCAGGTGGGACACCCAAATATGTTGGGAGACACGAACAAACGGCCTGATTATTTATCATTCTACACTGACTGTTTGGTCCACAAATTGCAGTACTACAAGGATTTTCTATAGGCTGGGCTGAAATTATAACTTAATTTTATTATTTGGAAAGAATATAAGAAATATTAACAATCGTATAAGTCGCTTAGTGCATCGGGCGGTCATCACGCTAATAAGCGATATATTCCAGACCAACAAATTTAGGAGATTTTTGGGTTTTTAAAGGAAATATATCATGAACATAAAATTCAGAAACATAAAATAGAATATAATAGTAGACAACAGCTATAATAATTTAAATAATAGTGGCACGAACCTTTAAATGGATTGCACGCAATAAACGCGTTGCCAGTATGACCTGTAGTACAACTACACATGGGAATATGATTGACTACTTGGCAAATTGCATTTAGTCCACAGGCATCTATGCAAGGATTGACACATTTCTTTTGAACGCAGGCTTTATTAGTCTCACAATCCGTGCTTACTACGCATTCGGGACGACAACTGAAGTATGGATCTCCCTTATAATCTTGTAAGCATTGACAATGGCCATTAATGCATTCAGCATTTGATCCACATCGCACATTCGAACATGAATCAGTTACTGTTGCTTCAACTGTAAAGAAATTGTTGTCTGTTTCAATTATAGAACAAAATTTAAATACACTATATAATAGGTTACAAAAGCGATTCCTTAAAGTATAGATGAGATACTGTGTCAAATATCATTTAAATTCACATAAAACTTGTATCATTTTACCGAAAATAAACTTACCTTGTAATGGTTGAGGTCTGCAATTTGTGAATGGATCTCCAATGTAACCAGTAAGACATGAGCATATCGGAATGTGGTTAAGAACGTGACACGTTGCAGATAACCCACAAGAACCGGGACAAGGGTCTCGGCATTTCGAGTTGATACAAGCGCGGTCACTGGCACAGTCTGCGTGTATCGTGCACTCTGGTCTGCAGTTAGGTGGATTTCCGATGAATTCGGATAGACATGAACACGATGGTGAAGTGCCAATATTCCTACACACTGAATTGGGTCCACACGGTGATGGTACGCAAGGGTCACTTGTCTCTTGAGGATATGATACTAAAAACATATGCGTGATTATAAATCTATACTGATATATGGTACAAGCACCTTATTTTATAAATATTAATATTTCACCCACAAATAATTATTGAAGAGATTTTATGAAATACTTACCAGGAGAAGAAAAGGTACAAATGGTAAATGGATCTCCTGTATAAGACCTCTTGCAGGAACAAATAGGGCTATGATTGATAACTTTGCAGTTAGCGTTAATGCCGCAAGCTTTTACGCATGGATTAATACATTTATTATTTATGCAAGCCATGTCATGTTGACATTCTGAACTTGCAACACATTCCGGACGACAGTTTGGTGGAGTTCCGATGTATTCTTGTAAACATGAGCATACGGCTTGATTATTGATGGCCTTACATTGGCTATTAGGTCCACACGGCGAAGGATAACAAATATCGGTGGGTTGCACCGGTAGAGGTTCTGAAAATTATAATTAATGTTTCGTTAATCTTAATATTGTATAAGATACTGATTGAACTTATAAAAATCAGTTTTTACCCACCTTGGTATACACAATTTCTAAATGGATCCCCAGTATAGCCGCTGTTACACGTGCATAATGGTGCGTGATTGACTACTTGACAGAGGGCATTTGAGCCGCAGCTGCCAGGACAGGGATCAGTACACTTATTATTGGCACAAGCTTTATTACTCGGGCAATCCGTATTCACAACACATTCAGGTCGGCACCCTTCATATGGATTTCCAATATAACCGTCAACACAGGCACAAGACCCGGCGTTATTCTTCTCCTTACAAATAGCATTAAATCCACACGGTGAAGGCGAACATGGACTTGTAATAATTTCGTCACGTAAGGGTTCTATAATACATCCGAAGAATGGGTCACCTGTATATCCGTAAGTACATATGCAATTTGGCGAATGACTGACTACTCTACATTCTGCGTTGCTCCCACATGCTCCTTCACATGGATTGATACATCTCATATTGACACAGGACATTTGGGCGGAGCATTCTTCATTGCTTGAACATTCGGGTCGACAATATGGTGGTTGTCCATGGTAATTTTCAAGGCACGTACAAGATGGTACTTCGTTGATAATTTTACAAATTGAATTAGGACCACATGGTGAAGGAGAACAAACATCAATTTGAATTTGCGGTTTTTCGGCTAAAATAAAAAATAATTTAAAAACGTAGAAATAAAGTAAATAAAAAAATACTAATTGTTTGTGAATACATACGAAGTTTGAAGCATCGAGAAAATGGATTTCCGGAGAACATAGATGGGCAGGAACATATAGGACTATGATTTACAACTTGACATTCAGCATCTACTCCACAAGCACCAACACATGGGTTCGTACATCTCTGATTACTGCACGCCTGGTTCAACGGACACTCGGCAGATATTGTGCATTCTGGTCGACAAGCTGGTGGACTGCCAAGGAAGTTTGGATTGCAGGAACATACGGCTTGACCATTTAAAACGCGACATTGACTATTAGGACCACATGGAGATGGCTGACAAGGATTTATGTTGTTCGGTTCTAAAATAGATAAAACACAATTTATACGTAAAAAAAATCTAAAAATATATTACACAAATAAAAGCTTGGTGTTTTAAACTTACCCGATACTATATGACATTCTATAAAGGCATTTCCTGTCATCCGCTCGGGGCAACTACACATTGGAATATGATTAACAACATTACATATTGCATTTGAAGCGCAAGTGCCGGGACACGGATCTGTACATTTATTTCTAATGCAAGCCTTGGTGCGATCACAGTCTGTGCTTAAAGTACACTCAGGACGACAACCACTGTATGGATCTCCATGGAATTCGGGAAGGCAACTGCATTTACCATTGTTACATTGTGCATTAGTTCCACAAGGCGTTGGATTACACGGATCAATTTCTATAGGAACTGTGAAAAAAATTTGAATATTAATGCATACACATAATAAACACAATATATATTTTTCCAAAGAATAAAAAAAATACCATTTTGTGGAGCCGGAGTGCACTGGGTAAAGGCATTTCCAGTATAACCATCTTGGCAATTACAAATTGATATATGATTTTTGACAAAACAATCTGCATTTATGCCACAAGAACCTGGGCATGGATCTTGGCACTTTTGATTTATGCAAGCAAGGTGACCAGAACAATCTTCGTTTATCGTACATTCTGGTCTACAATTTGGTGGGCTGCCCTCGTACAGCGGCAAACATGAACAAATCGGAAGGTCGTTGTTATTTTTACATAGAGAATTGGGTCCACACGGTGAAGGTATGCAGGGATCCCTTACAGGATGAATATCTACTGAAGCTAAAACATTAAGACAAATTAAAAAATAAGGTAAGTTATATATAATTTCAACCACATTCCAATTACAATATATTATACGTACCAATAACTTTATAGCACCGTGAAAATGGATCTCCAGTATAGGTTGGTGAACAAGTGCAGATTGGACTATGATTAATTACTTTGCAATCAGTATTTTGTCCGCACGGACCAGGGCAAGTTGAAACACATTTAAGATTTTTGCATGTTTTGTCTGTAGGACATTCTGCATTTATGACACATTCCGGTTTACAATTAGGTGGCGATCCGTAATATTCGGGCAAACAAGAGCATACACTTTGTTCATTTAATGTCCTACACTGACTATTTGGACCACATGGTGACGGTTGACAAGGATTACTTGGGATCATATCACGAACTGTAAGGAGAATTTTATTGAAAAATAAAAATAATATAGTCATTTAGAATAAGGTGACAAAGTATTCAATACTTACTGCTTAATATACAATGCCTGAATGGGTCTCCAGAGTACTGCGGAGGACATGTACATATAGGTGAGTGATTAACAACTTGACATTCCGCATTAATAGCACAAGTACCAGGACATGGATCAACACATTTGTTTTTGGCACACGCTTTGTTGCTTGGACAGTCAGAGTTAACTATACACTCAGGTCGACAAGCTTCATACGGATCTCCAAAGTAACCTTTTAGACATATACAAGCTCCTGTCCCACTACGCGTAATACATTCAGCATTTGATCCACAAGGTGATGGTGAGCAAGGATTTATTTCTTCAACGGAAACCAAAGCAGTCAAGGTGCATTTTACTGCGGCGTCTCCAGTATATCCGTTTGGACATATACAAAGAGCTGAATGACTTACAACGCGACATTCCGAATTCGCTCCACATGCTTGGTTACAAGGATTTTGACATTTTCTGTTTATACAAGCTTGAAGTTGTGAACATTCAGTGTTAGATATGCACTCGGGGCGGCAGTTTGGCGGAGAGCCAATAAAGTTGGGTAAACACTGACATGATGCAGTTGCCGTTGCTGTTTCTTGGCATACAGAGTTCGGACCACACGGTGATGGCTGGCAAGGATTGGTTTTTGTTGGCTCAAAGAGAGCTGTGGAAAAAAAGTATAGATAAATTCACTGTTGCACGTCTGTGCCTTTATTAATTCAAAAATAAACTTACGCATATTTATACATCTGGTAAAAGGATCCCCTGTATATCCAGATGGACAGATACAAATGGGGTTGTGATTTATCACTTGACATTTGGCTCCAACACCACATACTCCTTCACAAGGGTTGATACATTTTTGGTTACTACAAGCCCTGTTTAGTGTGCAGTCGGCACTACTAACACATTCTGGACGACATGATGGAGGCGCTCCTTGATAACCAGACATACAGGAGCATATGGCTTGTTGGTTATGTTCCGTACAACGACTGTAAGGTCCGCAGGGACTGGGCTCACAAGGGTTACTAATCACAGCTTCTGTAAGGGTGGTAAAGACATATGTGTATACGATTGTATGTATTTATACACACATGGCATATTAAACATACATTGTTTTTGGTTGGAAACCACAGAAGCTACTTGCATTATAAAAAATATTATTAAACCAATAAGAAATATACCTTCTGTGTCTCATGTTTTTATAGATAAACATAAATATCTTAATATATATAAATTACGCGTCACGTTGTTTGTCCGCTATGGACTCCTAAACTACAAAACCAATTTCTAACAAAGTTGCACTCCGTGTGCAGTTTAATCTAACTTAAAATATAGGATAGCTTACATCTTACTTTATACCCGCAATATCTATATTATCTATATTATTACAAATTATTTGTTTATTATTTACAGACACAATTCAATCAGATCGCGCTGTGTTGAAACAACCAGCGGTTGGTTATGCCATTAATATAACAAAAACCTTAACCACAGCAACGCTTGGCCGAGTATGCTAGTATATTATAATTTATACTTTAGTGTACAAACCTCGCATTGGAGAACATCGCAAAAATGCATTTCCTGTCATTTTGGGTGGGCACGTACAAATAGCCATATGTTTCATCACATTACACACCGCATCTAAGCCACAAGTATTATTACACGGATTGACGCACCGATTTCTAACACATGCTTTATCCATAGGACATTCTGAACTAATTGTACATTCAGGTCGGCATTCAAAGTATGGATCACCATTATATTCAAGCAGGCAGGTACAAATACCATTATTGCATATCGCGTTTGCACCGCAAGGTGACGGATTACAAGGGTCACGCGGAGTTACTTCTGAAAATAATTAAATATTTTGGGAAGATTAGTCTCACTTACTCCAAAGTGTTACATAAAACTATGAAAAGGATAAGAATAATATTGGAGCTTACCTTGATGGAGCTTTAAAACACAACTTTGGAACGGATCCCCGATATATCCCTCTATACATGTACAAATTGATATATGATTCTGAACTCGACACTCAGCATTCAATCCACAGGACCCAGGACATGGGTCAACACATTTTTCATTAATACAAGCCTTGTCACTTACACAATCTGTGTTAATCGTGCACTCAGGGCGGCAATTAGGTGGACTGCCTATGTATTGCGGTAAACAAGAACAAGACGGTGAATTGTTCGTATCACGACATTGTGAGAAAGGTCCACATGGATTCGGTACGCATGGATTTGTCTGTACAACAGGTGTTTCCACAACTGCAAATAAGATGACTGTGATAAGTATATAGATCTCGGCACAACAGCATTAGAAGATCCCCAGAAAGATGAAAAAAATGTTTCCTAGAAATAATATACATAGCAAAACAACGTATGCCGGGTCAGCTAGTATGTATCTAAAATAGTGTTTTCTGTTATGATTATAAAAATAAATAAGGCATGTTCAAATTTAATATTAAATAATCGACTTTGTAGTTGTCTCTCAAATCTTGATCGGATCATAAATTTTTATAAAAATATTTCTTACCTCTGTAACACCTATTAAACGGATCTCCTGTATACTGAGATGTACAGGAACAAATAGGGCTATGGTTTATAACTTTGCATTCTGCGTCAATACCACAAACTCCATCGCATGGGTTTTTACACCTTTCATTTATGCATGCTAGATGTTGTGAACATTCTGAACTAATAAGACATTCTGGTCTACAAGATGGTGGAGAGCCCAAATAATTAACTTTACACGTGCAGATGGCTTGATTGTTGGCCTCCTTACAAATACTATTAGGACCACAGGGTGACGGGGTACATGGATTCCTTTGAGGCAAGATTTCAACTGAAACAAAGTTTATGAATGTTAAACTATTGTCATAATTTGATTCTCTAAAGAAAAGCCAATAAAAAAATAGACAAATTAGTATTAAATTTAAACGTACCATTAAGTTTTACGATACATTCTTGATACGGACTCCCAACATAACCAGGTAGACACTCGCATTTAGGTGAATGATTTATAACATTACAAATGGCGTTTAGTCCACAAACATTATTACAGGGGTTTTGACATTTGTTTTGAATACAGGCCAAATTAGATGCGCAGTCTGAATTAACAATACATTCTGGGCGACAACCCTCGTAGGGGTTTCCTATATACTCAGGTAAACATACACATGATCCGGCACCGTTGAATTCTTTACATAAAGCGTTGGGGCCACAAGGAGACGGCGAACATGGTGTAAGTGGTACATCTATCACAATACAATTTATAAATGAGTCACCAGTAAAACCTGGTGGGCAGTAACACTGAGGTGCGTGGCTCACGACCTTGCATTCAGCACCGGATCCACATGACCCTGGACAAGGATCTTTACACTTTTCGTTAATACAGGCTAATTCATTGGGGCATTCTGAATTTGCAATACATTCTGGTTTACAATTTGGTGGACTTCCTGTATATTCATCAAGACATGCACACGACGGCGATCCATTGATTTCTTTGCAAATTGCATTGGGACCACAAGGTGATGGCTGACATGGATTAACGTAAGGCGGTTCTTCGTTTTCTATAAAAATAAAAAAAAATTGTAGACTTTGTTTTGAAAAAAGACATGTATACATCAAAGATATATAGTTACTAATGAGAATTCTTACCTTTTTGTATACATTTACTGAACGGATCACCTGTGAATCCTGTAGGACATGAGCATATGGGATTGTGATTTATTACTTGACAAATAGCTCCAAGTCCACAATTTCCTTTACATGGATCTATACATTTTTGACCAGAGCAGGCTCTATTAAGAGGACATTCAGAGCTAGTGACACATTCGGGTCTGCATGTTGGTGGGGCGTCTTTAAATCCTGGTAGACATGTGCAAATGGCTTGACCGTTAACTTCTCTACATTGACTGTTAGGTCCACATGGAGACGGATGACAGGGATTTACGTCTTCAATAATTGTTATAGGTTTACAATCTACAAACGCATTTCCTGTGTGATGCGGCAAACATGTACACATCGGTACGTGATTAATAACGTTGCATATAGCCTGACGGCCACATGTGTTTATGCATGGATTGACACATTTCTTTTTGAAACATGCTTTATCGTGAGAGCAGTCGCTGCTCACGAGACATTCCGGTCTGCAACCGACGTATGGATCACCTTGGTAATCAAGTATACAAGTACATTTGCCTTCGTCACATTCAGCGTTTGGACCACATGGTGATGGATTACATAGATCCAATTCCGGAATTTCTGTGGGAGATTAGGATTATTTAGAATCTGTTTTACAGAATTAATATTTTTTTATTAAATTTAAGTCAAGCTTAATTATCATCTTACCGTCTCTTTCAATTTCAGGGTGACATTGAATGAATGGATCTCCTTTGTATTTTTCCAAACAGCTACACTGCGCGATGTGATGGAATACTCTACATTGTGCATTTAATCCACATGAGCCTAAACATGGATCTCTACATTTCTCGTTAATGCACGCTTGATCACTAGCGCATTCAGAATTAATGGTACACTCAGGTCTGCAATTAGGAGGGGTTCCGATATAATTAGTTTCGCATGCACAAGACGGTGCCCCTCCAACGTTGCGACATATTGCATAGAGACCACACGGCGATGATAAGCATGGATCTGAAGATTGCGACTGGTCTGGCTGTGACGAAACTGTAAAAATTTCAATTATATTTAAAAAAACTTCTTTAACGGATTTATATATAATTTATTACATTGTGAATTATAACTTTTGTTAACTGTTTTATTGTTAAAAACAAAACAGTGAGATTATTTAATACGTTTTCACTATATGCTGTACTGATTCTAATAATTGTAACTATGCGTTGAAAACGATTTTGTATGTAGATATTGAATAAAATTTGTAATAAAAAAATATAAGAAATTTAACATCTTTTATCTGATTGAATTTATAAACTTACTTATCATCGGGTAACATCTTGAAAATGGATTTCCAGTCAAACCTTGATTGCATACACAGATAGGGCTATGGTTGATAACGTTACAACTGGCCCTCTCACCACAACTTCCTACACATGGGTCAGAACATTTTTGGTCGATACAAGCCAAGTTCGGCGGGCATTCGGAGCTCATAACACATTCTGGGCGACAATAGGGCGGTGCTCCTACAAATAATGGTAAACAAGAGCACACTGCCTGACCTTGTATTTCTTTGCATTGGCTGTTAGCACCACATGGACTCGGACTGCACGGGTATGTTTCCAAGATTTGAGCTATGAAGAAATTCAAGGTTATTTTATGAGCAACATAGTTGTAATAATTACCGTCCACAATTTTTTATATGATACTCACGTTCTTGTAGGATACCACAGTGACTAAATGGATTTCCAGTATATCCAGACTGACAAATACAGTTTGGCTTATGATTGCTTACAAGACAGAACGCATTTACTCCACAAGAACCGGGACATGGATCAACACATTTCATGCCTGAACAGGCCTTGTTTAGGGGGCAGTCGGAATCTACAACACATTCGGGTCGACATCCCTCGTACGGGTTACCAGTATAAGTCTCTGCACATAGGCAAGCGCCTATTCCATTTTGCTCTCTACATATAGCGTTTGCTCCACAAGGATTTGGATTGCAGGGGTGTAAACTTTCACTTGGTCGAGATATAACTTCTAAGCTACAATGTGAAAATGGATCACCTGTGTAACCCGATTGACAGAGGCAAACTGGAGAATGACTAACAACTCTGCATTCAGAGTTAATTCCACAGCTTCCTATACATGGGTCAGAACATTTTTGGTTCATACAAGCTTGATTGTGATCGCATTCGCTATTACTTATACATTCTGGCTTGCAATGTGGTGGTGTTCCCTTGTAATTATCGAGACAAGCACAAACTGGTCCGTCGTCTTTACTTCTACAGGTCGAATAGGGTCCGCAAGGAGATGGCTCACAGGGATTGATTTGGATTGGTACATTTACTACAATTGAAAAAAAAAACACCATTATGTTTTAGAAATTACCCAATAAGTATCACAAGTAAATCTATAAAAATCTTACCAATGTAATCGCATTTTCTGAAGGGATCTCCAGTGAATGATGCTGGGCAAGTACAAATTGGATTATGGTTTATAACTTCACATACGGCAGCTATACCACAAGCACCTTGACATGGATTAACACATTTTTGGTTCTGACACGCTGCATTTAGTGGACATTCTAAACTCACAACACATTCTGGTCTACAGTTAGGAGGGCTACCACGATATCCCTGTAGGCATGAGCATACTGCTTGGCCGTGTGATTGCTGACATTGACTGTTGGGACCACATGGTGAAGGTTGACAGGGGCTTTTGTTAATAACTGAAAACAAATGACATTACGTGAATTATAAGATTAAAGAAAAAAGAACCCTTAAGTGAAGAAAACGTATTATATGTATATTTACCGCTTATAGCACGACATTCAATAAAGGCGTTGCCACTCATTCCACGCGGACAAGAACACATGGGGACGTGATTGTTGACTTCACATATGGCGTGAAGTCCACATGTGCCTATACATGGATCTACGCACTTATTCTTTTGGCAACCTTTGTTTCGAGCACAATCTGTATTATAAAGACATTCTGGTCTACATCCGAAGTATGGATCTCCATTATAGTCAGCTATACAAGTACAAACTCCATTGTTACAGATTGCATTGGCACCACATGGACTAGGTCTGCAGGGATCACTAGGTTCATAAAGTACAGTTTCTAAAACAACAAAAGATGAATAAACATAGAGCAATTGTAAAGAAAAAAAGAATGACTTCTAAGAATCTTTAACGCTTTACCTTTAATAGCTGAAGTTTTGCATTCTCTAAACGGGTCCCCAGTGAATCCTTCTGAACATAAACAGACAGCTACATGTCGGTTAACAAAACAGTTGGCATATAAACCACATGAGCCATCACACGGATTTCGACATTTTTCAGAAATGCAGGCCTTATCACTAGGGCAATCAGAATGCACTACACATTCAGGTTTACAAAATGGCGGAGATCCAATATAAGATGGAAGACACGAGCAGGACGGCAACCCATTCGCATTCCTACATTCCGCATAAAGTCCACATGGCGAAGATAAGCAAGGGTCTGTATGTTCTTCTATAGAGAATGCAACTTCTGAAATATAACAAAAAAATAAATAAAGCTATATTATGCTATATTATGTAATATAAAATTGAAAGAAAAATCTTACGTAATTTCCGGGTACATGATATGAACGGATCTCCAGTATATCCTTGTCGGCAAGAGCAAACAGGGCTATGGTTTATTACCTTACAGTCTGAGTTACTTCCACAAGGTCTTGGACATGGATTTACACATCTGTTATTCATACAAGCCCGATTCGTTTGACAATCTGAATTTATAACACATTCTGGCTTACAGTTCGGTGGTGCTCCTATGTAATTACTCCAACATGAACATACTGGTTGGTTGTTAATCACTTTACATTGTGCATTTGGCCCACACGGGGACGGATTACACACGTCAGTCGATGTATCTTTTACTGCAAGTAATAATATTAACTTAATACTCTCCAGTTTCTCATATTTTTTTATTAAATGGTTGTGGACTTACCTAGTATTGGAGAGCACATGACTAGCGCATTTCCAGTAAAACCAAATCGACAATTGCACGTCGGTTTATGATTTGTAACAAAACATTCTGCATTGAGCCCGCATACCCCGGGGCAAGTATCGACACATTTGTTGTTTACGCATCCCAACATTAAAGAGCAATCAGAATCAGCTAAACACTGAGGTCTGCAACCTTGATATGGATCACCAAAATAATCAGGACGACAAGTGCAAGATCCTGCGTTTCCTTGTACTTTACAATCCGCATTTACACCACAAGGGGAAGGCTCACAAGGATTCAAATATTCAATTGCAGATAGAGCTGAAATATAATGATAAAAAAATGAATTCACTTACCAATATATTCCATTCACCGTAGAAGCACTTCTATTTTCCGTTCCAAGCGTTAATCGAAGCTTAACTCGGCATGGACGACGTTAGATGACCTCTCCAATCCGATGACGCCATTGCGAACCCGCCGTAAATCGAAAGCGGCCGCCCCAGCGAACGGCCTAAGCTTACTGTAAGTGCTTTGTTATCTCCGCGTGCTCCGTTGAAAAGCAAGGCATTAATTTCCAATCAAATATACAAGTTAAAAAAAGTGTTACATCCCTTCTGAAAGCACTTAACATCCTTATTCATTATTAATCGTTTATTAAACTTACCCCGTTTCAATGTGAATATTGATTAAATTATTATTAAAGCTCGGTAATAGAACTTGTATTAGCGAGATTATATAAACAGGCTTTGCGACTGGCATGGTAGTCTCATTGCCCTTAAATAAAACCGCCACTACAACTCTATATTTACATTAGTATACCATGTCAGGCGTGAACGTATATGATTGACCTTAACTAAAGCACATAATTTAAGGCATGAATAATAATTATCACGCTTTGCAAAGCAGCGGGTTAATGCAAACTTTAAAAAATTATAAACATCTTCCGTTATAGTACCCTTGATTTGTCGCGTGTGCTTTTTCATACCTTAGATAGTAGTATTTTTCAATAATATCAGGAATATTGAGTTACACAATTGATAAGGTTTATTTCAATTTTATCTAAAAACACAAATATTTAAGATGTAAGTTATGAAAAAAAATATACCTTTAGGTGGAATGCAACCCTGGAATGGATCTCCTTGGTAACCATGTTCACAGGCGCATGTCGCTCGATGATCTACAACAGAGCACACCGCGTTGGAGCCGCAAGCGTGCACGCATGGATCTTTACATCTCTGAGACACACAGGCCAACGCCGCGGGACATTCAGCACTGATCGTGCACTCTGGTCGACAGTTGGGTGGTGACCCAATATAACCCGCTTGACAACTACATGCTGGTATATCTCCTGTTTTAACGCATATTGAATTCGGTCCACAGGGCGTTGGCTCACATGGATCGATTGGAGTCGGGGGCGATACTAGAAAAAAATTAAAAATGTATGCTTTAGTTTTTTTTTTAGTTTTAGATATATGATTTAGGTCTAGTGACTGTTTTTATACATACTCGGTACTGGTGAGCAATAAGTGAACGGATCACCAGAATATCCATCAGTGCAGGTACATATTGGAGAATGTGCTATAACTTGGCAGCGTGCTCCACGACCACAAGCTCCTTCACACGGGTCCCGACAACGATGGTCTATACATGCTTCTTGTAATTTACATTCAGAGCTAACGAGACATTCTGGACGACAAGTTGGTGGTGACCCAATGTGACCAGAGCGGCACGAACAAGCAGCCGCACCGTTGGTACTCACTGTACATTCGCTGTATGGTCCACAAGGAGATGGAGTACATGGCGATCGGTGTGGTTCTACGAATTTAAAAGTAAATTTAGAATAAATTATTAGACTAGCCTAAAAACTATTAACGGTTAAACTTTTTAGAATATATTACCTTCTTTTATGATCTCCGTACAGTATGAGAATGGATCACCTGATGTACCGACTGCACAAGAACATGATGGTATATGGTTGTTAACGGAACAGATGGCACCAGTCCCACAGGCTCCAGGGCAGGGATCCAAGCATTTTCCACCATGACAAGCACGTGTTGGTGAACATTCTCCATTTGTTGAGCATTCAAGACGACAACCGAAATAAGGATCTCCAAAGAATCCTTTAGCACAAAGGCAAACGCCATTATCACATATGGAATTTGATCCGCATGGTGATGGATTGCAAGGGTCTGCAGTTGGTGGGGGCGTTGATACTAAAACGTAGAAAGTTATTATTAAGTATATACTGTTTTTTTTAATAAGAAAAATCATTTTTATATTGAAATAAAACTTTTTTTACCGCATAGGTATAAAAACAATTTCTTACATTATTTACATATACATTGCAAGAAATTATATTTTGAGCAATGGTGATTAAGGAGTGGCTATAAACTGTAGTACTCGCATAAACCAAAGAAAATGTTAAAAGTATTTATTCCTCTGTATGTGTGTGAATATCTTACCGATTACTTCCGCACATTGTATGAATGGATCTCCAGAATATCTTGTAGGGCAGCTGCAAATAGGTATATGGTCTTGTACACGACATTCGGCTCTAAATCCGCATGAGCCTTCACAAGGGTTAGTGCACTTTTCAGCTATACAGGCTTGGTGTGATGGGCAGTCGGTATTGACTAGACACTCAGGGTGGCAATTTGGCGGCGTACCTAAATAGTCGCCGTTACACGAACATGAAGGGTAGCCATTAATTGGTCGACATTCACTGTAAGGGCCACAAGGATTGGGAGAACAGGGCTCCAACGGATCTTCTGTTTTACTATACTCTATTTCTTGACACCGACTAAAGGGATCTCCAGTAGTGCCCGCGGGACAGCTACATAATGGGCTGTGGTTAATAACTTGACAATGTGCACCAAGACCGCAAGTTCCTCTGCAAGGATCTGCACATCTGAGTTTATGACAGGCACGATCAGGTGGACATTCGCTGCTCACAGTACATTCTGGGCGGCAATCAGGTGGTGCTCCTTTATATTCTGGTAAACATTCACAAGAGGCTAAGCCACCGTTTTCTCTACAAACACTATTTGGACCACACGGTGAGGGCTGACAAGGTTTAACTTCCACTATTGGTTCATCTCTAGCACATTGTACAAAAGGATTGCCGGAATATCCCTTAAGGCAAGCACATGTAGGCACATGATTTACTACAGTACATTCAGCGAAGTTTCCACAGATTCCTGGGCATGGATCAGCACATTTATTACGAATGCAAGATTTGTCTGCTGAACAATCTGAGCTTAAAACACATTCAGGCCTACATCCTTCATATGGATTTCCTTGATAACCCTCTAAGCAAGAACATGCACCAGCTCCATCTCTTTGAGTACACACAGCATTCATTCCACAGGGTGAAGGATCACATGGTTTCACAACTTTTTCTGAAAAAGATAAAATAATAACACTTACAGTTTAGCTTATATTATCATAGTTATATTCAACTAATTTAAACAAAAATATACCTTCTTGTGGGACACATTGTAAAAATGGATTTCCAGTAAATTGTTCACGGCAAACACATGAGACTGTGTGACTGACAATAATACAGTCAGCATTTACTCCACATGAGCCCGGACAAGGATCTATACATTTGTTTCTTATACATGCTTGATTGGAAGGACAGTCGGGATTAATCACACACTCTGGTCTACAGTTTGGAGGTTGTCCTATATAGTCATCGGCGCATCTACAATTAGCCTTTCCATTTCTTTCAACACATATCGAGTTCGGTCCACACGGTGAAGGATTGCACGCGTCGACGGGATCATTTGGTGTTATTATGATGTCAAAGCAGCTCTTAAATGGGTCTCCTGTCTGACCAACGTTACAGCTACAGATAGGACTATGATTAATAACCTCACAACGTGCCAAGAGACCACATGCGTTGATACAGGGATTAACACATTTTTTATTAACACACGCTTTTGTTGATGGGCATTCAGAACTAACAACGCACTCAGGTCTACAGCCTGGTGGCGATCCTTGGAAGCCTTCTACACAAGCGCATACGGCTGTATTGTCTACATTTTTACAGATACTATTCGGTCCGCAAGGCGACGGATGGCATGGGTCGTTAGGTCTAGACTTTTCTCTTTCCATTGGTTGACAATGTACAAATGGATTTCCGGTATAATCAGCAATACATGAACAACTTGGTATATGGTTAATAACATCGCATTTGGCATTTTGCCCGCATACACCTGGACAAGGATCTTGACACTTATTGCGGAAGCAAGCTTTGTCTCTAGGACATTCTTGGCTGCCGGTGCATTCCGGTCGACATGATTCGTAAGGATTTCCTCTATATTCCGGTAAACATGTACAGAATCCATTATCACATTTAGCGTTTGACCCACAAGGTGACGGATTACATGGATCTTGCGGTGCAGGGGTTGTAAGAACTGGAAACATTTTTTTTATAGTATATTACATATATTTTAAATTCCGAGAAACATAAATACAATAGTAATAATTCGAAGAAACTTACCCTCACTAAATGGAGAACATCTGGAGAATGGATCTCCTGTGTAGCCTTCATTACAGACGCAAACTGCTACATGATTCAAGACGTGACAATTGGCCTCCACTCCGCATGAACCTGGACATGGGTCTTCACATTTTTGTCGAACGCAAGCTAAGGAAGCCGGACATTCAGAATTGATTGTACACTCAGGACGACATGATGGTGGTGAGCCAATATAACCCGGCAGACAAGAACAAGCAGGTCCACTCGATAACAATTGGCACCGTGAGTGGGGTCCACAGGGCGAAGGAGTGCAAGAAGGAGGACGTTCGGTAGTACTAGATGGAATTTCTGTAATACAAATTTCTCACCATTGAATTTTAAATTTATGACATAAAAATATATTTCAAAAATGTAAAATGCTTACGGTAACATTGCGTAAACGGATCTCCAGTCATACCAGCTGGACATGTACAAATAGGGTTATGATTCTTGACTTGGCAATGTGCTCTCAAGCCACAAGTGTTCGGGCAGGGATCATCACATTTTTGATTTATACACGCCTTTGATGAATCACATTCACTATTTACAATACATTGTGGTCTACATGATGGTGGAGAACCCACATAATTTGGTAAGCATGAGCATACCGCTTGCATATTTACTTGTCTGCATTGACTGTTTGGACCGCAGGGAGTAGGCTCACATGGGTTTGAAGGTGGAACATCTAAAAAGAATAAGTGACTCATATTAAAACTATACTTTGATAAAAGTTTTGTCGTTAATAATATAGAATTTACTGTTTGCCTTACCTTTCAAAACTATTTGTTTACACTGGAAGAATGGGTCCCCGGTATAACCTCTGGGACAAGTGCAGACTGGTATATGTTTTTCAACAATGCATTGTGCAAATTGTCCGCAAGTTCTCGGACAGGGATCGATACATTTGAAACGCGTACAAGCTAGGTTTAATGGACAATCATCATTGTTTTCACATTCTCTACGACATCCTTGCGAGCTGTAGGCGTCACCCTCATATCCTTCGGAACAGAAGCAAGCTCCCGCTCCATTAAATTCACGACATTCCGCGTTTGGTCCACACGGTGAAGGGGAACATGGACTTGAGGTCGGTGTCATTTCCGTCGCTAAAGTTTTATAGAAAATAAATCAATTATTCTGGGATATGCAAATAAGAATATATCATAGGGCTATAAAAATATTTCTAAACTTACACGAAATAACAATTTGAATGCAGTTCCCAGTAGCGTCTCCAGTGAAACCTTGCTGGCAATTACAGATAGCTTTATGATTCACTGTCATACATAGTGCATTTAATCCACAGGCATTCTGGCATGGATCTTTACAGCGTTCGTTAATACAGGCTGCATTGCTAGGACATTCAGGATCGATTGAACATTCTGGCCGACAATTTGGTACTCTTCCAATATAATTTGGTAGGCAAGAACAAGCCGCTTGGTCACCTATCACACGACATTCCGAGTTTGCCCCGCAGGGTGATGGGTCACACGGATTAGTTGGTACCGTCCCTAAGAAAATTAAGTAGTAAATTGACATATTACATCATAAAAATATAGTCTAAGATAGAATGTTATTTTATTTACTCATACTCACTTTCTGTCAATGTGCATCTAGTAAAGGGATCGCCAGTATATCCAGGAGTGCAACTGCATATTGGATTGTGTGTAACAACTTGACAGCGTGCATTCAACCCACAAGTATTTGGACAAGGATCTAGACATTTCTTATTAACGCATGCTTTGTCTTGTGGACATTCTGAACTAACAATACATTCAGGGCGACAAGTAGGTGGCGTTCCGATGTATCCCGTTTCACAAGTACAAACGCTATGGCCGTTGACTGCCCGACACAAACTATAAGGTCCACACGGTGATGGCTGACACGGGTTGAGTTGTGGCTCGTCTCGTTCCGATACTACTGTAGTATATACAAAATATATCAATCATTTGGCATCAGTACTTTAAAACAAAAACACTTTTATTTCAAATGCTTCACATATCTAATTATGAAGTTTTGGTCAGACGTGCCCTACATTAGACCACATCTCACTTAACATCAGATGGGATTGGGGCCAAACGTCTGTCTAGTTATGTATAAAAAAATAGAACTGATAGAAAAGAGGGCTTGCCTCTGATAAGAGAGGCCACACTCATAAAGACTTATCGATTAAAAATTAATAAACACTTACGTTGTTCTTCACACTTTGTGAGCGGATTTCCTGTGTATCCTGTAAGGCAGGTGCAAGTTGGGGCGTGATTAACAGTTCTACACTCTGCATTGATCCCACAGGCACCAGGGCATGGATCCCTACATCTGTTATTTGAACACGCCTTGTTTCGGTCACAGTCTGAGTTCGAAACACATTCAGGACGACATCCGGTGTATGGGTCACCGAAGTATTCAGGAAGGCAGGAGCATGAACCAATGCCGTTTCTCTCTTTGCATATTGCATTAGCACCGCACGGAGATGGATTGCAAGGGTTTGGTGGTGGCTCTGGAGCATCTGTTAATGTTATGATCTTGTAATATACTTTAAATTAAGTGGTATACATACATGTATTTACTTCCTAACACAAAAACTTACGTTCGATGATAGAACATCCACTAAACGGATCACCTGTATATCCAATGATACAATGGCATAGTGCTATATGATTTGCGATGGTGCATTCAGCGTTAAAGCCACAAGATCCCGGACATGGATCTACACACTTTTCATTTTGACATGCAAGATTACCAGGACATTCCGCATTAATAGAACATTCTGGTCTACAGTTTGGTGCAACACCAATATAGTTTGGTAAGCATGAACATGCAGGCGCTTCTCCAACTACTTTACATTGCGAATAGGGGCCACACGGCGATGGTACACATGGGTTTCCCTTAGGCACCGGAAGAATAGGTTCTAAGGAAAAAAGATAACAAGTATAGAAAACAGTAAACATCGATAAAAGAAATATATAAAATTGATAGAGAATAGTAAAGTATAAGAAAGCAAGATATAAGAGAAATTATAAGTGAACTTGAAATAATTGAGGGTTTTTATAAAATACAACAACACATTTTGTTAACGTTCGGTTTTATTATAATATATTTTTTATCGCCATCTATTATTATTTCCTTACTTGGTTCCAGTTGACAAGTAACGAATGGATCACCAGTAAATCCTGCTTTGCATGTACAGATAGGATTATGATTAATAACTTGGCATTTCGCATTGATTCCACATGTTCCCGGACAAGGGTCCCTACACTTTTGTTTAATGCAAGCTTGGTGTTGAGGACAATCTGTACTGATAACGCATTCTGGCCTACACGTAGGAGGCGACCCTATATAGTCCCCTTGACACGAACACACTCCGTGTCCGTCTATAACTTTACAATTACTATATGGGCCACAAGGTGACGGTGCACAGGGATTTTCTTCAACAGGTACTGAAACAGTATTAAACGATTTATTCAAAACGTGAATGATCAATTGTTCAAAACTTCATACTCCTTACTTAGTTCATATATAAATTACTAACTTTTTTTCTGTGGATAACATGATACCGTAGGATTTCCCATATAACCTTCGATACATAAGCATACTGGAGTATGGTGTGCTACATTACAAACTGCGTTGACTCCACAAGCACCTTCACAAGGATTTACACATTTGTTGTTGGAACAAGCTTGATCGAAATGGCAATCGTTATTTGTCACACATTCTGGACGGCATCCCATGTATGGATCGCCAAAATAACCAGGGAAACATGTGCAAGCGCCAGCTGAATTTTTTTCCGTACATAACGCATTTGGACCACACGGCGATGGATCGCAAGGGCTTTCGTATTCACTTGCAACTGTCACTACGAGAATGAAACAATACAATATACTTTGGTGTAAACATATAAAACTTTGTTAGTTTTACCAAAATGAGACTTACCAATAAAATAACAACCACTAAAAGGGTCACCGGTATAGCTTTCTTGACATCGACATACAGCTTTGTGTGAAATCACCATACAATCAGTGTGTGCGCCGCAAGAACCATCGCAAGGTGTCATACATTTTTCGCGAATACAAGCAAGATTGCTAGGACATTCTTCGTCATAAATACATTCGGGGCGACAATTCGGGGCTCTGCCCACGTAACCAGCCATACATGAACAAGCTGGTGTTTCACCTACCATTCGACATTGTGAGTTTGGTCCACATGGAGAAGGAATACATGGATTTTGTGACGGTTTTGGTTCAGGACCTTAAAAGATTTAGGTTTTGTTATTATTAAGTTTTTGCTAATTTCTATATTATGTTAGATTTATTAACGAAAACACTTACGTTGTTCATAAACACATTGTATAAATGGATCACCAATATGGTTACGGGGGCAACTACATAATGCATTATGGTTCACAACATTGCATTTCGCGTCTTTCCCGCAAGCACTGATACATGGATCTACGCATTTTTTGTTAATGCAGGCTTTGTTTGGCATACAGTCACTGCTAACCATACATTCGGGATGACAAGAAGGGGGTGAACCGAAATAGTTGTCCTGGCACGCACAAATGGCGTGTCCATTACTTTCTCGACAAATACTATTAGGCCCACATGGCGATGGGTTGCACGGCTGGACGGGTTTCTGTTTATTTATTTGGCCTAAAACGTTTAACAAATACGAATCAAAAATATGAACCAATTTTCAAATGTAATATACAAAAAAAGTACTAAATAATTTTTTTTCTTACTGATAAAACAGGAAGTAAACGGATTTCCTTCGTATCCAGAGAAGCATGCACAAGAGGGTGCATGGTTGTTTACTCGACACTCCGCATTCATACCACAAACGCCAGGACACGGATCTTTGCATTTGTTATTAATGCACGCTCTATCTTTGGGACAGTCGGAATTGAGAACACATTCTGGTCGGCATTCTATGTATGGATCACCATAATAGTCGGGCAGACAAGAGCATGAGCCCGCTCCATGCCGCTCTTTACACACGGCATTAGCACCACAAGGTGATGTGGAGCATGGGCTTTCTAGTTGTGGTTCAATAACTGTAATATATTTATTTGCATTCGTTAATAATATTTATGTGGGATGATTAGTACCGATTATTGTTGTTGGACACTTACTTGGAGTTAAATAACAACCGGAAAATGGATCCCCAGTGTAATCTTTATCACATGTGCATATGGGGATATGCTTTACAACGTTACAAGTAGCGTGTATGCCGCACGAGCCCGGACATGGATTGCTGCATTTTTCAGATATACATGCTAAGTTACTGGGACATTCAGAATTTAACGTACACTCAGGTCTACAATTTGGTGGTCGTCCAATGTAGTTGTTTATGCATGAGCACACTGGTACTCCACCTAAATCTTTACACTGAGAATTTGGTCCGCAGGGACTTGGTAGACAATTGTCGACTGGCACCATATGTTCTGCGCGAAAAACATTAATAATAATGAATAGTAATCATAACTATTTTTTTAAAAGTTTGGGTATAAAATTAAATCAAAATAACTTACTGTCTTCCAAGTAACATCGCACAAATGGATCACCAGTATAGTCAATAAAACAACTGCAAACTGGATTATGATTGACAACATGGCAATTTGCATTTACACCGCAAGTACCCGGACATGGGTCTTGACATTTTTGATTAACACACGCTTTATCAGGTCGACAATCCGAACTCACAATACATTCAGGCCGACAATTTGGTGGGGATCCCACACACATATCGAGACATGTACAAACAGCATGACCGTTAAAAGTTCGGCATTTACTATACGGGCCACATGGTGAAGGGTGGCAAGGATTGACAGGTTCTTGGATAGCTGAAGTAAATAAAAGTATATAAAGAAATAACAATAAAGAGTTCAGATAAAGTATAAGGAGAATAAAGAAAGAGATTCTTACTTATTATAGGATTACATGCATGAAGAGGATTTCCAGAAAATCCAGTCAAGCAATAACATGAAGGTGCGTGATTGGTCACTTTACATTCAGCATTTCGCCCACATGTGCCCGGACAAGGATCTACACATTTGTTATTAAAGCAAGACCTGTCCGGAGCACAATCTGTATTCATAACACATTCCGGTCTACAACCCTGATATGGGTCCCCATAAAATTCATCTATACATGTACATGCACCTGCACCGTTCCTTTCCCGACAAATTGCATTAGATCCGCAAGGTGAAGGATTGCATGGTTGTCGAGGAACTTCCTTAGAAACTGAAAGTAGGGTGGAAAAGTTCATGAACAAGTTTTCATGCAGTGATACTATCAATAACTACCGAAGCTTAAGAATGCGGAAATAAAAAAACAAACTTACTTTCAAATGGACTACACCCAGCAAAAGGATCTCCAGAATAACCATCGTCACAGGAACATATAGGCTGGTGGTTTTGTACGGAACATTTAGCGTTGAAGCCACAAGAACCAACACAAGGGTTGATGCAAGTACCCCTAAGACATGCGAGGGCGAGAGGACAGTCTTGATTGATGAGACACTGTGGACGGCATGCAGGTGGCGCGCCCAATGTTCCAGGTTCACAGGCGCACACGGCGCGCCCCAGTTCGCTACGGCAGGTTGAGTGTGGTCCGCACGGCGACGGAAGACACGGGTTTGGTGCTGGTGCCGTAATACCTAACATCATCATTATTTAAAGTAATTTACGCACATTATTTACGCCCAAAAATCCATTAATGAACTTTATGTTACATGCTTCTTGCAAATATCTCTTACAGCACAGCTTGCAGTTCCTCCAACATTGTGTAACTACACTACACTAAACATTCATTATTTAATCGGCTACCTACACCATACAACGACTTTTTTCAACACTAGATATATTTAATTCCCGTCGCAACTCTTTCAAAAAATATATCCTTAAAACACTATCATACATTTAATGTCACTAAATCAAGCCGCTTTTAATACATAGGCTTTGGTTATACACACACACACAAAAATACACAACCATATCCTACACACATTCTCTCTCCTATTATTGTTAAGTCTGTAAACATTCTAATTGGTGTTGTTACGATATAAAAATTATTTTGTAATATAGTTAAATAAGCTGTAAGATTTTTCTTAATAAATGAAGAAACTTATAAGGAAACTGATAAAATTTCAAATAAAATTGAAATGAAATAAAGGTAATGAACACTACTAACACTTACTCTTTCTATAACATTTGATAAACGGATCGCCTTCAGGCATGTTCTCAGGACAGGTACAAATAGGGTTGTGCCCAATCACGTGACAGCGAGCCTCGAGTCCGCAGCTGTTTACACAGGGGTCTTTACACTTTAGATTTATACAGGCTTTAGTAGGAGGACAGTCGGAGTTAACTGCGCACTCCGGTCTACAAGTAGGAGGAGCACCCAGATATCCAACACGGCAGGAACATGCAGCACGGTTGTTAACTACATGGCATTCACTGTTTGGTCCACAGCTAGAAGGTTCGCATGGATTGAATGGTGTTGCTGAAATAATATTAACAAAACATTAATTGAAATATGACTTATTAAAACTATTAATGATTTTTAAGCGGGTTTAAAAAAACGAAGGAGGAAGTTAGCAAAAGGACGTGAATTTTTTTTGCAGAACATCTAAATGTCCGATGCTATTTGTATTTTGTTTAAAAGAAAGTGTTTAACTTACGTGTTCTATATTCTGGTCTGCACGATGAAAATGGATCACCTTGATATCCTTTGAAGCATGTACATACGGGTACATGATTAGTCACCACACACTCAGCATTGAGGCCACATAAATCTCGACAGGGATCTCTACAATGATTGGATAAGCACGCCAGGTGGTTAGGACAATCTGAATTTGAAATACATTCTGGTCGACATCCTCCCGCGTACGGATTACCAATATTTGGTGGAATACAAGAACAGCGAGCTGCGTTGTTAATAACGGTACATTGAGTATTCTCACCGCACGGTGATGGGTTGCATGGCGATACGTTTTCGTCTTTGTTCACTGCAATACATCCTATAAATGCATCGCCTCTATAGCCTTCCATACAACTACACAATGGTGTATGGTTAATAACGTTACACTTAGCGTTGTTTCCACATGCGCCCACACATGGGTCACTACATTTTTCATTAATACAAGCTTGATTTGGTGAACATTCTTGACTAATTACACATTCTGGTCTACAGAAAGGTGGAGTTCCTGAATAGTTTGGCTGGCAAGAACATACTGGATGGTTTGATCTTATTTCACAAACAGAGTTTGGTCCACAAGGTGAGGGCACACATGGATTTTTATCAGACGATGGACCTTCAACAAACGCTGTACAGGCTACGAAAGGATCTCCCGTTGCCCCGGGTCCACAACTACAAATTGGATTATGGTTGACTACGATGCAATTAGATCCGACTCCACAGCTTCCTTGGCAAGGGTTAACACATTTTTGGTTTACACAAGTGTCTTTTTGTGCACAGTCAGAATTGCTTACACATTCAGGTTGACACATTGGCGGTATTCCTCTAAATCCTGGTAAACAAGAACATATAGCAAAACCTGTTTCTGAAACTAAGCAACGACTGTATGCACCACACGGTGATGGATCACATATAGATAATGTAGAAGGTATTTTGGGTTGTGTCTGGCACCTAATATAGGGATCGCCTGTAAGATTTGGAGGACAGTAGCATACTGCGTGATGGTTTACGGTTTCACATTGCGCCCCTATTCCGCAAATATCCTTGCAAGGATTTTCGCATTTGTTATTTAAACATGCTTTATTTGAACTGCAATCACTGTTAACCACGCATTCTGGCCTGCATGAAATATACGGATTTCCATAGAAATTAGGGAGACATTGGCATGTTAGTATCCCATTTATTTCGTCACACAAGGCGTTAGGCCCGCATTGCATATTATCACATAGCTTGGGTTGTATAACTAAAATAAAAACATTATCATTATTAGAAAAAAGTTCCAAGTAATATGATATTAACAAAATGTCGCATTACTTACCTTGAGTATTTACTTTACAACCCTCATATGAATTTCCTTCAAAGCCAGGTTTGCAGCGACAAATAGGTTCGTGGTGATAGACCGTGCATTCAGCATTCAGACCACAAGAACCGGCACAGGGATCGACACATCTGTTTCGAATACAAGCCTTATCAAACGTACAGTCAGAGCTTAAAAGACATTCTGGTCTACAAGCAGGATTGTTAATAGAGTTGGGTCCAACACATAAATCGCACACTGCAAATTTATCACCATATGTGTCACAATAAGAATTAGGGTCGCAAGGATTCGGTGAACATGGTTGTACTGTAGTATTGTCAGGTGTTATTATAATCGCTGTAACAAATAAAACCAATTAATATAAAATCACATAAATTAAGAAACACGTAATTATTATATAAATTCCACTTACGTCGGTAAAGACATTGTATTAATGGATCACCAATGTACCCCTCCGGGCACAAGCATGACACTGTGTGATCTGAACATAGACATACAGCATTAATTCCGCATATGTTGTTGTTATCACATGGGTCAACACATTTTTGATTTATACAAGCTTCGCCCGATGCACAATCTGAGTTCATTATACATTCCGGTTTACATTCTATCAGAGGATCACCGTGGAATTCAGGTAGACAGGCACAAATGGCCTTCTCACCAACATCTTGGCATATTGCATTAATGCCACAAGTAGTTCTTGCGCAAGGCCTATTCGATTTTTGACTTTCTGGTTGTAAGCAACAAACAAGGGGATTTCCTTCATAGCCATCTTCACAAACGCAGACGGGATGATGAGTTTCCACGTAACATCTAGCATTTATACCGCAAACTCCAGGGCAAGGATCACGGCATGTGTATCCAATACAGGCCTTATTAGATGGACATTCGTCGTCTATTTCACACTCTCGGGAAACACAGCCATTCAAACTGTAAGGATCACCAGTACTGCCTTCTGGACATAAACAGGAGAGTTGGCCTTCATAGTTTACATTACATATCGCCTGTGGCCCACAAGGATTTGGGCTACAAGGATTCCGTTGTGGTTGACAGCCTATATACGGGTCACCAATAAATCCTGCTTTGCAAAAGCACATTTCAGTGTTACTACTGACATAACAATCTGCATTACTTCCGCATTTTCCAGGTTTACATAATACTTCTGGTGGTAAGTATGCTTGATGATTACATGATTTATAAGGATTACCGATAGTATTTTCAGGGCAATAGCACGCTGGGATTCTGTTTGCATCACAACGAGCACCAACACCACAAGTATTAGGTTCGCAAGGATTTCTGGCTTCAACACAACCCCTCACTGTATTAGGACTTTCTACATATCCTAATAGACACGTGCATTTTGAGAAACCGTTAGATAAAACAGTACATTGTGTATTAGGACCGCATGGAGATGGATTACAAGGATTATTTGGCAGTTGGCATGGTTGACGAGGTGGGTTTCCCTCATAGTTCGGCAAACAGAAGCACGCTGGTTTGTTTTCTATCACCCTGCATCCTGTATTTGGTCCACATGGGTTAGGTTCACATTCATTTCCTTCGGGAACTGAAAATGTTGTGAAAATTGCTTTATCTAAAGATTTATCGAGAAAACAAGATGTATGAATCGAACAGCGTTGACTTAGTTATTAGGCGTGCGTATTTTCAATCCTACTTTTAATCCCCAGCGTGTATCAATGGGTTATTTTTTATTTGCACTATTTCGACACTTGCTAATATTATTGAAAAGACCCAAAGATTTTTCTTGTTTAAAATAAAGTGATCAATGAAACAGGTGGAGAAATACGTCTGCTAGATTGGGTGGTTCCGTGACTTCATACAAATATGTATATGTTATACTTAATACTTACTACAATTTTTGAATGGATTTCCAGTTAAACCTTTAGGACAGAAGCAAATGGGATTACCATTGTCATTTTCACATAAAGCGTTATTACCACATGGATTTGGAACACATGGGTTTGTTGGTGGTTCACAACCAATCGATGGATTTCCAGAGAATCCAGCTAAACATTTACAGGACGCACGGTGGTTTATTACATCGCAAACAGCATTGATTCCGCAGCGGCATGGTGAATCACATTTACCATTTATACAAGCTTCTGTATTTGGACATTCGTTGTCTGATCGACATCCTTGTACTAAAAAATGTAAAACATGTTAATATTACTGTTACGTAGTTAAAAAGGCGTATAAACGTCAAGAACCGACTTTTTTTTTTATGTTGATGTTAAAATTAAATCAGTTACCTTGATAACATTCCAAGAAGGGATTTCCAGTAAAACCAGCTAAGCATTTGCATTGAATACCGTGACTCGCAGGGTAACATTCGGCATTATCACCGCATGTATTCACAGCACAAGGGTTAATACACACTCTATTTAATCTGTCACACAATAGCTCCGGAGGACAATCTTCATTATACTGGCAAACTGATCGAGATTCAACCACTAAAAATATATATATTTTTTTTAAAACACATTCGGTTTTGTCTAAGTTATTTCATTAAAATCCATCTTCCTACCTGGTACACATCCAACGTATCCGTTTCCTTGGAACCCTTCGATGCAGCTACAATCTGAACCATGATTTGTGTTTATACATACGGCGTTAGGTGCACACGGGTTGTGTATCGCACACGGATGCTGACATGCATTATTTATACAAGCCTCCGTCACAAGACATTCTTCATTTCGAGTGCAACCGGCTGAGTGAAATGTAAAAAAATATTTATATTTACACATGCAATTTTATATTCACAGAGCTCCAAGAACGATATTGTACAGCAAAACAATTTTATACATCTTAATATTAATTGTGTTTCATTAGTTCAATTTGCGATCGTCACTTCTCATTACTTTAAATGTATTCAATGTTGGCCTCATTCGTCATCCATGCTAGTTTCGTCCAAAACCTAACCCCATGTGTACTTATAAATAAATACTACTTCTTACCTACTATTTCTCAATATAATACTTTTTATAATAAGTATATGTTTAAACATTACAGAGTTTATAAATATACTAATAATACTAATATACGTACATAATGAGTTGTTTTTAATTTTAGGATTTGAGACAAAGTGAAGCTTACTTATTTTAGGTGAACATTTTACAGCTGGATCTCCTTCATGCCCGGCTGGGCATGAACACATGGGTCTTTGTTTTACGGGATTGCAATTAGCTCCAGTTCCACATACGTTATCAAATTCACATGGATTTTGACATAGTCCCATAAAACAGGCTTCAGTTTCTATACAGTCGCGATCAGAATGACAAGGTTCTGGTGCTTTAGGTGTCCCAGGTGATTCTAGTATGTTACATGGTTTATTAATAATTAGTGTGTTAAATAGCTTGAGATCTTAGAAATTATTATTTACAATATTAAACATTATTTATTTTGTACAGTTAAAAATATATTTCTTATTTATACACATTTTGTCCGATATAACAACGTACTCGATAGATATTAGACGAAAAGGTAAGTTTATATATAAAAACATAATGATTTGTATAGAAATATGCTTTATAAAAAAGAGCATACCTCTAACGCAGTTGTCCCTGGCCTCGTCGTTACACTCACAAACTGCTACATGGTTGAAAACATTACAGGTTTTATTCTGTATACACGGATTCTGGACCTCACACGGATTTTGGCAAACCCCGTTTAGACAAGATTTGTTTATATTACAGTCAACGTCAAATGTACAATCAACTCTAGTCGTAACATCATCAAAATCGTAAGTTTGTGTCGATTCAGTAAATAAAGTAGTCTCAGTCCAGGCGAAAATATCAGTGTCTTTTTGCCTCGAAGATAAGTTATCAGAAAATGCATTGAAAGTTGATGATATTGTAGAAGGGTATTTATTTTTTCCTTTATTTACCTCAGAAATTTCTGTAGTTGTATCAATATTTGGATTAGTGGTTACGTCGTATTTGTGGGTAGAAGTTGATGTATACCCATCGAGTATTTCAGTTTTACTAATTTCATCAAGAGCAATAGAGGTTACACTTTTGAATTCGGTAGAAGTGACGTCATCTGTTGTAGGTTGCGTCGACTCAGAATACTTGCCTGATTGTGTGGTTTGAATGTTTATTGTTTCCAGAGTAACTGTGGTTCCATTTTCATATTTTGGAGTAAACGTATTTGCATCATTATCTATTGATTGAAATGATTCTGTTGTAAGTTTTAATATATTCGATTTTTCTGTTGATGTAACATCAATTACGTAGTTTTTAGTTTCCTTGGGTGTTACTTGAGTAGTTTGGATACCATCATCAACAGCAATTGTAGAAGCCATACTAGATTTTATTGTGGTGATAACCTCTATCGATGGATTTTTGTTATCCTCTTCTTTTATTACAACCATATCCATTCCCTTAGAAAATGTATCTTTTAAATATGAATTTGTTGTAGATTTTTCGAAGGTATTTGTCAGCTGCGTTATACTAGTGTAAGGAATATCTGAGTCAGATTCATGTTCAAGATTCTGACTCGTTGAAATTCCAATATTTTCAGCGGTTGTTGATTCTGTGGTTTCGGGCAAATAATTATTCTTACTACCTATATCTTGTACAACCGAAGTTGTTTCTGTAAACATATGATCTTGTGTTGTCGCAATAGCTTCAATATTCGTTGTGTCATAGGATGTAAAATCTAAAGAAGTTTGTTCTGTTGTTTCTGTATCTAAAGTAGTGGAAGCAGTTGTTGTAAAAAATTCACTATGTGATTTTTCACGTGTATATTTTTCTGTGGAATATGCATTATTTTCGCTATATCTATTTGTTGATGTGTACAGTTCATACGAATCTGTATTTGTTTCAACGCTATTCATATCAGAAATATCATCCGTCTCAGGATTATTAACTTTATTTCCTACACTATAAACGTTTTGAGTAACGTCTGAATAAGTTGTATGTAATGTACTTTTTCTTTCATTTCCATCATTTACACCGAAATTTTTATTAGTTGTACTGGCAAATTCTGCACTTGATTCATAATTACTGTGTATTGCCTCTGTAGAAACTATATTTTCAATGGGAACTTTTTTCGTAAGTTCCGCCTTATCAAATCCTATGCTATTAACACTATATGTTGTGGTACCATCGCTTCTGGTTTCCACATACGTAGTTTTTAATGCTCTACTATCTGTAGTTGTTTCTACACTCATGGCTGTTTTTAAATCTGATGGATTTGTATAATCAGAACTACTATATTCAATTGTAGATATACTAGCCTCTGTAGAATTAATTTCTGAAACATCAAGAATATTGTTTGTTTTCATACTGATTTCTGAAATTTCTTTATAATTTGTTGAGGTAACATCAGTCAAAGAATCAGTGGTGAATTTAATATCGACGTCAGTGCTTTTTCTAGTTGTGTACTCATCATATTTTTCCATTAAACTGTCAGTTGGTGTATTTTTTGAATCATAAACTGTTGAAGCCGTGGTAAAAATATGTTCATTTTCATTTGTACCCGCAAATAATATTCTGTGTTCTGTCGTTTCTGATGTTGTGTAGTGATTCTGATCTGGACTGGTTTGTGATATAATTAACTCATTTGAGGCAGTTGTGCTACTTTCAGCAGAAGTTTCAGTATGGTCAGAGAACTTTTGTTGGCTTAATGAGTACGTGGAAGATTCCACTTCTCGAGAACTCTCAGATATTGTATGTTCTAATTCAGGTTGATTTACACTGTCAGTAGATACAATAAAGGTATTAACGTTTTCAAAGTTATCTAAAGTACTTATATGAGTTTTATGGTTATTTTCGCCAGGAATATATGAAAGTAGAATCTTTATTTGTATACTTCATATCTTGAATAGTGGTACTTAAAATTTTATCCTTTGTTCCTACATTTGATGTTGTCATTGAATTTGTATTTGTCATTTCTTCTGCATCGGTATTTATGAAGTCAAATTGACCAGTCACTACTTCGTTAGAACCTACAGAAGCAGTTTCAAATGTTGTCAATACATTTTCAGTATTATACATGTATTTTTCTGTGTTGTAAATAGGTACGTCTTTTTCACTTCTTGTATAAAAACTTTCCATTGTATGTGTTTCCATCTGATCACTTATAGATGTTGTTATCTTTATATTATCTTGGCTATTTACATTTAATTTATCTGTATCAAAATATGTACTAGATTCCACTTCTACCGGAATATTAGTTTGCTTGTCATTTGCTTGTGGATTTAACTCAGTTATGCGACTTGTAGTATAGTTAATTTCATCATAAACATCCAATTTGTCCGTATTCAGTACTTTCGGGGCATCAGTAACTAAGGAGGCTTTATTTTCTACTTCTTCACCAACACTATCTTCACCAGGATGTGGCGTAATGCTGTAGTTTATTTCAGTTACTGTAGTTGACCCTTTTGATTTAGAAGTAGATCTTTGAGGTGTTGTATTAGTTATTGTGGTTTCAGTATCCTCTGTTAAAGTTGTAAAGTGGGTACTTTTTATGCCTGGTGAATACTCAGATGATGTCACAAACTGTTCCTTGTTACTTTGTTTTATTGTAACGATGTCAGAAGTACTACTATCATCAGCTTCTTGCAAATTTTGTGTTGTGATATATTCTGTTATTAAGGCATATTCTGTAGTTGATATATCTGGTATTTCAACAGTTTGATCTCCTCTTTCTATACTGTAAGTTTTCTTTGTTGATAGATCGTTTTGAAGTGTTTCATTATTAAGTTGTTTTGTAGTTATATTTATAGGATTTGTAACTGCAGTTTTGAAATTTGAATCATACGTATTTTGTAGATTTCTTTTATTTTCTGGAGTTTTTGTATTTCTATTTTCATTGACACGTTTATGAGTGCCGCTGGTTTCATTACGTTTTAAGTAAGGCTTTCCAGTTGTTGAGTTCTGACTTTTACTTACAATCACCTCACCACTGTCTATAAATTCTTGATTTTCTGAAGGTGGTGAGGTTATTGAACTACCTAAGTCTTGACTTAACGTTGTACTTGAATCAAAGAAATTATCAGTAAGAGATGTGGTCGAAAGTTTCTCTGGAATAGTTGTTTCCGTTACTACAAAAGTTGTATCTGTTATATCATTAGTCTCTGTAATGTCATAAGTCATAACGGTACTGTATGGGGATTTTGAGGTCAAACCAGTTAATTCTAAAGTATTAGTAGTTGTTTCACTCGTTGAAAACTGATCTGTGGTAGTATCGGAGTTTCTTTCGGTTAGTAGGACATGTATAGGCCGAGCATCTGTTAATAAAAATAATACAAATGTCTTAACAATATACAAACTATTAAACAAACAGGCTAGGAAATTCTATAGGCTGGAGAAAATAAGTTATAGAAGCATTTAAAAAGAAAAATGGATTGTTAAAAATGGATTGTTTTGAATCAAAACTAATACATGTATTTAAAATGCATGAGAATAACAAATAAATTTCACACATAAACTTCATAATCCCAACACCAAGTCCAGCAGTAGGTAGAGTAAAACGTAAAATAATGAAAGAAAGCGAAATGTGTACATAAAACCATCCAATGTGCAAGCCAATGAAAATGCGCAACAAATATGGAATAAATACAATAATGACTAAACTACAAAAGAGTATCTACAGCGTCTAAGGTCCTCAGTGTAACTTCCGTAATCGGATTTTTTTGAAAATAACATTTTACCGGGTCTGCCGTGATAACGTGGCCAGTACTTCGTGGCGTTATATCGGACAAAATGATACGTTGTAGGCAATAGCAATAACCAGTTCATTTGGAGTTAGTTTTGCTATTCACAAATTATAGGCGCAGACTTGCTAGCTATACAGTAGAAGTCTGCAATCTTCAACAAATAAAAATGCGTGAGTAAGATAGGTAAAACAAGATAAGTAAACCCTTAATAAAAATTATAAATATTTAGTAAGATTAAATATATGACAATAACACGAATAAATAGTTTCATAGTACTTACTTTCCATGCACGCTCCAGAGAACGGATCACAAGGTACTCCTGGGCGGCAATGTGCGCAATTCGTTGATATCTTTTCATCTGCACAAATATTCAAATAATACATAAGTACACATATCAAAGCTTGGTTGGACCCACCTGTTCATTTCAAAAATCTAAGCCAACATCAGTCTGCTAAATCTGGCACGGTATTGTGATACTTAATATTTCATGTTTCGAAATAAATACATATTACATATTACGGAGTTGCATTTGAATTATTAGAATTAGGATGCTTTAGGTCGGTCTTCGCAAATGAAAGAAACATTAACATTGCTGGAGATTTGTTTTATAATAAATTGAAACAAACCCTGATACTTAATAATCGAATGTCTTTCGTATTACAATAGAAACAAATAAAACTAAAAGCAAATAACTTAATGCATATTTACCACGAATACAAACACATCCATCACATTTAGTATTAGGATGGCTTGCGCAGTCCGACGATGTTTGACATTGGCATACTATAACAGAAAAAGGCTTTTTTTAGTGTTTCCTTTCAAATTAAAATTAAACTATTCAGGTATGTATGTACCAGTGATGTTTTTTACGCCTTTCATAATTCACTAAACATACAAGTCAGCTAAAATGAATAAGTGTGTAATCTATTAAAATACATATTGTGTTTGCAATGAATTAGGCAAATGTTCGTTTATCCCGATTTTAACACCGAGACATGGAACAAGAAAGTGTCTTCATCAGGTACTGAGGACCCAGCAGACACACAAAGTTACCTTTAGAGCATACAGGTTGGTGATCAACGACTGCACAATGATGTCCAACAGCGCAAGGACCACCTTTTGCGCATGGGTCAGAGCAGCGGCCTTCAATGCATGCGAGTCCCGAAGCACATTGCTCATGAGCACTGCATCCTAACGCTGTGGTAGAGTTTACTATAAGTTACTTTTATGGTGCAAGGATTGAAATTTTTCGTAATTATTTACGTTTTTCATATTATTCGACGATATCTGAGTAGGTATGCCGTTGCATGTTCTATTGTTGTTTCTTTATCAAGACTTAGACTCTAGTTACAATTATTTAACTGTTACATAATTGTACACGAAGAAGTACAAGACTTGTAAATTCCTAGCAATACCCCTTATTATCCTTTATTTTTTTAAATGTCGGCTTTTGAAACAGTTTAAATTATTCACTTTAATTCTGGTACTAAATTGTGGCTACTTAAATTATCATAAAATATTTTATCTATCTACAAAAAAATATACAGATAAATATAAAGATAGGCATTTCATAGTTAAAGCATTTTGTTAGATATTTTCACTATGTCTCGTGAGAGCTATAGGCTGTTAAATTCGCGAAAGCATTAGACATTGCATTAATAGTCACCCAAGCACACAACCACCAAAAGTTATATAACACACAAGTACTAAAACAATTTACTATATCATTCCAAAGACTACCTTACGTATAAAGGCGTTTAAACCGCTGAAAGAAATACAAACAAGCTAGAATAGAAGAACAGAAATAAGAACGGCATGAAGACATAGGGTAGATACGATCAATATTTCCTGGAATATGAAGAAAAAAATTATTAAGATTCATTCAAGTCAAGATCTAAAATATATAAAATGACTAAATACTTTCACATTCAAATCACTATCAAAAAACAAATTACCTTTAATACAGCCATGTTTTTCATCATGTATAAAACCAGCGGGACAGAACTTGCAAACCGGGTGATGATCTTCTACAGAGCAAGGGGCATCTCCGCATGCACCTTTGCAAGGATCTTTGCATTGAAAATCTCGACACGCAAGGTTTTGAGGACAACCGGTGTCTCTCAGGCAGATCGATACTGATGGATGGCAATCTTTAATGCACAAGCACATAATTTTGTGTTCCACAACTTCACATTGTTTTCCTTTTGGACACATTGACTCTCTAGATGCCAAACATGGATTCACACATTTATTATCTTTACAAAGTGCATTAGAAGGGCATTGTTCATCTCTAGTGCATTCAGCGTGTTCAGGAGCACAAGTCAATTCACCTCTGTCGTTTAAGGCGAAGCCATTTCGACAAACACATACTGGCTGATGATTACGTACTTCACATTTTTGATTCGGTCGACAGCTGTGATAGTCGAAGCAAGGGTTGCGGCAATAATTCGTAGCTAAGTCGCAAGCTAACTTGGACGGACAGGGCTTGGTTTCAGAGCATGTGAATGTGTTATTTATATCCGAAGTAGGTTTGCAGGTGGGGTCCAGCCGGCAGGCTAGTCTGGGTTGTCCGACGTAGCATTGTGGACAGGAGCATTGCGCTCTATGCATGACAGGAACACAAAGGGCGTCCTCCCCACACACACCACGCACTGTGCACGGGTCCACGCAGTGCAAACTGAGGCACGCCTTGTCGACAGGACAGTCTTTGTCACTCGTACATTCGATACCTAGGAAAATTTGAAAGAAGAAAGCAGAGTCGAAAGAGCTGTACCTTCAGCCGTGAAGAGGAAACTTTCTCACGAGACAGTGCATGCTTTTTGAAACTGATAGTTTTATGACCAGAAATATATAACGGTAGGAATATTATAAAGAAGCGATATGTACATGAAGCCGAACAAAATGTTACTGACTGAAATCAAGCACGAATGGTGAGAATGCTTCCACTAATAATCGACAAAAATGTGTCATTTTTAATTTAATGTATACATTCTGTACACTGAGAAATTAAATTTTTACATAATTTACATGACTCAGGAATCGTGTCACAAAGATAACATATAATTATTATTTTTGTGATTCTTTTTAAATTATATAATATAATTGACCTTCTCACTATCGATGTTGATAATTGTTTGACACGACCCCTAAGTTATAGAATCTATACTTTTTACTTATATGGGACATGTCAGTCCCAATGCATTATTAATAATAGAATGCCTGAAATTGTGCATCTAGAAAACGAGAATTCTCCCTAACTTTGTACATAATTAAGTAAAATAGAAAATAATTATTACTTTTTTACAAAAAAAGGAAAATATAAAATGAAAGTTTATATTTTGTAAACTTGAAACGTGCATTTTTACAAGTGATGTGCATGAAAATATGTGTGTAACTCACTGGTGTGACATTCTATATCAGCTTGGCCTTCCGTACCAGGTACACATCGGCATACAAACTCTGCCCCTTCTCGTAAGCATTCTCCATTAACACCACATCCAGTCGTACGGCAATCAACAATACTGCGTTCTTGAGTACCTGTAACATGTGAGTTAATTAGTAATTTGCACAACAGTAAAATTAGAAGCGCGTACATAATTTATACTTATAAGTTAATACGTACATTCTATATTTGGGTCTCCGTTTGGATAATTGCGTGGACAATAGCATTGTGTCTCTTGATTTTGTCCGATTCGGCACTGTGCGTTGGTACCGCAAATTTTAGCAGCACACGGCATCATAGTGCCGCAGAAACATTGATGTTGTGGATTACCCGCACAGCCTGGAGGGCAGGTGCACTCGTAACTTCCATCTTCCATATCCCGGCAACGAGCGTTAACTCCACAAGGGTTTCGAGAACAAGTTCCCCCAGTCGGTTTTGCACATTCAAGCTTGGGATTACCAATAAAGTTTGGAGGACAAGTACACTGTGGACTTCTATTCACAGATCTACATATTGCGTTTGTTCCGCAAGCATGTATACACACATTTTTACATTTACCTTCTACATTACATTCCTCATCCAAAGCGCATTCATCGTCGCTAGAGCATTCAAAGACTTTACACTCCTTAATAGGATCGCCAGAGAACCCACTGGGACAACTACAAATGGGACGATGTCGTGCCGAAGAACACAAAGCATTTTTCCCACAAGAATTTTCACGACAAACGGGGACGCATTGCTTAGATGAGCACACCATGTCGTCTCCACAGTCTCTGTTACTATTACAGCCCGGTAAGCATACTCCTTGAGCACATATCTGTCTCTGCGGGCATTTATTGCGTAACGAGCACATAACCCTGCATCCGCCATTGTGACATTTTTCATCACAATTACAATCAGAGTTATTGTCACAAAGTGAAATGCAGAAACCGCTATCATCGCAAGGACAAAATCCATCACATTGTAACTGTTTTCTTTTGCATTCTACAAGAGGATTTCCGGTATAATTGCTTGAACAGCTACATTGAGGTCTATGATTAATGACTTTACAATCAGCACATGTGCCACAACTATTGCCTTCCTTGCAGGGATCTAAAATATGTATAGAAATATAATATAATATAAGTTTAAATGAATTAAAGTAATACTAATAATAAGAGACTTGATATTTATTTCGTCTATACATAATTTTCTAAACATACCTTTACATTGCCCGTTAAAACAAGCCTGTCCATCACTACAAGCTCTATCATGGCGACAGCCTTGTTTGCATATTCTATTTTCACAAATATGGCCATCACTACATCCTTCATCACTATTACAAACCACTCTGCATATGCCACGTATACACTTTTCATTTGACATACAAACGGTATCACTAAAATAATATAAGATGACAAAATTAATTTACAAATATATTAGAGCCCGAAAAAGAGTTTAAATTCAATATATCAAATATTTACCTTCTACACGACGGATAACAAATATTTCCGTAGCAACTAAATCCATCATCACAGTTTTTGTCCATATCACAAGGCATAGATATTCTTCTGCAAGCAACTTTTGGATCTCCAGTCAAAGTTGTAGAGCAGGTGCAAATCGGTTGGTGATTATTTGATAAGCACAGTGCGTTGGCACCACACGTGGCTGGTTCTGTGCAAGGATCCTTACATTGTCCAGATATACAAGCTTTGTCGTTTGAACATTGGGAGTCAGATTTACATCCCGTTATACAAAACCTGCCGTCGCAAATTTCTTCATCGGAGCAGTGATCATCAGTGGTGCAAGCGAATCGGCAAACGCCTAAATCACAACGTTCTCCTTGAAGACAATCGCTCCCGTCAGGCGTACAAGCTGGCCTACATCGGTCATCTTCACATCTCCATCCTGTTGCGCAATCGGAATGCATTTTGCAAGTGGGTGAAGGGGTACGTACGCATCCAACGTTAGGTGTTGGATTTGGTATTAAGTTATCGAGACATGAGCATACAGCTTTGCGATCTACCGCTGTACATCGCGTGTTAGGTCCACAAGGGTTCACTTCATTCGCACAAGGATTTTGACAGTAATTGTTTCTACAAAATTCATCGGGTCCACAGTCATCGTCTTGTCTGCATCCGTAATGACAGCTATTCGCAAGACATATATGTCCAAGGAAACAATCGTTGTCTACCCGACAAGTCACTGCAACAAACATTAAAAATTATTAATATAATTATTAAATTTTATTATTTTTCCCAAAAAAATACACGTTGAATTGTAAACCTCGTCCTTTGGTCAAAGTTGGTAAAATCAATAAAAGAGAAATCAACATAAAAACCAGATACATATATTGTAAAAATGTTAAAAATACTTACGCAAACAAGCTCCTTTGGAGCAACGTTCATTCATTGCGCACTCTTCGTCCACCGTACATTTAGGTACACACATTGAATCTTGACAATAATGCCCATCTTCGCATTCTCCAGATCCACCACACAATCTTGGTACTGGAAAACAATATATTTAATGTAAAATTCCTCATGAAGAATATTTAATATTTAGAGTAAAAAGTTATTTCTTAGTATTTAAGTTTAATTAATAATAGTACTTACTTCTTACGCATTCAACGTCTTGATTTCCAGTAAATCTGTACGGACAACTACATTGTACAACGTGATTATCAGTTCTGCATAAAGCATTCAAACCACAAGTATTTTCCATTTTACATGGATCTAAGCATTGGCCGTTAGTACATTTTTCTTGCATTTTACATTCTTCGTCAAGTAAACATAAAGCTAAAATGAAAAAAAAATAGTTTTCCTATTTTGCAATTATAAAATATTGAATTATAGAAAGTTTTCTTACCTTGACATGCTTTGTCGTGGCAATATTGATTTTTAGGGCAATCATCTTTTGTAGTACAAGAAATTTCATGGGGTCGACAGCCTTTTTCACTTGAAGGATTTCCAGTAAAGCCAGTTTTACATTTACATTGGCCAGAATGTCTCGCCGCAAGACACTCAGTATTAGGTCCACATTTTATATTATCACAAGCATCTGTAAATAAACCAACATTGTTTAGAAGGATAGAAATGATAATATGTTAAATAGTGATCATATCAATTTTAGATCAAAGTACCTGTGCATTTCCTTATCCCATCTATAACGGTGCAACGTGCAACGGTGGGACAATCCCTATTAAATCTACATTCAGAGCCTTTTTGACACCCTTTTTCATAAGGATCGCCTACCGTTCCTTGGGGACAAACACATTGGGCTCCACTTCTAGTATTGTTGCATTGTGCTCCATCGCCACAAGGGTTTGATTTACAGAAATTTATTTGTCGACAACCCGTAGCTGGATCACCAGTATAGCCAGGTTGACAGTAACAGAGGGCTTGATGTTTTTCTGAAGAACACACAGTATTCTCTCCACATTTGTTTTTAGACAAACACGCAATTTTACACATATTTTTTTCGCAAAATTTGTCATCTGAACAGTCACTATCCTGACCACACTCAATTTTTTTACAACCTTGAACCGGATCACCAAAATATCCTTCTTTACAGGAACAGGATGCCTTATGGGAAGTAGCAATACAGAGAGCATTTCTGCCACATGGTTGATTGTTACATAATTTAGAACATTGGGGTATTCCGTTTTTGTCTTCAGAGCACTGTTCATCATCAGAGCAGTCATCATTGGTAGTACATTTTATTTCTTTGATACAAATTCTATTCGAGCAATAGTATGAGTCAAGGCACGTATCATTTGTTATGCACGTTAGTCTACATGTATCTTGGATACAGACTTGATCGTTAAGGCAATCCCTTGAATTCTTGCACAGTCCTAAAAAAATAATTTGAAATTTAAAGAGAAAACTATTAAGAACTAGACCACTCGATAAAATTTTAAGAAGAAAAGTACGTCAGTGATGACGCATTGGCTCTTTCTTTATTTAGGGCTGATAATTCTGTCAGTCAGTATGGTTCTAATTTATAAATCATTTTTCTTCAATACGTAAGTGAATACCAGCCGTATGTGATTAATTATTTCTCAAACTAGAGTTGCATCTTTCTCAAAAACATCTATAATCATCCAAAACTGACTTACCTAGGCACAAATTGTCGATACATTTGGTCCCCGAGGAGCATCTGCTATCGTCGTTACAATACTGTACAGGAACACATCCTAAAACAGGATCGCCTGTAAATCCAGAAGCACAGAAACAGTGGCCAATGTGGTTTCTGGAGAAGCAATTCGCATTTCTACCACATGCACGTGGTATGCTACAGGAGTTTTTACATCTGTTATTTACACAGGCTTCTTCTGAGGAACAATCAGCATCTTTTACACATTCGAATTTTACACACCCCTTATATGGATCGCCATGACTACCCGTTTGACATTCGCACGCGGGTTCATGCTTTAATACGTAACAGTCAGTATTATCACCACAAGGAGAAGTTTCACAGGGATTTGTACATTGATTTTTTTTACATTTTGTAAATTCTGAACAATCTTCGTCAGTAAAGCAGTCTCCGGGCTTTTTGCAGTGTTTTGTGTTGATATCGAGAACAGTTCCATTTACACATGTGCAAGCATATGACCCGGGTGTATTTTCACAAATTGCATTCAATGGACACGGGTGTGTAAGACACTCATTTATATCTTCACATTTGGAATTGTTTAATTCAAAACCAGATGAACAAGTGCAAACAGCTTTATGGTTTATAATTTTACAGCTGCCACCTTGACAAATTGTTTCGTCACATTGATCTGCAACATAGATATATTAATAAAAATGAAATCGACATAAAATATTTATTACAATACTTGATAAAAAATTACATACCTGAACATTTGTTACTTTCTAATCGGCAGAATTTATCATTTGGACATTCGGTGTCATCCACACATTCGACCCTAAAACAGCCCACTCGTTTATCGAATGGATTACCCAGATGTCCTTTTTTGCAATTACATGTTACTTTATGCCTATTAACTGTGCAAATAGCATTCGTTCCACATGGGTCACTTCTTTCACACGGATTTGTGCACTTTCCTCGGAAACAGACAAGTGAATCTTCGCATTGATTATCGCGTCTACATTGATTGGGCAATAAACATCCTGATTTGTAAGGGTCGCCTATGGCACCCGTAGGGCAGACACATTTAAAAGAACCGATATCATCTATACACTGGGCTGAGGGGTGACACGGATTATTTACGCATTCGTTGTCATTTATACATTCATTCTGTGTCATTTTGAATCCTGGTTGACATTGGCACTTTGTTTCCTTACACATTTGATTAGTCATGCAGTCTGAATCTGCCTTGCAACCAAGTATGCATACTCCAGAATTACAGTGTTCACCATGTAAACAGTTGCTACTGGTGTGGCATACCTTATGACATTTATTATCAAAACATGATTCCCCCATTGCACAGTCAGAATTGATTTGGCATGGTACCTGACAGAAATATCCAATGCACATGTGATCTGGCGGACAATCTAAAGTTTTAGAACATGAATTTGGTTTTCTAATACAGCCTTGTTGAGCGGTTGGTGTTCCTTCGAATCCTAGAGGGCATTCACATGTTGTGGCATGTTGAACCCTTGAACAAATTGCATTTGGGCCACATATTCTTGAACCGATACAAGGATCAATACATTGGTTGTTAACGCAAGCTTCTTCGCTGATACAATCATTATTACCGCGGCATCCAATCAAGCACTGACCACCAACACACGCCTCTCCAATACTACATTGACTATGCGTAGTGCATTCCTTTATACATAAATTTTTGATACAAAACTCTCCGTGTTCACATTGCGTAGAATTCTTACATGCAGTGAAACATTGGTCATTATGACAAATGTCACCGTCACAGTCTAAATCATCAGCACATTTAATTAATTTTTTCTTACACGCATTTATCCCCTGTATAAGTTCATATCCTTCGGGACACATGCAAATTGCTTTTCTCTCAACGACTTTACACAATGAATTAACTCCACATGCATTTTCACATGGGTTTACACACCGCCCGTTTAAACAAACGGTGTCTGTAGGACAATCGGAGTCGCCTTTAGGACATCTATTTTGTGCTACACAGCCTGTTTCTTTCGGATCACCTACTAATCCATCAGGACATTTGCAAATGAAGGAGGATCCTGATGGTTCACATATTGCTGATTTATGACAAGGATTTGATTGGCATACGTCAACTTTTCTACAACTCACTTCAGGTATTGGGTTTGCTAGGTAACCGGCTGGACAACGACATGTAAATTTATGATTTTCCGCAATACACACGGCATTTTCGCCACACGACTCCTCTTCACACACGTCAATACAAGTATGTGTCATACGATTACACAGTTGATTAGGCATACAATCTAAATTATAAACACACGGTACTTGTTTACATCCATTCTTTAAATCAGTTGGATCTCCCATATACGGTCCTAGAGGGCATTGACAATTAGCAACGTGATTATTAGTTACACAGAGAGCATTTGGTCCACAAATTAGTTGCTGACAAGCTGGAACACATTTTTTAATAGAATTGATTGTCTTACAGATTTCACTTTCTCTACATTGCGCATCATTGACACATTGATTTTTATTATTTGGTGCGCAACCAATTCGATCATTAGGATTTCCTTCATAACCTGGAGAACATAAACACTGACTTTTGTGACCTTTTGTTATACATCTAGAATTTTGCGGACACGTAAATGTTTGGCATATATCTAAACACTTTTTAACATCCAAAATATCTTTTTGACATGCTTTATCGTCATCACAATCATTATCATTTTTACAATTTGATGTTGTAGGCTGTTCACACATTGAGTTCAAGGGATTCCATATAAAACCTTCCTTGCAGTCGCAGCGAGCGCTATTATCTTTAACTGTACATATTTCATTTGGACTGCATATTATTGTAGAGCATAGATCGAGACATCTTTTAGTTGAACCATCTACTGACACACAAATTTGTGGCTCAGCACAATCAGTATTTACATTACATTCAACCTCGTTAGGCTCGGGTTGTTGTAATTGACATCCAGTTTTGACATCATTAGGTTTCCCTACATAACCTTCAGCACATATACAATGAGCGTGATGATTTGAACTGACGCATATCGAATTAGGCCCACATTGACGTTTACTACAAGCATCTAAACACTTTCTCGTGTCTTTACCTAATTGTAAACAAATTTCAGAGTCCTTACAATCTCCATCAGTAAAACATGTTTTATCAATAGTGCAACCCTGTTGAAGATGGTTGGGATTTCCTATGTAACCTGGAAGGCATTCGCATTTTCCTTCTGCGCATATAGTTTTTGGTCCACACTGCGTATTTCGGCAGGCGTCGATGCATCTAGATTTTTCACAAAAATATCCTTCTGGGCACGAGCTATTGCGGGAACATGTACACGCTGTACCATCTACACATTTTGATACTGATACTTGAGTGCAGAGCTCGTATGGGTTACCAATATAGCGGCTTTTGCATATACAACTGTAACTACCAGGTGTGTTGATACAAATCGCATTTTCCCCGCACGGGTGTGAGCCACACTCGTCTATATCGATACATTGTAAGTTAGGATTACCAACATATCCTGGTGGACAAAGACATTCTACGTGCGATCTAGTCTGCTGACATACTGCATTCGTCCCACACGAGGCTTTCGCACATGTTATTTCTTTTCGAGGTAAACAGTTCTTATACGGATTACCGGTGAATCCTTTATTGCATTTGCAAACATTACTTTGTCCATAAACGCAATGGGCATTCTGGGCACAACCCGGTTTACAAGTTGGTGGGGCTACGGCTGTAAAAAAGTAATGATGTTAAAGTAGAAAAAAGACACGTGGAATTTATATAGACAGATTGAGTGATTTTCATAAATTTTATGAATAAAAGGATATGATAAGAGAACGGAGCCCTCCCTCTTTATCTTTGGTAAAAAATTATCAAGTTTCTACCTTAATAAAGGCATAAAAAATTGAAAATTATACTTACGAGGCATACAAAGTAAGTCTGGGTTTCCAACAAAGAAGGCATTACAAATACAGCGGCCTGTTCCTTCATCACAAGTGGCACCGATACCACAGACGACATCCTCGCAACGCTGGCGACATCTGCCGGCTACACACGACATTGGTTCCTCACACGGAATGCCTGCTCCGCACAAGTCCCGTCTACAAATACCTCCAGGGAATGGATTTCCAACAGTACCCTCTGGGCATACGCATGTTGGACCGGATTTTGAAATAATGCAGTGGGCGCCGGAGGCACACGAATAGGAATCACAGCCTGGAAATATAAAATACCTACATTAAAATATTTTACCATGGTAAAACAAGAAAAACATACACATAACTTTTTCTAATTTGAACCAAATATTAATTAGATTTTTATAGGCATCTCCATTATAAAAGTTATGTCAAAAAAATCCAGTTGACGTAGAGTTGTCCTGAAACAAATTAATTTACATATAACTTTTACCTGAAACACATTTTCCGCCTTCTGGTTTTGTGTATCCGGGATTACAACGACACCACGCGGCGTGATTATCAACCTCACAAAAAGCATTTGGTCCACAGGATACACTTAGGCATGGAGAAGCACATGTTCGATTTAGACACGCAAAGTTATTAGGGCATTGATTGTCTTTGCTACATAATAGTTTCTGTGACGGTATTTGTTCGACGGTACCTAAAAATATTGTTTAAAATATATATTTTTATACCAAATGTAATTTTACGTTAGTTAAAGCAATGAATATACTCACATCCAGATTTGTACGGATCGCCAACCATATTTTGTGGACATATACATTTATATCCACCTTGTTCATCATTGCATATTGCGCCATAAGCGCAGGGAGCACTTTGGCATTCATTCCTGTTTGTGCAACCCGTATAAGGGTCTCCTTCGTAGCCCGACATGCACATGCACCTTGGTGGATCACTTGGTGTACATTTCGCATTAATTCCACAAGTAAACCTTTCACAGGGGCTTTTACATTTTTGCCCATCTGTAATATCTAAATAAAACGGAGGCGGGCAAACACAGTTTCCGGGCTGGACACACTTTTCATTGGCGAAGCAATCGCTGTCGCTTATACAGCGCTTTTGATTTAAGCTACAATGACCCAAAATTGAGTCTTTTCCATAACCAGGAGGGCATTTACATACATAAGATCCAACAGTATTGACACATTCTGCACCAAATCCACATGCAGGCTGATCAAGAGAGCACTCGTTTATATCTTCACAAGCTCCGTCAATAGTTTGAGAATAACCGATTGGACATGCACAGTAACTAACATTATCAGAAATAATTATACATTCTGCTCCTTTTCCGCATTTCTTTCCTTCTGAACAGCCAGACAGTACACAAGTACCATCAACAATTTTGTATGGAGGTTGACACTGACACGAAATATCGTTACATTCTTCGCATAAGTTGTATGGATTTCCACTATATTCAGGTGGGCATCTACATTCATAGCTTCCAGGTAAATTTTTACATATAGCGTTAAGACCACAAGGCGAGCGGCCATATTGAATGCATTCGTTTATATCTTCACATAGACCCGTTTCATCATTACGAGAAAATCCCTGACCACAAATGCAAACGTTTTCATTATCATTTAGTATACATTGTTCACCCTGCGGACATGGATTTGTATTGCCGCAAGCATGAGGTTGCTTACTGATGATACAGCCTTCAGTATAGGGATCTCCTTTGAATTGACCTGGACACTCACATTGAAAATGTCCAGGTAAATTTTTACACACGGCTCCAGGGGCACAAGGATTAGCTTCACATTCATTTATATCTTGACAACCACTCGCTGATGATGGTTCACCACTGAAGCCGTTTCGACATGTACATTGGGCAGTTTGCTCATTTAAGAGACATTCAGAATTACTTCCACAGTGTAACGCTTCACATGGATCTGTAAAATATATTATTTATTAAACTCATCCTAACCTTTCAATAGATAAGAGAATAAAATATGTAAACTTACGCCGACAGTCATTTCCAATGTTTGGCTCGGGGCAAATGCACATTGCATTAACATCACAAATAGCATTTCCAGGACAATCATCACTTTTATGACAAGTTAGAATTTCTGAACATTTTACTCGAGGATCAGGGTCTGGGACTGTTCCATCAGGGCATGAACATGAATAGGAACCTTTTTCATTTATACATTCTGCGCCGGCACCACAACTATTATCTATTTGACACTCGTTGATATCAAAACAATTCTTATAGGGATCACCAGTAAATCCATCGGGACATTGGCACATGAAAGTTCCAGGTTTATTTGAGCAAAGTGCATTAGCACCACAGTGAGACGTTGCTCCATTAGCAGTATCACATTCATCAATATCGACACATCCAGCAGATATGTCGTTAGGGTTGAAATTCCATCCCTCATCGCACATACAATAGGCATCGGCCCCATCGGACTTACAATATGAATGCTCTCCACAGTGCACATCTTCACACGGAGCACGACATTTCACTTGTGGTGGCGACCCTACGTAGCCAGTTACACATTCGCAAGCGTAACTTCCAATGGAATTAATACAAATCGAATTATCGCCACATAATGAAGAGTTTGTGCATTCGTCTATGTCCACACAGACTGATCCTTTCGGTTGGAAACCATATTTACAGAAGCACTGACCTTCTAGGCATTCAGCATTGTTTGTGCAGTCGAAATTAGATTTACACAAAGTGTTAACATCCACCTGTAATTCGAAATTGTATTAGAAAAAGAGCAAATAATTTGAAAACTAAATTAAATCTATTGGCAGAATTTACCTGCTCGCAAGCAATTTGCGGATCTGGGTGACCACTATACCCTTGAGGGCAAAGACAGTTATATCCTGGTGAAGCATTTTCACATATAGCATGTAATCCACAGGGATGTTCTAGTGCCTCACATTCATCCACATCTTTGCAGCCATCCGAAGCGCGCGCATCTCCCGTGTAGTCGGGCAAACAATTGCATACGAAGCTTCCTACCGTGTTTGCACAAACAGCATTGGCGCCACATACCGCTTTGCTATTTTTACACTCATCTACGTCTGAACAAGAAACAACTCGTATCTTATTACAACATTCACCTTTCCCAAATATATGTATATACGTACGAGAAAGATACGACGACAGCCACTACGAAGAAGAAATAGCAGAAAAGATACTCATGATAGATGTAAATCTAGTGAAGAAAATTTAATTAATCAACCGAAAATATGATGACACCTTACGGCATTCCGCTCATTTCTGAAACATACAACTTGAAAACCCCAAAAATCGGACGCGAGTTAGAGTTATTCCAGTTAGTAAAAGCGTGAATCTACCGCGCATATTTATATGCGGTAGTCAGCGTTGTTCACACGCCGTTATTTAGGATTATAAAGCATTTAACAGACAGAAAACGAGAAATTAGAATAAAGCCTTTTCCTATATTTACCATTGCATTTGACATTGGGATCGCCTTCAAAACCTGGCGGGCAGACACATCGATAGGTTCCTGGAAGGTTTTCACAGAGTGCCCCGCGTCCACATGACGTTCTAGAACATTGATCCGTAGGCGTGCAGGTGACTCTGGGGTCCCCTTCGTGTCCAGGTAGACAACTGCATTCGTAGCCTCCCACAAGATTTCGGCACACAGCTCCCGCACCACAAGCATCCGAGTTCGCACATTCGTCGATGTCAACACACTACGTATCAATAGATCATAATAAGTGCACTTTGTACAATATGTAGACGAAATTCCAATCATCGCATGTTTGCTTTCCATTGAAACTCATATACTTCAGTTTTAGTATCCCAAAATAGATGTAAATCAACGATTAATTGAGTTGTTAATGTATAGACAGAAATTAAAATATTGTTTTCTTTATTTTTGAGCCACGTTGGGGCAAAAGATTATCAACCAATAATATGCCTAGAAACTTAAATAATTTGCGTCATCAAGACAAGTAACAAAATATTCTTAGCAACGGCAGCAGCAAAATAAGGCTTTTAAAGTGCCATTAAATATTCTAAAACATGTTAAAGAAGTTAGTATAATGACTCACTCCATCAAATGGATTTCCTGTGTAGCCAGCTTGACAGGCGCATGTGTAGTTTCCGGGATAATTTTGACAAACGGCATTTGAACCGCAAGCACCAGGTCTGCGGCATTCATCAATATCTAAAAAAGTATAAAAACCAGTCGTTAGCTAATGGGAGAAGAAATTTCGTAGCTGAGTTACACCGATGTATAACCATTATTACCTAATCTATGATTTGGTAATTTAATGGCTAGCTATATACAGTTGTGGTCTAAAAAAACGAAATAAACTATAATAAGAGTTTAAAAGGGTTAAAAAGAATTTTACATGATTTGCACGTTTGAATACGTTTTAAACATTTCAATTGACTTGCCCGGATGCGCTCATGAAAACGAGGAAGTTGCGAGCTAGGAATATAAAGTTAATTACTAGGAAGCTAAGAGCTATTAACTTAATATGAACACAATTATCTTTTATTTAATACTATTAAAAATATATTGTGTCAATCTTAGGAACCCTAATATGGTTCACGTTTTATGAATGTTTAAAAGGGGTAATTGCCAAGGGCGTCGTATGCCCTCGCTGTATTTTTGACATTTCACAAATATATATATATATATATTATCATATGATCAGGTTCAAAGAACGAATGGGTGGGTGTTACTTTACTGTAATCTAAATTATATAAACATTATAATTACATAAATGAAATAATATTGTTGTAACAAGATCATGTGTTACCACAATAGTATGCGACACTGCAAAGTAATCCGTGAAAATCAGCGCTGTCTAATTGTAGGTAAGTTATCAGCTTATGCTGAGTGACGAAGAAAAATACACTTATATGTATTAAGTATAAAGAAGTTAATTTGTTTTATTTTGAACTTAGTTTTAAACTTAAACCCCTAATTTAAGGGTTTTTGTTATAAGTTTACTGAACCTGCGCCTGATTTCGTAATACTCCGGACAAATGACAATTGAGCTTAGCTGCCGTTCTATGGAGACTTGTAAGATATCTCTGAATAGAGCAAAGAAATTCAAAAATAAATAATAAAAACCTACCTCGACATTCTTCTTCGCCGTCACCTTCAAACCCACGGTTGCATTTACATATGAAATGAGCAGGAAGATTGCAACATTCCGCATTTTCCACACATCTCGCTGCTACGGCTGGGTCTTCACATTCATTGATGTCTGTTAAGAAAATTTAATATAGGCTATAACACACATTGTACATTGTAAGAAAGCACGCGTCATGCGTATTAAACAAAAATTAGTTTTGCATATGTACCTTACAATTTTTCTCTCGGATTTATCTAACTACCGATACAGTGATAAGTTACTTAACAATATTTATCACTATCAATTGAAGTACATATACGTATTTTCCAAATTACCTTTGCAAGAGAATCCGTCTCCAACATATCCAGGGAAACAAGAGCACTGAAAGCTTCCGACTGTGTTCGTGCAGTGTGCGAAAACATCACAAGGCCGGTCCTTACATTCGTTGACATCTGAATTAAATATGACATTTAAGGCACAGACGTAGCGTATATTATATAGTTTATTTAGTGGTAATCAAAGCAAGGAAATATTGGCTTTGGATTATGCGAGTATACATAAACCTTTAAGCAACCACCGCACCCACATTTTATGTCCGTTAAAGAAGTTTTATTTAGATGGAAATTTTTGTCTCTAGACTAGTAGTCAGACGTCAATGTATTGGACTTAGTTAAATGAAAGTTCGCGCTTGTTCTCATTTCTGAATCTCAGCCCTAGTAGCGAAGTACCGTTAAAAAATAATTGAAATCCCCGTAACCGCTAAAGCCTATTTTAATATTACTTGTAAGTGGTAGAGAGTTACACTTGGTATAGACTTATATAAAATAAAATCTTCTAATTTAAATATACCCTCATCATGTAACGTATAATATATTTTTTAGCTTCTTACCTTGTTCCTGACAATTGCAGCCTCCAAATCCATCATTACAATAGCAAACACCATTTAGACAAGCACCGTTTATACACTGTGCCCCATCTTCTTTGGTACAGTCATCTATAAAAATGCATTTCTAATAATTTCAATTTATACAAAAATTATTTATTATTTAAATGTGATAGACGACACGTATTAACGTGTAGTTATAAAAATACAAGAATCTGGATATGGATATGGATCTGGATGTGGAAATAACTTAATCCACTTTTATAAAATCCAAACATTTTTTAGTTACAAAATACATAAATTTTGCTTAGATTTTTATTAATTCTCAAAATTGTGTTAAAAAAGTAATGTGTAAATTGAAATTATTTATTTATTTACGAAACATGGCAGTCTTATACTTATTTTTCTCTATGATCAGTTTTTGTATAAATTATAAATATTTTAATACTAACCTGAACACTTCAATTCGGTTCTAAGCTCATCAGATGCCTTATAGCAGTCGGGTACGCCATCACATAATTTGGATAATTCGTATAATTGTAATATTTGAGTCGATTCGTTAACTTGACAGCCAAAGTAGCCGTCTTCTAAATTTAAGAAAAATACTTCTCGTTTTATTCCTAATCCTATTCCGTACTGGCTTTGCGTCGCTACCTGTAACGAATATTATTAATAGCATAGGCGGCAATAAATGATCTTTAATCAACTAGCATTAAGTCTCAGAATAAGATAGCATAGTACTACTGGAATTTAATATATGAACTCGTTAAAATAAAAGTATATAGACGCTTAAAAGAAATTTGGAATGACTTGAAACCCGCGTTAGTAATGTAATAAATTCAGGTTTATGTACATTAAAGTTGTTTATAAGTAGATAAAATTGTAAATGAAATTGGACCAGAGCGATGTTTTTGTACAACTATTTCTTTTATGTAATTTGCGTTGCCGGTCTTTCAAGAATTGGTACGCTCTTTTCTTAATTAATGTCAGACATTTCGCCCTTATATAAATCATAATGATATTTGATATCTAAAGCATAATATCTATTAATTCGGCCGATTTTTCATGTTGTTACAAAAATATGCCTGAAAATAACCGATGATGAAAATAGAGATTTGAACATTTGACAGTTAAACCAACTAGTGACTTTTCTGAAGAGTAACATCAAGTTAAAAGATGAAATAAAAAAGTGTTACTTACATTTGTTGTTATGACTAAGAGCGTCCATACCACAAGAGGTAAGGTTTCTTTGTACATTGTCTCTGAAACAAGGAAATTTCATTTAAGCAAACATTACGGATTAATGAATTATATTCATACATCGAGGTTTACAAGAGTAGGTAACTCAAACTCAAACTCAAATATCTTTATTAATAGGTAACCATACATTTTTTAAATTAATTAAAAATTACTCCAGCAACGTAAGCTGCCAAATCTTTCCTTAGCAACTGTTGTATTGTCTGAACAGCAATACAATCCAAGGATTAGTCATTTAAGATGTTAAAACTTTATTAATTTTCTTTAAGAGAAATGGTTTGACATCTTTTAAAAATAGATTAGCGTACGTAAGATGAATCGTTATAATATAAAATACGGTTCGACGACTGCAGTTGATAACTAGAGGCCTTGTGGAAACAGCTGTCAACATGTGTTTGAATCCTTTAAAAATAGATTATATTGAATTATTATATTTTTGTAACGCTAACGTGAATTGATTTGGTACGGAAAAATTGAAAAATAAAACATCTCGAGAAACCGGTATATAATATCAGCTGTTAAACCCTTTTTTTAATGAGGAAATGTTATTTAATTGTATCACAAATAATAAAAAGGAGCGCGCAAGTTTACTCTAAGAAACTTTCTTGGTAAGCTGGGATAACAACTTTAATAAAATTGTCCTAGGTTTTACGATTGTAATATAAATGTTATTTTGAAAGTATTATTACTCAAGGTCTTGTTAATACTGTGTCACAACAAAAGTTGATTCAAACTTATATTACATGAGCTTAAAAATTATAAATTTATGACTGTAACAGGGTAGCTAAATATGAAGATTATTTTCTACTTTTAGAATATCTAATAACCGGGTCACGGGCCCGGCTATTTCAACTATCTACGAACATTTATACAAATATATAATAATAAATTTTCTGGTCCTTTGCTCTATGGATATCAATAATGAGAAGTTTCTCTCTATTAGTTGGTTATGGAACGGTGCTATTTTCTATTTCTTCATAATGATAAATATGTTGATAAAGGCACTACTTTCTATATGAAGAAATAAAAACTAGCGGCTCCAAGAGATTTGCGACAATCACCGGCTCCAACTTCGGTCCCATCACTCACGCAAACTTCAAATGGTTATTAATAATACCAGCAATTTCGGGAATTACTACAAAACACATGTATAAAAAATTCAGTGTTTTGCATTCAAGTCGTCTTTGACAACGTTGCAGTAAAGAACTTTTATTTACTTGATGATGTCATTTACGCATTTAAATTCAGCAGCTTAAGTAAACCTCCGTAACTCACTTTCGTGTTTATGTTATATTTTCTGACCGCTTCCTGCACGGAAAAAATACCTGATACTATCTTCCAACGTTCGTATTTTCGGTTTTTGTTTTCATGAACCATTGGTATAAAATAGTCATAAAGTGGGTTTCGTATGAAGAAATCTAGGCTCATAGAAAGAATATGAGAAACGTATACCGTACTATTTAAGCATTTTATTTACGCATGCGACAAATGCTAAGGTTATATATAGTTCGAGGTCACTTTGAGAGAAATGTCAATTTAATTATCAAAAGTGCTCTTTGTAACTAGTAATTGTATGTTATAACTTTATTTTAGTAACAGTTATGGTCATAAAAGACACATCCATACAAACTTGGACTATAGAATGTAGACATACACTCGATCACGATGTGTTTAGAGTAATTATTTCTAGTAGATATTTTTTATTTTATTTTATTTTTTTTTTTTTTTTATAGAACGGGGGGCAAACGGGCAGGAGGCTCACCTGATGTTAAGTGATACCGCCGCCCATGGACACTCTCAATGCCAGAGGGCTCGCGAGTGCGTTGCCGGCCTTTTAAGAATTGGTACGCTCTTTTCTTGAAGGACCCTAAGTCGAATTGGTTCGGGAATACTTCAGTGGGCAGCTGGTTCCACATAGTGGTGGTGCGCGGCAAAAACTGCCTTGAAAAACGCTCAGTTGTGGAACGTCGGACGTCGAGGTGATACGGGTGGAATTTCGTATTCTGCCTCGACGTCCGATGATGAAACTCAGCTGCAGGTATTAATCCGAACAACTCCTCTGAACACTTAAAAAAATTGTGTCTTATTTCTACTCCAAAACTACTTAATATATTCAAAGATAAATATCGCAATACAGCGAGGAAATCCTGCCAACATTAAAGGTACACTTGCCACAGGGACCAAACTTATTACATTTGTTTTAGTTTTCTATTTATCCGTATTTAATTATTATTATATAGTAGGTTAAGAATATTGTAAATATTGTGTTTGTGTCTTAATGTATTTAGATATACGAGTATAATTTGAAATCTATTCTAAAAGTTAGGGAAGTAACGATCAATTTATAATTAATAAATTAAATAATAAACAAGAAAACAAAATTAATAACAAGAAAATCCAGAATTTTATTTGGATTCAATCGCAGCCGTATTGTCGTAGGTCTGGTTTAAAAATAGTACAATCTTGATATATTGTATCAATCATCTTACTCGTAAACGTGACTTAGGTTTAAGAGGTTAGCAATGATTTCACTTACGTTCTAGCATTTGAACAATATCATTTTGATAGATAGGAGAAAAGTAATACTAGCTATTTAATTATGTTCTTTTTTATTTTTAACCAATATCAAAACCATTATGTCAATATTAGTAGTGGTTTAATTCTTATTATTGAAAAGTAATATTTTATCATATTACGTAAAAGGTCCTTTTAATTGAATTTAGAAGCGCTGAATATGACATTTACCGTTTTAGTTATCATATTGCAGCTCTTGATTTATTAATGAATTTATATTCAAGACTATTTTATATCCTGTTGATGTAAGAGGTCACATGAATAACTGGATTTCGTTCAATCTCGACCAGACCTTTGACGTCACCTTCTCAATATGTTTCTAAATGTAGTGTTCATGATAACGCTGCCATTTTTTAAGAATTTATAAACTAAATAAATAAATAATTTGGTAATAATTTGTACATTGTGCTATACTTATTTCTTTCAGAAAAATCTTTTCAGCTAATCGAGAGAAATTATATTTAATTACTCCAAAAAAATGGATTTTCAATTGAAAACAATAACTTGGTACGCAAGAAATTGTAACAATACACTTGTTCAAAAACATTTATTTTAAATATATGTGTCTTTAAGAAGACATGATGGAACATTACGATCTAGCTAACTCAATATAGTGTAATTTACTAAAAAGGATATTTAACATTAGAAAGTGTTCCAATAACACTACCTACAGTCTCTATTAAAGGGTAGACACTCTGTTCTTGTGTTCTATTAACACTACAACTTAATTATTTTACTCAAATTAGAGGTAGAGAGAGAACTTTAGGTAAGTCAAAACGTTTTTAAACGAATTGTTCAATTCCTTTCACGTAAAATAATGTTTTCGTTCGATAGATGCAGACAAACGCATTGTAAAATAAAATATTTACTTGGCCTTTGTTGAAGAAAAATTGTACAAAAACATACAATATGAAACGACTTCAACCTATTATTTAATTCTATTGTATATATTAAAATTTTAATAAAAACTACTTAATTTAATGTTGGCAAAATATTTTTACGTTTACAAATTACACACCATTATTATAAATAATTTAACTACTAGAAAATATTCTTAAAACATGTATTGTTTCTACACTGGGTTCGGGTATTTCTTTACGCTACAAAAGCAATTTTAGATGTCATTTGTTGGGATTTGGGAACAATAGTAACAAATATATTCTTTTGACCGCATAAAACATTTACCTAACGTGATATATTATATTTAAAAACTTCATTTTCATACAACCTAACTAAAACTTAGACGCTAATGTCTTCATCACAGCGTTAAGACAATTTAATACGAGTTAGACTGATTTAATATTAAGGGCTGTGGGGTTTAATATGTATTCATGATATACTTAATCTTTGGTTTAGGGGAGAACTATACATTAAATAACTGTGCAATAAATTCGCGTTTATTCGAGTTAATGCCAATAAAGAGGTTTTATTCAAACATGAAATCCTTTTTTTTATCCTTAATGTTAGTGTAATGCTTATCAAGATAAAAAACGCAAACACAAGCATCTATATATAGATATTAGCCCTGGCTTTTCCACTTGTTGAACAAACAGGGAACACAGATTAATGTTCATAATATAATTTTAAAATAACTTTGTTTAATAGACAATTTATGTCTGCTGTTTAGCCTAGCACATAAACAAATAAACCCTTGAAAAGTTCGCTTGTTTAAGAAGAAAGTTAAATCTGAGCTTTGAATAAGGACAAAAATATTGAAAGTTCGGGTGTCCGTCTGCATATCACTTGTGGCATTCACTTTCACATCTCGGGCGCTGACAAAACGTCGGTACGGAAAGTGGGCTTTAAACAATAGCACCATAATAGTTTCTCTCTCTTGAGAAACAATTATATGTACATGTATGTGTAGACACCACAGATTCCAACTATGATTATATTTACCCAGTGTTATTTCACACTGTGGTAAGCAAACATTCGGGAGATTATTGGGGTTAAAAATATATATTAAACATATAATAATTAAGTAGTTCATACGGACAGTTTTGCATCACTGCCACTCCCAATACTGAGGTCATACGTTAAGCAAAAGACTGACGGAGAGCAATTTGAAGCCAAGACCCACAAATGGTTATAACGCCGCTCGATATGTGTACAGAAAGTATACAAATATACAGTATATATATGATTTAAGGTAACATCGGCAACGTTATTTAACTATAAATGGATTACGAAAAAACAATATCTTTAAATTTTAATCTAATATCGACAGTATCGGAATCAATTTGTATCACGTTTTAAATACAAATAACATACTTTTAAAAGTACCTTCAACCTTGTAAAACTCGTTGACTTCATTAACACTTTATGACGAATCTACTTGTAATAGGCGACTTCTTTTTCATAGAATTAAAAATATTTATATTTAACATAATTCTACGCAATACAATATTACAAGCTTTTGGGTTGAA